GAGCGGCAAGAAGACTGGCTCTGCTTCCGGCTCTGGCTCTCTCTCCGTCAGCGGTTCCCTCATCGGCGCCACTCCCACGGGCAGCGCTGGCGCCCAGTCGAGCTGCCCCGCTCTCCCCAACCTCGAGTGCCGCTCCGACTGCTTCGCCAGCGCCCTCGCCCGCGTTTGCGTCTCCGACACTCCCGAGTGCCGCTGCGAGTACGCCACCTTCCTGAAGAACGAAGTGCAGAACTGCCTGCAGCTCACGCCTCTCAGCGCGTGCGCGGATGCCAGCGGCGACAGCAGCAGCGTCGGCACGCTCTTCTCCACTAACATGGACACGGCCTGCGCCTACTTTGAGGAGAACGGCTACCCTGCTTCCAACGATGGCCCGGCCATCACCGTCTCTCTTGGCCAGCCTGATGCTACCGGCGGTGCTTCGTTCGGCGTATCCGGCAGCCTGCCCCAGCCCACTGGTGATGTCTCCTTCGGCGTCTCCGGCCAGGTCCCTGGCGCTACGGTTTCTGGCTCTTCTCCCTCCGGCTCTTTCACTCCCGGTAGCCCTGCTGGCCGTCTCGGCGGCAACACTCCGGGTGCGTTGACTCCCGGTGCCCCTGCTACTCCCGGTGCCATGACCCCTGGTGCTCCCGGCGCGTCCTCCGACGTCTCGGGCGAGACTTCCGCGCCCGCTGTTTCTGGACCCGTCACTGTTGCCCCCTCGGCTTCGGGCGCCATGCCCACCGGCGAGGCCACGACCACCGTCATCGTCACCTCTTACGTCGACATCTGCCCCGCGGGCTTCACGACCGTCACCACCTCGTTCACGGCCACGTACGTGCAGGCTACGCGCACCCCGGGCGCTCCCGCCCCGGGCTTCACCACCGCCGTTACCGTTTGCGACCACTGCGGCCCTGAGCCCACGACTGTTACGCTGACCAGGCCCGTTGCTGCTACCTCCGGTGTTGTGGGCGTTACTTCGCTGCCTGCTGGCTCTGCTCCCATGGTCTCGGGCTCCGCCCCCGCTGGCTCTACCTTCTCCACTTCGACCGTCTACGCCACCCAGCTCTTCACGGTCACCCAGTGCCCCCCTGAGGTCGTTGACTGCCCTGCCCGCTCGAAGACTGCCGCTGTTGTGACTTCTATCGTCCCTCTTCACACCACGGTCGTTCCTGTCCCTGTTGATGCGACTACCACTCCTGCGGTTTCTGGCCCTGCTGGCAACGGTCCTGCTGCTTCGTCTGGTGTTCAGGGCTTGTCTTCTGCGCCCGTTGTTTCTGGCTCTGCTCCCGCTGGCTCTGCCCCCGCTGGCTCTATTCCCGCCGTCACTAGCTTCTCGACCTCGACCGTTTACGCTACTCAGCTTGTCACTGTTACTCAGTGCCCCCCTGAGGTTGTCGACTGCCCGGCTCGCTCCAAGACTGCCGCTGTTGTGACCTCGGTCGTCCCTGTTCACACTACTGTCATTCCCGTCCCTGTCCAGACTACCACTACTCCGGCTGTCTCTAGCCCTGCTGGCAACGGCCCTGCTGCTTCGTCTGGTGTCCAGGGCTTGTCTTCTGCGCCCGTTGCTTCGGGATCGGCTCCTGCTGGCTCCGCTCCCGCTGGTTCCGCCCCTGCTGGCTCTATGCCCGCTGGTTCTGCTCCTGCTGGATCTTCTCCTTCCGGTGCTACCCCCACTGGCTCTGCCCCTGCTGGTAACGGCCCCGCTGTCTCGTCTGGTGTTCAGGGCCTGTCTTCTGCACCCGTTGTTTCGGGATCTGCTCCTGCTGTCTCTGCCCCCGCTGGCTCCTCTACCTCGACCGTCTACGCTACCCAGCTCTTCACTGTTACTCAGTGCCCCCCTGAGGTTGAGGACTGCCCTGCCAGGTCCAAGACTGCTACTGTCATGACCTCTGTCGTCGCTGTCCACACCACCGTTGTCCCTGTCGATGTGACTGCCACCCCGGCTGTTTCTGGCCCCGCTGGTACCGCTCCTGCGGCTTCGTCTGGCGTCCAGGGTCTGACTTCGGCTCCTGTTGCCTCTGGCTCGGCTCCCGTTGCTTCTGCTCCCGTTGCTTTCGGTCCCGCTGCCGCCGTCTCGTCTCCCGTGACCTTCGTCATGCCCGGCTCTTCGACTTCCACCGTCTACGCCACCGAGGTCGTCACCATCACCCAGTGCCCTCCTGAGGTCACCAACTGCCCGGCCAACTCCAAGACGGCTGCCACCATCACGACCAGCTACGCCGTGCACACGACCGTCGTCTCCTCCAGCGAGACCGTCACCCCCGTTGTTCCCGTCCCCGCCGGCAACGCCCCCGCTTCCTCCGGCGTCCAGGACCTGAGCTCCGCGCCCGCTGCCCCCGTCGCTCCCGTCGCTAGCGTCTTCACCACCTCGACCGTCTACTCCATGCAGGAGGTCACTGTGACCAACGGCCCTGCCCACGCGCCTACGATCAGCGTCCTGACCCAGACTGTTGCTGTTTCCACCACTGTCTGCCCCGTCGCGCAGGCTGCTTCTTCGGCCCCTGCCGTCCCTGCTGTTCCTGTTGCGCCTAACGCTGGCTCTGCCAACAGCGCCCCGGCTCCTGTTCCTCAGGTCTCTGCCCCGGCTGTCCAGGCTTCAGTTCCTGCTGCTCAGGCTTCTGTCCCTGCTGTCCAGGCTTCCGTCCCTGCTGTCCAGGCTTCGGTTCCTGCTGTCCCCGCTCCTCAGGTCTCTGCTCCTGCCGTTCAGGCTTCCGTCCCCAGTGTCCCTGCTCCTCAGGTTTCTGCTCCTGCGGTCCAAGCCTCTGTTCCTGCCGCTCCTGCGGCCCAGGCCTCTGTCCCCGCTGTCCCAGCTCCTCAGGTCTCTGCGCCCGCTGCCCAGGCTTCCGCGCCCGCTGCTCCTGTCGCGCCTAGCACTGGCTCCGCCAACAGCGCGCCGGCTCCTGCTCCTCAGGTCTCTGCCCCGGCTGCCCAGGCTTCTGCCCCTGCTGCCCCTGCGCCCCAGGCCTCCGCTCCTGCGGTCCCTGCTCCTCAGGCTTCTGCTCCCGCTGTCCCCGCCACCAGCTCCAACAACGGCACCCCTGCCACCACCGCCCCCGTCGCTGAGTGCGAGGGTGATGACTGCGAGGAGTGCGAGGGCGATGACTGCTCCGACGAGTGCGAGGGTGACGACTGCGACAGCGACTGCGACGGCGAGGACTGCGAGGCTACCTCCACCCCCGTCGCTGCTGTCCCCGCTGGCTCCAGCCCCTCCTCCGCCATCCAGGCTCTGACCTCTGCCCCCGCGGCCGCGGCTCCCGTCCCCGTCGTCGCTAGCAGCATGCCGCTTCCCGCGGCGTCTGCTCCCGTCGCTGCCGCCGTGCCCGTCGCTTCGGCCCCTGCTGCTTCTGCTCCCGCTGTCGCTGCCGGTATCCCTGCGCCCGTCGCGCCCGTCTACACTCCCGCCCCGGCCAGCAACGGCACCTGGGCCACCCCCAGCGCGGCGCACACGCCCGTCCGCAGCAGCACGCCTGCGGCGTTCTCGCCTTCGGCTGCCTCGAGCACCGGCCCCAGCGCCTCGATGTACACGGGTGCGGCGGCGGCGCCGACCGCCATCGTCAAGGGCGGTGTTGCTGTTGCGGCTGTTGTTATGGGAATGCTGCTGTAAGCGGTTGGTTGGTGAGAGATGGAGGTGAGTAAAAGAAGGGGAGATGGATCTGATGTCTGATGTGCTACTGTGTGCCTGTTTGTTATTTTTGCGGCCTTGGATTTTGTGTGTGGTGGCTTTGTGTGTGCACGTTGATTGCGGTTTGCCATTGCAGTGCCTTGTTTGGCTTGGCTTGCGTTGTTCATGCCTGATTGATGCTTGTATTGTGCTGGTGGCGGAGAGGTAATGGGAGGGTAATTGAAGTTGGGGGGATGATAGAGTAGAGAAAAGAACTTTTTTGCTTAGTTTGAGGTTGCCCTGATTTGCTTGACGTTGCTTGAAAAGTGTTCGTTTTGATCTTTGTTCTACAGGTGAATTGCTGCTTTGGCTGTTACAAAGATGGCGATTACTCTCGGTTGTAACGTCCGTCACCGTGAAGCGAGATGGTGATAAGTGTGGGGAGTAGAGTCTGTGCGTGCTCTAAAAGCTTTTCACCTATACCTAGGATTCGGGCTGGGAGCTAGGCAAGGAGTACTCTGTAGGGGCTGCTTGTATCGTCTCCTTTCTCGCTTAGACGGTAGGTCTCGGTTCGTGATGACGGACGTTAGCAGCACGGCGGTGTGCAATACTGTAGTGAAGTAGTTAATTAATCATTTTCATGTTCGTATCAGGGAGAATGGCATTCCTCCCGTCATGATATTGACAGCTGCGGTCGTAGTCTTTGTTAATATCAACAATGCCGGAGAATATTATAACGACCATATAGGGCTCTGCTGGGACAGAAGGCGACACAGCGACCATGGTAGAAGAAGCCCGAGCTTGCAGCATTTGCCGCAACTTCTGCGACATCAACCGCGGCGCAGATTATGCATGTGGCCACGATCAGTACAGCAGCTGCAAGAGCCGCTTACACCGGAAACCGGCTTCCTGTGCATACGTATATGGATTATGCCCCTCACACTACGAGGCTAGCTGGCATTTAGCCTCGATGGTCCTCCGCGTACTGATGAGCTGACCGGATGGATGTCTGCACACAGCTTGTTGCCATTCATGGGCAGCGAATCCTCGAGAGGTCACCGGATAGGCCGTGATAAGAGGCTGGGCATATGCGGACGTGGGAGGAGTCGGTGGTCCGGTGACTGTCGCATGTCGCGTGTGAGAGCAGGTATTCGAGGTCCTGATAGCTGGACTGGCAGCTAGTTAGATATGATGAGATCTGGCTCCAACTTGTGATGCATCATATGTATGCTTTGCTCTTCTGATCCGCTTTCTTGTCCCGAGAAATTGCCATGGGTGGCTATAATTATCACGAACCGCGGCGGCGTGATACAATGATTGGGGCAAACCAATAGATAGCCAAGCGCTGGTTTGGCAAGAGGGGGAATGAGAGTAAAAAGAAGAAAGAATGTAGGTCAATCAGACCATATGAAGTTTGGGATCGCGGGTCCGTGAGTCGAGGTTCATCTCGCAAAGCCAGCCAACGTCATTCCCGGATCGCACCTTCTTTTCTCTCCTTTAATGCCTGCCTACGATGCGCCGCCGCCGACCGCCTCCACCACGGCCACGCAGCCGTACGCGCTGAACTCGCTGCCGCCCACTCTGTCCTCGACACTTCACAGCCCACCCTCGGATCCATCGCGCCTCGCGCCCGAAGATGCCTTTTACGCGCATTCACCTCCGCGCCGCCAGCGCGCGCACAGCCCGCTTGGCATGAATGGGGCCGTGGACGGCGTCGACGCGCTGCCCGTCCAGGGACGACTGCTGGCGGGCATCGAGACGCGCAGGAAACGCGAGAGGGAGCGCGGCCGCAGCGGGAGCAGGCGCCGGAAGGGGGCCTGGAAGAAGCTGCTCTGGGTGAAACAAGCGTGTAGGTCTTTCTTTTGTTCTTTTGTTTGAGACTGAGTTACTGAGCCCTGACGCGTCGCCAGATCCCGATAACTACACCGATGAAGAAACCTTCCTCGACCACCTGCAGCGCAACCCGCGCTTGCAGCCTTACGAGTTCTGGCCTCTCGTCACCGACTCCACCGTCATTGTCCAGCATGTCTGCTCCGTCACCATCTTCCTCTGCTGCTTCACCGGCATCATCCAAGAGCGCGTCTCGCCCGTCACAATTGTGAGCTGGGGCTCCTTGGGTACCGTACTCGGCTGGGTGCTGTGGGACTTCTGGGTCGGACAAGAGGAAGCTGCCGAAGTGGCAGCAGCGGCCGCCGAGGCGAAGAACGAGACGCTTGAGGCCGACGGTTCCAGCTCCACCAGCTCTACCACGAGCTCCGCGCCGACGCCTGCTCCAGGTCACACAAAAGACTCGCTGGGTCTGGGGTTGGTGCTGCCGCAAACTGGGAGCGCGCCTAATCGTGGGCACATGAAGAGCGCCAGCATCGCTTCTATGGGGTCGAATGCTTCTGCCGTTTCGGCTGTCTCGACAGGCCACCCGACGGGCGCGCCGACTTTTGCGACCTATCGTCCCCCGTACGGCGAGCCAGTGTCCTCGCTCTCGCCGCGGAATCAGCAGCGCTTGGCCACTGTCAAGTCTGCCATCTTGATCTACTGCGCGTTGTTGGGTCTAAGCCCGATTCTCAAGTCGCTGACGAAATCTACGACTAGCGATTCCATCTGGGCCATGAGCTGCTGGCTAATGTGCATCAATGTCTTCTTTTTCGATTATGGTGGTGGCGTTGGCGCAAAGTAAGTCGGTTTGAATTGTGCATTAATATTGGCGTTCTCTACGCCTTATCTAGGGGTATATTTAAATGAAGTCTAACAACCGAACAGATTTCCAGCCTCTCTATCCACAAACGCCGCTCTAATGGCTTCTACCGTCCTCGCATCTAGACTCGAATCTACCACGCACGTCTTCTCGCTTACTCTCTTCTCGATCGAAGTCTTCGGACTATTCCCCGTCTTTCGCCGTCACCTCCGCCACATTTCATGGCACGGCCACCTCATGCTGACAATCCTCCTGGTATGGGGAGCCGGAGGTGGCGTTGTTGTCACAGTGTCCGGCGGCGGGTGGAAAGCGGCCCTGGCGGGGATCATCCTGGGCAGCATTCTCACTGGGCTCGCCGTGGGGACGGGCGCCTGGTGGCTGATCGGGCTGCAGAAATACAAGAACGAAATCCACGGCCCCTGGGATCCAGCGCGGCCGATTATAAGAAGGCGATGGGATTGAGGCGGCGCGACGAGGACGCAAAATACAACGGATCTTTCCGCTGCTTGTAATCGTCGAGCGTGCAGGCTCCGCTCGCGGGCCAGACGTCGGTGGTTTTGGTCCGGTGGACTAGCTCTATGGATGCATGGTTGGTCTTGCGCAAGTGCTCGAGCGAAACGATTTCCAGCGCCACGCGACCGGCCTCCCGCTCCCAGCGGATGATCTTGTCGTCGCCACCGGCGACCATGCCCCACATCTGCTCGACGATATCGTCGGTGGGGACGTCGTCGGTGCCGACATAGTAGACGGGATCCCAGGGCTCGCGCCTCTCCATGGCAGTGCCCTTGGCGAAGCTGCCGCGCAGGACGACGCGCTCCAGGCCCTCGACGTTGCACAGCAGGCGGCGCAGAATATCCCAGAGATGGCGGCGCGAGACGTCGATGCGAGGCCATTGTTCGAAGTTGAGGCGGAGGACGCGCAGGCCCGGCGCGTCGACTCGTAGACTGCCTAGCTTCTCGGCCCACACGCCCGTACTCCACGCCAGGTACTGGGCCCACTCGCGGTTGACGCCGTCGGGGCTGCGCGGGGCGGCATCGCGCACGTCGAGCTCGAGGTCGGCGACGCGCGCGCGCAGCCAGTCGGGCAGGCCGCGCAGGAAGCCGCGGCAGTGCGAGACGCTGGTGAAGCGGAACGTGTTTGTGGCGTAGAGGTGGGCGATGGGGGCTTCGGCGTGGATGAGGCGGCAGGTGCGCAGGAGGCCGACGCCGAGATCGGGGACGTGGTGGTGGGGGGAGGGAGGTAGGGCGGCGCTGCGCGCGACGGCGTCGGTGATGGGCGCCGCTGAGGCGCTGGCCCGCAGCGCGAAGCTGTAGATTCGGTTGCGGATCTCGCCTGGGAGCGAGAGGAAGGGCGACTGGTGCGTGAATGTGTCGGGTGACATGGCTGAGTAGGCGCTCTGGGGGTGGTGGTGGTTTTAGTAATGTAGACAAACGAAGGCACACGAAGGTCGACACGACACGACACGACACGCCAGGGGCGAGAAAGAGTGAGAGTGAGAGTGAGTGAGTGAGTGAAGGACAAAAAAGGGCCACACAGCCCGAGGAAATAAAAGTGAGAGTCAACGTGCCAACGAAGCGCAAGACCACCTCCCGAGGGCACGCGCGCGCGCCGCCGCGGCCCGTGGCCCTGGGCCGGCGGACACTACCTACCGCTGCATACCTACCTAGGAGTAGTGGCAGGACCTCACGCGGGCCAGCGCAGCGTGCGCAGCTCTGGTCTGGCTATCAGCTCATCAGCCCCCCGGGGCTCGGCAGCATCCTTACGTGGGCACGTAGGTAGCTAGCTAGTTGGCGGCTCTGAGTGGCTGTCGGGCTGGACGGGGGAGATCAGAAACGCGCACGACTTGCGCACCCTTGGGGGGACGGGCGGAGCGTTGCCGCACGGGGGGTCGGATTGTCAGGGACTGGCTGCGTCGTCCCTGAGCCCTGAGTCCTGACCCTGGCGTGGTTTGCTTATCGCCGCCAACGCCGTTCCGCTCCTTGGGCGCGCCCCACTGCCTAGGTAGCTGGTCTCACCGCCTAGCGTGCGTGCTGTGCGGAGCTGGGAGGGGATGGGATGTGTGCGGTGGGGTAGGGATGGATGGATGTAGGGGTGGGTGGTGAGAGCCTCAACGCAGTGCTTGCTTGTTTGCTGTAGGGTTTCGGTTGGGGCTGCCTGTGGAAGGGATGGATAGATAGGTGGATGGATGGATGGAATGGTCTCTTCCATTCACGCGATTATTGGCAGAACTGGACGGCGGCAAGGCGGTGTGTGGGGCCTGCCATGCAGGGTCTGGCGCTAGGATGGGGAGGGCAGGCGGTGTGCGTGGGGAGTAGGTGGGGGGGATGGTGGCCTGTTGAATTTCTTGGTTTCGGATTTCGGGGTGGGGTGGGGTGGGTTTGTGTGTGTGTGTGGTTTGAGGAGAGAGAATGGGCATGGTGGTGAGCTGGTGAGTTGGTGATGGTGATGAGCTGGACGGGGATAGAGGCGTGAGAAGCGTGAGCGCCTTTTTCTCGTCTGATCGGAAGAGGGTTTTTGTGGAGAGAGAGCTGCGCAAGCTAGAAGGCTAGAATTTTCGAAAAAGCCGGGAGCGTGGAGAGAGAGAGAGAGAGAGAGAGAGAGAGAGAAAGATCCTCGGGGATCAGCAAGCGAGCGAGCGACTCGTCGGGAGAGTCGAACCTGAACAGTCCGCCCGCGCGGCCAGGCCGCCCATGCCCCCATACCTACCCACACCCATGTTTATTATTTCGGGGGCCGAAATGGCCAGCCAGCCAGCCACCCCCCAAAAACAATACATAATATTGTTGCTGCCTGACACTGCCTGCTGCACTCGCCTCCTCCTTCCAATCGCAAGCCCGGCTGCTGACAGGCAGGAGAAGCCATGAGCATAGGCAAGAGCCGGGGTGCAGGTCGCGCCAGGCCGCGCAGCCGCAACCGCAAGGTCAAGGTCAAGGACTCTGCCGCTTCTGCTGATGCTGATGCTGGCTATCCCGACGCCGTGCTGCAGTACGAGTGCGCCGCCCAGCCGTGGCTCTCTCCGCTGTGCGACACGCCAGTCTGCTACTTAACCCGCCTTGCTGCACCCCCGAGCCCGCCCTTCGCTTTTGGTCTTGGAATCGACACCATGGCCGACCAGCAGCATCAGCAACAGCACCAGCAGCCGTACGGCTACACCATGGGCGGCTACGCCGACCTCCCGCCCCACGAACGCCCGGGCTACGTACCGCCGCCGCAATTGTCGTCGCAGCCCCCACCAGGCTCGTACTACCCGCCGCCGACCTCGCCTGGCGGACAGCACCAGCAGCACTACGCGCAATGGAGCTACACCACCACGCCGCAGGACGGCAGCGGCCGCCCGCAGCAGCTGCGCATGGTCTCGGGTGGCTTTCCACAGCAACAGCAACAGCAACAGCAACCGGGACAGTACCAGTACGCGCAGCAGCCCGACGGCTTCAAGATGACAGCTCGGCCAATCACAAGCCAGCAGGCGGCAGGAGGCACTGCCGGCGGTGCGCCTCCATCAGTCAAGCACCGGGTCCCATCGTCGTCGACGACGAACGCGGCGCCTCCGCCCTCCGGCCCGGCGACGATGCCCGATCCGCAGCACTTCATGCCACCGCCGACGGCACCGGGACCCCCGCCCAAGAAGGAGAAGTACGACTACGATCCGCACCTGGCGTACGGCGCGGACAACGCGCGCGTCGTCGAGGTCAAGCCCGGCAGCAGCAGCAGCGGTGGGAAGCCGCCGCCGTCGCCCGGGCTCGCGCCGCACCGCCTCTCGGTGCACAACGGGCCGGCGTCGCCGGGCGGCGGCGGGAGCGGGAGCGGAGGAGGCCTAGCGCCCCGCATGGACCGGCTGTCGGTTAGCGGGCAGCGGCCGGATTTGCAGCTCGCGATGCCCGGGGGTTTTCCTGGCGGGAGTGATAGGAGCGGTGGGGGTTTGCCGCCGCCTAGCCCGTTGCTCGAGGCTTACCATGGGACGTGGCAGTCACTGAGTCCGATGCCGAGCCCGATGCTCTGGCCGCGCGGGGACGATGAGCTCGAGGGCTTGGAGCCGTTGGATCCGCCCGAGACGCGGCATCTCGTGCCTGAGGACCGCAGGCATAGGAAGAAGAAGCATGGGCATGGGAGCAGCAGTAGGCATAGGAGCACGTCGCGGCGGCGGGGGCACACGCCGTCAGGGTCGACGTCGAGCGTGGGACTTGGGGGCGGGGACCGGTTGGGGCGGGAGGCGCGAGAGCGGGAGCGAGAGCGGGAGCAGGAGCGCGAGAAGAGCAAGGAGAAGGAGCGAGCGGCCGCAAGCAAGCGGGTCAAGATCTACGATGCGGAGGAAGACGCGCGCGATATCTACAGCGCGCTGACGGCGCGGGGCGAGCCCGCCACAGGCGCCCTCATCGACATCCTGCCCTACCTGAGCGAGGACCAAATGCAAGAGCTGCGAGCCGCATACAAGCACCTCTACAAGATGCACGGGCGCGGCATCAACGTCGCCAAGCACATCAAGCTCAAGCTGCCCTCCAACTCCAACTTTGCCAAGATCAGCCACGCAACCGCGCTGGGCCGCTGGGAAAGCGAGGCGCACTGGGCGAACTACTGGTACCAAGGCAGCAGCAGTCGGCGCGAACTGCTCATCGAAGCGCTCATGGGCCGGCCCAACAGCGAGATCCGCGCCATCAAGGCCGCCTTCCGCGATAAGCGCTACGGCGACAGCCTGACGCGGTGTATGGAGGCGGAGCTGCGCCGCGACAAGTTCCGCACCGCGGTGCTGCTGGCGCTGCAGGCGGGCCGTCAGGATGAAGGCGAGGTCTGGAGCGTCGAGGAGCGTAATCGCGACGTTGATGCCCTAGCTGCGGCCGTGCGCAGGCGCGAGGGCGGCGAGTCGGACATTTTGGCGATTGTTTGCACGCGCAGTGATGCCCATTTGAGGGAGGTGCTGCGCGTGTATGAGCGTAAGTGGCAGGGCAATTTCGCGAGGGAGGTGCTGCGGAAGAGTAATAACCTCGTGGTGAGTGCCGCCCCTACTTTTCTTCCCTTATCTTACCTATCATACCCACTCACCCTCTTCCTCGCACAGGGCGAAATAACCGCGCACATCCTCAACGGCGTCATCAACCGGCCCGCCCGGGACGCCATGCTCCTGCACCACGCACTCCTCGACATAATGGAGACGCACAACAACGGCAGCAGCGGGGCAACGCCTCGCTCCTCGTCGCTCTTCTCCTCCTCCGCCGCTGCACCACCTCTTTCCGCGACGACGGCGCCCCCCGTCTCCTCGGCTGAGCGCCAGCACCGCCACGAACTCCTCATCTCCCGCCTCGTGCGCTTGCACTGGGACCGCTCGCATATGCGCCGCGTGCGTGTCGCGTACCGTGAGAAGTATGGCGCGCTGTTGGAGGAGGATGTTGAGGATGCCACGAGGGGCGATTTTAGGGCGTTTTGTTTGGGGCTAGTGGAGGGGTAGTGGGGAGGTGAATCGGTGGTGGTGGTGGTGGTGGTGGTGGTGACGGTGAGAAAAGAAATGGGGAAAGAGGAAAAGAGGAGGAAGGGGTGACGGGGTTTCTTTCCTTTTTGTTTGCTTTGTTTGGTTTGGTGCGGTGCTTATACCCTTTCGGTTTTTGGGGAGGTGGTGGGTGGGTTGGTAGGTTGGTGGGTAGGTTCTAGGTAGGTGGATAGGTAAGCAAAAAGATAGCTGGAATGGCATAACGTCCGTTACTATGAAGCGAGACGGTGATACTTGTATAGAGTAGAAGAAGAGACCTAGCTATAATGTATAGAGTCTATATATACTCTAAGGTCTTTTTGTATATTAAGGTCTCGGGCTAGGAGCTGGGCAAGAAGTGCTCTATAGGGACTGCTTATATTATCCTCTATCTTGGCAAGGTGCACTCTATAGAGACTGATGGTATTATCCCCTCTCTCGCTAGACGGTGGATCTCGGTTCGCGATGACGGACGTTGATATGACACCTGCATAGGTAGGTATATGACCTTCATTGTTGCCCGTGGTCGTCGGCATGGTCGGCACGTACGCTTCGGCATAGGTCAGCATCGGCATCAGCGCCGGCATCGGCGTCTGCTCTCACTTCACGGGCAGTCCACAGGTGCACAGCACCCTACCTACCGTACCCAACGTGAAGCAAGGGCGTACGGGGTAATCCGTACATGGAACGAAGCAAGCACCCACTGCCAGCTACGCAGCCTCAGGCACCCACGCACCTCAACCCAACCCAACCCAGCTCTTGGCTTGCTCGCCCAATCACCCGCCCTCGATATCTGCCCGCGTAAAAAGCTCCGCCGAGGTCGCTCCGCGCCAGCGACTGACTCATGCCCGCCACGCCCCGTCGCGCGCATCCCAAGCCAGACACGCAGACCAGACCAGCAGGAGCCAGGAGCCAGCACCGTGCAGCACCAGCACCACCAACAGCAGTAGCAGTAGCAGTAGCAGTAGCGCAGCTCCTTCGTACTGCTGTATCTAACTACACTAGTTAAAACACGAAAGGGTCAGGAGATATCGTGAGAGAAGCAAGCTGCTAGACTGCTTCTCCACGGAAGAAGCGTGCAAGGCGGTTTCTCCGCGGCAGCCTTGCGGCGGGCCTCGTTATCGATAAGCGAAAAAAGTGCGATTGCGCGATTGCGCGATCGGCCGGCCTCTTGCGGCGGCGGCCTTGCGGCGGCGAAGCGCGGCGGTTGGATTTTGATTATTTGTACTTGTGCCGCCGCTGGCCCCGCGCTGTTGCTCGCTGCGTTTTGAGCTGTTTGCTTTCTTTCTGTCATTTTCGAGAGATTGAAAGATCTATTTGTCTGCTCTGTCGAGCTTACTCTACCTAACCTACCTACCTGTCTACCACGCATCACCACCCACGCGCTTTGAGCGAAGACGCCCACCGACAAGCCAGCCATCCAGCATGGCGCCCGCACTCCTCACGGCCACCGACGCCTCCGGCCACGTCCACCTCATCGTCGGCAGCAACCCGCTCGCGGGGGCACGATGCACGCGCTCGCGCGAGGTGGGCGCCCGCCCCGTGCTGCTGGCGCCCGAGGATGCCGACATGCACTACGGGCTCGCGAAGCGGGTGGGCGAGGGCGAGGTCGAGTGGCTGCGGCGCGGGTTCCGCGACGAGGATTTGACGAGTTTGGGGAGGGAGGACGTCGAGGGCGTGGTTGATGCTGTGTTTGTGACGCTGGGGGGAAAGGATCCGCTGAGTATGTTTGCTTGTGGTGTGGTTTGGTTTGTGGATTTGGGATTTGGGACTAATGTGCTGTTGTATGTAGGCACGCATATCTCGACGCTGTGCCGCCGGCTGCGCATCCCCGTCAATGTCGCCGACGCGCCCAATCTCTGCTCCTTCACGCTGCTCTCGACGCACACGGACGGGCCGCTCCAGGTCGGCGTCACCACCTCGGGCAAGGGCTGCAAGCTGGCGTCGCGCATCCGGCGCGAAATCGCGGCGTCGCTGCCGTCAGAGCTCGGACAGGCCGTCGAGCGCCTAGGCACGATGCGCCGGCGGATATGGGAGGAGGACCACGCGGCGGAGCTGGCCATGGACCTAGACGCCGAGGAGGAGGATGCCGGCCAGTCGGCTGCGTTCAATAAGCTCGTCACGCCCGAGGACGCCGAGGCTGCCCGCGGCCGCCGCATGCGCTGGCTCGCCCAGATCTGCGAGTACTGGCCGCTGCGGCGGCTGGCGGGCATCACGGACGAGGACGTCTCGGCCGTGCTGCGCAGCTACACTGCGTCGGAGCGGTCGGGGCTCGACCCGGCGGCCGTGGACATGCGGCACCGCCGCGGACGCATCATCCTCGCGGGTTCGGGGCCAGGTAACCCCGACCTGCTGACCCGGGCCACGCACAAGGCCATCCTGGCCGCGGACCTCATCCTCGCGGACAAGCTGGTGCCGGCGCCCGTGCTGGACCTGATCCCGCGCCGCACCGCCGTATACATCGCGCGCAAGTTCCCAGGCAACGCGGAGAAGGCGCAGGAAGAGCTGCTGCAGATGGGGCTGGAGGGCCTGCGGGCCGGCAAGACAGTCGTGCGCCTCAAGCAGGGCGACCCGTACATCTACGGCCGCGGCGCCGAGGAATTCGACTTTTTCCGCGCGCAGGGCTATGCGCCCGTCGTGCTGCCGGGCATCACGAGCGCGCTGTCGGCGCCCCTTTTCGCCGGCATCCCCGCCACGCACCGCAGCGTTGCGGACCAGGTGCTCGTGTGCACGGGGACGGGGCGCGCCGGCGCGGCGCCCGACCCCCCGCAATACCGCGCCGCCAGCACCGTCGTCTTCCTCATGGGGCTGCACCGCCTCGCGGACTTGGTGGGCAGCTTGACGGCCGCCAAGGCCGCGTGGCCCGTTGACACGCCGTGCGCGATTGTGGAGCGCGCGAGCTGTCCGGACCAGCGCGTCGTGCGCACGACGTTGGAGTATGTGTGTGCGGCGTTTGAAGAGGAAGGGAGCCGCCCGCCCGGGCTGCTGGTTGTGGGCAAGGCGTGTGAGGTGCTTTGGTCTGCTGGGGGGCAGAAGTGGGTGGTTGAGGATGGGTTCAAGGGGTTGGATGGGCTGGGAGTGGAGGGGGATTTGGGGTTGTTGCAGGAGGCGGAGGGGCCGGTGACGGCGACGGCGTGAGGGAGACGTGGTGCTTTGCTTTTTTTCTTTTTTTTTTTCTTCTTTTGATTCTTTGCGTGCATGGATGGCGTTTTATATTGGTGGACGGGTGGTTGCATGGGCGGTGTTGGGATACCACGGAGGGAGGGATTTTACGCTGATGTGTGTAGTACATACCTAGGTATAAAAACAATCGTGCCTATCTACCTACGAAACAACCATCACCGTCGCGTCGCGGCTCAAAAAGGCCCGTCGATCCCCGTCCGGGGAAGCCGGTACGGTATCTTATCGGAGCTCCCCCAAGCTCCCCATGATCCCATCCCCCATCACCACTCACACCTCAGCACAACCTCACAGGAACGAGCAAACCATGCCGCCGCACCCGCCACCGTCCTCTTCGTCGTCGTCGAGTGACCCGCTGCGCCCGCGCGCCGGCTCTGGCGCCTCAACCTCCGGCCACCCTCCTCCAACCACCTCGACCTCCTCTGGACGCCCTCCTACGAACTCGGCCCGTTCGGCGGCGGCTGCTGCTGCTGCCCCGTCTCCTGCTCCCCGCCGCCCGGCTACCGCCCTCGCGGAACCCCAGGTCCGCTATACGGTTGTTGTGAGGCTGCCGTTTTCGCGCGGCGCCTTTGTCGACCCGGCCCAGGTTGAGTGGGACGCCACCAAGGATCAGGCGCTGTGGAAGATTATTAGCAAGAATGCAAGGACGAGCGAGCTGGATTGTGAGTTTGTTGTTGACTGTTGTTTGTTTGTTTGTTTGGGTTGGGGTTGAGGGCGCCTTTTATCTGGGCTGGAAGATTGTACTGTGCAGAAGCTAATAGGGTGATTTAGGGCAGGAGCTGGCGCTGCGGTTCGAGGTGCCCCAGAGCTTCTTGCTGCAGCAGGCTGCGTGGTTGTATGAGCGGCACTTGTCCCATGTGCGCGCGCAGATGCGCAAGGTGGGCTCTACGAGCGCAGCTGGGACGGGCGGAAGTAGTCTGGGGGTGGGGCAAGGAAAGGGAGTCCCGCGAGCGACGTCGTCGCTGTCGGTGCGTTCGAGAGATAGCCCGGTGCCTCCGCGAGGTGGCATTGGAAGCGGGCCTGGCACGCCGGGCGTAGGAGGTATGCACTCCACCTAGGTATGCGATACTACGGGCACATGGCTGACGTTGCACTCCAGCACCCGTCCTGTCACGCACCCCCTCGGCCACGACCATCACCCAAAGCCGCCTGATGCAGCAACAGCAACCACCGCCCCCGAGCCCGCGCCAGCCCGTCCGCAGCTCCTTCAAGTCCTCCTTCTCCGCTCCACGAAGGACTTCGCCCGCTCTAGAGCCCACGGCCGAAGCCAGCCACCCGCACAGCCGCGCCGCGAGCCCCGTCTCGCCGCCCGCCCTCTCGGACTCGGACGCCTCGTCCTCCTCCCGCTCCGACGACGACGACAACCCCTTCCGCCGCAGCCAGCTCTTCCGCCGCGCAGCGCCCCGCTTCCGCGCCCGCACCAAGCTCCCAGCCCTCGCGCGCCTCAACGACGACGACGATGACGGCTACGCCGAGAGCCACGGCTCCGCGGGCGTCCGGGGCGGCGACTCGGATGCCGACGACGACGACGGCTCCGACGACGTCTTCCTCCCGTTTGCGCAGCCGCCATCCCGCCGCGCACAGCCCTTGCAGTCGCCGCTCCAGCAGCACCCGCACCAACAAGATCCGGGCGCCACGCTGCGCGACCGCGACCGCGACCACAACCGCCCGCCGACCTCCTCGCGCCGCCCGCTGTTTGACACGCGCGCGCGCCCGTCCGCCAGCAGCGGGACGCCCCTCTCGGCCGTCGCGCAGGGGAAGCAGCCGCTGCGTTCGCTGGCACAGATACGGCAGCAACAGCAACAGCAGCAAGCGATGACGACAGCGGCGTCGACGTCCTCGGCCACGTCGGCGAGCGACATTGGCGCCGAGCGCCCGGACACGGCGTCGACGGTGTCGGTGCCGTCGCAGTCGCCGTCGACGCGCGGGACGCCAGGGGGGTCTGGGGCGCCGGGGCCGTTGAGCCCAAGGCACAGGGCTGAGTTGGCGCGGCTGGGGCGCTTGCCCGGCGAGGGCAGCGAGGGGACGCCGAGTATGGGCAGCAGCTTCTCGGATTTGGATGGTGAGTCTTTGTTCTTCTGTCCTCTATTGGTGGTGGTGCTGAAAGCGAGATTGTGGCTTTCGGCTTGTGCCTGTTTGCGTCTTCTTTTTCTTCTCTTCCTTCATGTGTTGGTGGCTACGGTGCTGCCATCTCCTTCCATTTCTCATATTGATGCCACCGCCCCACCACCACTATTCCTCTCTCCGTTGTTCATTTTCTATTATCACCTCTGTCTTGTCTTCTGAAAAAAGGCCACGTAACGCAATATCATGGCAGCGAGGCTAACACGTCCCCGACTTACAGATGCCAGCGTGACGCAGTCGGCGCTCGAGGAGCAGCTGCTCTCGACCATGCAGCATGCGGGCGGCATGAGCAAGATGAGCACGATTTCGCGGGCTTTTGGGAGTCGGTATTTGTGAGTGACTGAGAGGTGGGATGGTGGGATGGTGGGAGAGGGGATGGGGTGGGGTGTGGGGTGTGAGTTGGACTGCGGTGGAGGGGGTAAGTCGCTCGTTTTTGGGGGTTGATTTGATTTGCTGCTGTTCCTGGTGCTGGTGTTTGGAGATGGATTTGAGGTTTGCGTGTATATATACATCTATGGTTTTTTATGGGTATGGGCAAGGGAATGGATGGACAGGGAGGGGCGTTTTTCGTGCTTCTTTTTTGAGACGGGGATAAGGCGTCGGAATAGAGAGGTGTTTGTTTAGCTAAGGTGTTTGCTTGGGTGCGCGCTTTTTGTGGTGACGATTTGAGTTGTGTGTGTGAGAGAGAGAGCGGTATGGGTAGGTATGGGTATGACAGAGGGGGGATAGGAACAGGACGGCGAGAAGCGTCCTACATACGTGCTGGGATAAGGGCGATGAGGGAGGGGGGAGTGGTGTGGAGTTTTTGAATAAGTGTGCTCGTAAATGCCGGCGTGCTGTGCTGTGCTGTGCTGTGCTGTGCCGCACTGCATGCGGCTGGATTAGGCAGTCAGTCGAGCATGTGAAAGACTTGTTTGACGCGCTGGCTTGGCGAGGTGCGCTTGCTTGGGCTTTTTTTCTGGAGGGGTAGATGTACTGGTGGGACGTCGTTGGTCGTTGTTTTTAGTTGGGAAAGTGGTGGGTTGATGGGTTTGCTGGTTGCGTCCTGGGGAGAGTGGAGGGAGGGAGGGAGGGAGGAAGAGAGGAAGGGAAGGTGGTTGTGGTTGTGGGTGTGCTAAGTAGGGCAGGTAAGAAGCGGACGGGAAGTACACTCCGCCGTGCCTCTACTCTAATAATGTCCAACAGCGAGTAAGTGGTGATGGGGTCCGTCGCCTGCATTGGGTTCAAAAGGAAGGTGCTGGCTGGGGCGGTGTCGGGATGCCGGACAGTGAGTCGTTGCATCTGGGATACGGGCCTGAGAGCTTGCGTTCTGGACTGTTGTCACCGCTGCCGGTCTGGAGCGTGTCGAGAGGGAGTAGTCTGGAATCGGCGTTGTAGATGCCTAAGCCCCTCACTTGCTCTAGAGCGGGTGGTTATATGTTGCTATTGCCGCTGTTGTTGCTGAGGGTTAGTTCGGCAGTGACTTGGTAAGATTCAGCAGAGAAGAGACTTGTAGATGTGAGTTGCTGGTGACGACACTCTCGTCCATACTACCGTGTGAACTGAAGCCAACAGTATCAACAAGCCAAGGAGATCCAAAGCAAAGTCCACAAGACCAGTGAGCCCAACCCAACTCAGCACGAACAGTTGCAGCAAAGAAACAACACCACCTCACACAAGACCCCAGCCAAGCACCGGCAACCTCATCGTAAGAGGCTACACACCACGCCAGCTTTTCCTCGCAGTCCCGCACAAGGCGAAAGCAACAACGAAAAGCTCTTTCAAAAAAGAAAGAAAGAAAGAAAACAGCAAAAATTGCGCCGGAGAAACCCCCGAAGGAGATTCATACCAGGCCGCCGCCGCGGCGTGCAATGCAGGGCAGACTGGCAAGCCGCCGTCGTCTTGATCACGGCTGGGCTCCAACAAGGTAAGTATGAAGAGAAAAAAGAGGAGCAGGTTGGGCGAGGGGGAGCGGCGTTTATATACCTGAGGGAGCGGCGCTAGTGCCCGTAAGCGAGGGAAGAAGTGACTGTTTGGCGGGCGCGTGGGTGCTGGTGGTGCCTGCCTGTTGAGTGGGTGTGACTGCCGCTGTGTGAGGTGGTTCGTGGGTTCGTTGCCTAATAGGGAAGGTCATGACGGTGACTAGGTTTGACTACGGGCAAGCTCGACTAACGCATATGGCTAGAGGGTGTTGTGTGAAAGACGATGAGGTGTGTTGTTACTGCTCACTCTGCTCCAGCCAAGTACTCTGTGCGGAAATTGAGTTGAATGAATTAGATTACTGTGGCGTAATTATGTAAAGGCCCTCGTTGCCATCTAGAAACGTATTCTAATAAACCAGTTTAGGATATCTGATGCCAATTTTCCAGTACCGAAAGGCATTGATTAGAAGTAATTACTTTTTAAACATCATTCCCCTAGCAATCTAGTCACTCCACAGCTCCGTTCTGCTCCCAAGTCAGGCGCGGCGCGGGGCGCAGCTGAGGACAAGGCAGGTTGCCTCGCAGCTGGGCGGAGGTGCCTGTAATGGTGGCCGGTGTAGGAGATTCATAATTCGTCATTGAAAGGCCGTAGTCCTCGGAGGAGAAGATGCGTGACGCAAACTCACAGAGCTAACCAACACAGTCAGCTCATTTCTTCTTCTCCTCCTTTAGATCCAGCCTCGTCTTCAGATCTCCCGAGCTCTTCACCTGCATTTTCTTCTCGGCCGCCTCTTCCTGCGCTTTCCGCAGCTCTTCCGGCAACATCCTCCGCTCCAGACTACACGGCAGGACCCGCCTGCCGCCCACCATTTCCCCCTTCTTCAGCTTGTCGTCCCACCGGTCATAATACAGCGCCCACTTCAGGCCGTCTACCTGCTCTTCCTCCGGTACCTCGACGGCGACAAACCCCTCCCAACCCTCGAGCGTCACCCCCGCTTCGTCGTCTGTCCAGTCCCACGGCCCGACGATGTGCGCTATTGACTGCGTGCGGTTTCCGTAACTTAGGTGGAGAGTTTCCTTGCGCGCATATATCCAGTTTAGCATTGGCGGGTCGGTGTTTATGGTCGACACGAGGCCGCGCTCGCGCGGGTTGCGGTCTTCGTCAGGGTACATGATGTAGAAGCCAGTGAAGGGGTGCGGAGGCGGGACGCCTGGTGCTGGAGAGGCGGGCTGTTGCGTTTTTTCGTCTTGGGGACAGACCCAGACCTGGAAAGGCTAGTTAGTGGCGGTTGTGGTGGGAGAGAGGAATGGTGAGCGCACTCACCCGGTCCTTGTGTAGCACGACGATGCCGCCGTCGATTTCGTCTTTCTTGCTGCTTTTGGCGCCGCAGTAGACGTCCATGTAGAACTTGACCATGCGCGTCTCGTTTGCGGCTTCCTTGTTCTGCTCTTTTTGGTGGTGGACGCCTTCGGCGACACCTGTGACGACGGGGATGCCGGTGATGACGCCGCCGTAGAAGATGCCCATTCCTAGCATGGCCATGGTGGGCAAGTGGTATGGATGGACGGGATTGTTTTCGTAGACGAGGATTCCGTGAGGGATTCAAGGGGGAACACGCAGGGCGGTATGTTTGAACTTCTTCTCTGGCGGTACAAAGTGCGGGGGAGAGGCCGAGCAAAAGTTGGACGGAAGACTGCTGACGCAATGGAAGCAGGGATGTGGACGGGCACGGGCATCAGGCCTGACGTGCCTAACAGTAGTGCACCGTTGGGCACGGCACGGGCGGAGGTTTGGAGGCTTGGAGGCTTGGAGGAGTGAGGGAGAAGAGCGAGCTGCTGGAGTGTATCGTGTGGGGATGGTGGAAGACCTGAAGAAGCCTCACAGCCTCATTTGTCCGCTGCGCCCTCCCATTGGCGAAGCTGGGCGAGGGGGATAAATAAAGCAAAGGCGGCGCCGCCTCATTTATCTAGAGTATTCTTTGCCTAGCTCCCAGCCCGACTTCTGGGTCTTGGGGCTCTACACATCTTAGCTGGGTTTCTTCTTCTACTCTGTACAACTATCACCATCTCGCAAGGCGGCGAATCCCGCTTCATGGTGGCATCGATGAAGTGTTTTCATTCCCTTGATTAACATGGTGTACACCAGCCACTCTGCACCGCCGCGCCGACGTGCATGACGCACCAAGCACCCGCGGCCGTTGATGTGTTGGCAGCGCCGGCTCGACGCAGCCACAACGCTCGAATCACTCCAATGCGCGCCGGAGACCTCTCTGCCGTCATTGCAGCAGCAGCAAGCTGCGTTTGACCGGTATCCATCCCCCTCACTCACTCACACACTCTCTCTCTTCCCCCTTCTCTCTTCTCTTTCTCTTCCCTTATAATCCGGACCTACCTAGCCATTCACATACCGTCGTAGGAGTATAATGCGCGTGTCGCTAGCAGAGGGTCAGTCTGGTTCATTTTCCGCGTCGTCAGGTCCCGCCGCTTCCTTGCTCCGTCCGCGGTAAGGGCTCCCAACCTCTGCGAATTGCTCCGGCCACCTGAATTTGTTTCGTTCCATCTTCCAGAAAACTAATGCGTAGTCTCATCCGCACAGCTTCCCACACGACCATTCTTGCCGCGCCCCATTATAGTCGTCGCATCCTTCTCGCACCTATCGAATCCCCGGCCTCACGCTAGAAGCTCCACTCTGGGCTCAGGGTCCAGTCCAGATCCAAGTTGACCTCTACAGGCCACCAGTCGCTGCACGACACCGTGTCTAACCCCCAAGAAGAAGACACGTATAAATCTTCACTTCAGCTCCGCCATCAACAAGCCCAGGCCTACTACCAACAACACGAGCCTCTGTCGCGTCGCTCCTCCTCCGAAGGCAGTCAAACACACTCGCTCCGCCGCACCCCCAATTTCGACGACCAACAACAACTCGACCCCGCCCATTCCTACTGGGCCACCGCCCGTGTCGCCGCGCGTTCCGCCCGTCTCGTATCACACTCATCCCCGCAAGATCCACCACCACCGCACTCGGCCCTTCGCATCTCGCGCCGCACCGCCGCCGCTGTCCTCTACACGCTTGAGGAAGCCCTGCGCACGCCCTATCCCTTCACCCCCGACCTCGCCGAGGAGAACGCGTCCATGTCCGACCTCCCGGGCGGAAGCGGCCGCGCGGCCAATGGCGGCGCGCGCGCCGCCGCCGGTCCCGTCCCCGTCCAACAGCATGCCCCCGCCCAGATCCGCACCCCGGTGCAAATCATGCGCGAGCGTAAAGACCGCGAGGCCCGCAGACAGGCCGAGGCCGATGCCAGAGAGCGCGAGGAACAGCAGAAGGTCCAGTTGGAGGAGCGCATAAAGAACGCGGAGAGGAGGGCGGCTGCCGCTGGCGTTGCCGGCGGCAATACTCGCGACTCTGGTTACCGCACGGCCAGTGAGCCCGCATACACGCCTATGGTTGGTGGGAAAACGTCAAGCGAGGGCTTCCAGTCGCCCTATGTGACCGCCGGAGCGGCTAGGGCGGCGGCTGCTGAGAGACAACAACAACAACAACAACAACAACAACAGCAACAGCAGCAGCAGCAGCAGCAGCAGCAGCAGCAGCATCAGGCAGGCATTGGGGGGCCTGTGTCGCAACCCGTACCCACACGAGCACCCGAAGCACCATCAGGCGGAAGGTCTAGAGGTCCTTCGCTCTCACAAGGCCAGCCCAGAGCTGCACCACAACAATCTGCCGCGGCCACTGCCCGCCAGGCACACCAACCCTCCACACACACCAGGCAACCCTCCGCATCAGCCACGGCGGCCCAACCCCGTACCGGCGGCGGCGCCACCGGAGGCCAGTCTACAGCCCGCTCCTCAGCATCCATGGCCGACACCCAGTCGCGCGATCCCACCGTCTCATCCTTTCCTCACGCCTTCGAGCGCTGGGAACAACTGTCCTCCCACTGGGAGGGCCTGACATCCTACTGGATCAGGCGGCTCGAGCAAAACACCGAGGAAGTGCGCCGCGAGCCGCTGGCACAGCAGATGTCCCGCCAGATCACGGACCTCTCGGCCGCGGGCGCGAACCTGTTCCACGCCGTCGTCGAGCTGCAGCGCCTGCGTGCGTCGTCGGAGCGCAAGTTTCAGCGCTGGTTCTACGAGACGCGCAGTGAGCAAGAGCGCTCGCAGGAGGCGCAGGCCCAGACAAGCAAGGCCATTGAGTTGGAGCGCCAGGCGCGCATGGACGCCGAGGCTAACCTGCGCAACTCGGAGCAGGCCCGCCGCAACTCGGAGAAGATGGTCGTCGAGATGCGCCGCGAGCTCGCCATCTCGAAGGAGGAGGCGCGTCGCGCGTGGGAGGAGCTCGGTCGCCGTGAACAGGAGGAGCGCGAGCGCACCATGTCGCTCCGTGAGGGCCAGCCGACCCTTGTCGGCGGTGTGCAGGTCGTCCCCATGGCGGCCGGCATGGGCAATAGCAGGCACGGCAGCATGTCCCAGCAGGGCCGGCCCACGACGAGCGGCAGCCAGGGCCAGCAGTCTGCCAGCGGCATGAGCGGTGCTGGGCCCACGCCTATCGAGGGCGGCTACTCGTACGACGAGGCGCAGTCGCCTACCGACACCGATCCGTTCGCAGAGGGCAACACGCACTTGCACCACGAGCACGATGTCCCCTCCCTCGCCCAGGGCACCTACCAGCCCATGCCTCCAACCTCAGGTGCAGGCGTCACAACCCCGTCCACGGCCCGTACAGCCATCCCACCGACGAGCCAACCCGGCCAACACTACCCGCAACAAGCACACCAGCACCAGAGATCCTCACCCCCGCCGGTTATCCCCTCTGCCGCCGCCGAAGCAGCCAGCCACTTCTACCAGCACGACGGTCAAGGCAGCTTCCTCCCCGGTGGCCGCAGCGACGCCCCCACCAGCAGCAATCTCAGCAGCAACGTCAGCGGTCCCGGTGGGCCTGGCGGACCCGACAGCGGCGCCCCCTCGGCCATCGACGACGGGCCCTCGTATGTCGGTTCCGAACTGGGCGACGAGTCGTCGGTCGGCGGCGAGGAGTGGATGATCGATGAGCATGGGCGCTTCGTCACTGACGCGGCGGGCCGGCGCGTGCCTTATCGTGGCGCGATGCGCGGCGTGCGCTCTCCCGATAGTGAAGACGACTACGACGTCCAGAGCGATATTGCGCGCGAGCGAGAGCTGGCGCAGCGGTATGGCATCACGCCTGCGACGAGCGGCGGCGGCGTTGTTGGCGGCATAAGCAGCCCTGTCAGCATAGGGAGCGGAAGCGGTGTGGGCAGCCCGACTGCCGGGCCGTACGAGCATGGCGGGTACGCCGTTGGTGGTGGCCCCGGCGGCCCGTATAGTCCTGCGCCGGATTATACGGGGTCCGGGTATGGCGAGTGGAGTAGTATGACACCGCGGCACCATCACCCGACCCGGTTGAGCGACGTACTTGAGGAAGATGAACGGAGTCGGACGAGCCTGAGCCGGGCGAGCCAGACTAGTCGGGGGTTGTATTGATTGAACGATTGATTTGGTGGCTAAGTGAATCTGAGGAACGAGGGAAAGGTTTACCGGATTGGGTTGTTTGGTTTGGATGGGGGTTCTTTCGGTTTCCTTTTTTCCTTTTTCTTGCTGCTTCGACGACCTCTTCTGCTTTTTCTGCTTTTTCTGCTTCTTTTTAACGATGCTGCGGGTTGGTTGTCTCTGTACTACGAGCACGATACCACCGGCGTGGCAAGGCATGAACACTTACCTCTTACTTAGTTACCTACCTCTTCTTCTGTCGTCTTTCTTGGGCGTCTGCTTCTTCGACTTCTTCCTGTTCTTCTGGCGCAGCCGACGTCATCGGACATTACCCCCCCCTGGTTAGCGGTGCGTCTTTCTATAGCCTGTTGGCTTTCTGGGCTTTCTTATAGTACTTTTGGCTTTAGTATGCATGCATGTGGAGGCGTATGTCGAGAGCATAAGGAGAGAATTGGCGAGTGAGTGAGATGGTAATACTTGTACGGAGTAGAAGAAGAGACCCTGTTAAGGTGTGTAGAGTCAGTGTGTGTGCTCTAAGATCTTTTTACCCATACTCAGGAGTCGGGCTAGGAGCTAGACAAGGTGTAATCTGTAGGGACTGCTTGTGTCGTCTCCTGTATTGCTAAGCTGTAGATTTCGGTTCTCGGTGACGGACATTATACAACCAGGAAAGGCGTCTTGGCAACCTGCAAGACAGTGGCCGGCGACACACGAAGGAATAATTTAGGAACGCGTGCACAAACGACGATCATAGTCTCAAAGGTAAGCTATGCCGACGGGAAATCGGGCGATGTTGATGTGCGGTAGCTATAGCTAGCTATCATAGCAAGTGTGAGGTATAGTCGCGCAAGCAGGGACATGGGGGCCGGGTGCGGTAGTTAGTGGGTAGGAGGTATAGGTAGGGAAAAATTTAAATGTTTAGGATAGGTTGGAGGAGCAGGGGTGGTGGATAAGCGGGCTCGCGGGCGGCACAGAGAGTGGGGGGTGGGGCGGGTCGCTTGCTGGTACGCTGGGTGGTAGGGATGGGCTGGGGAAAGTGCGGTTGGGGTTGGTGGGTGGTGACTGCCGCACTGGGTGGTGTGAGAAGAGTTTGATGGCTGCGGCTTTGTAACGTCCGTCACCGTGAACCGAGATCTACCGTCTAGCGAGACAGAGGACGACACAAGCAGTCCCTATAGAGTGCTCCTTATCTAGCTATAAGCCCGAACTTACCCTAACGACTAAAGATATCGCGATATAACGCGACGTCTATTACTATAAACTAAGAATCACCGTATAGCGAGACAAGGGATAATATAAGTAGTCCCTATAGAGTACTCCGTGCCTAGCTCCTATCCCGAGTCCCCGGTATAGGTAAAAAGGTCTTAGAGTATATAGAGGCTCTATATATCCTAACTAGGACTCTTCTTCTCCTCCGTACAGAGCCTCTATACACCTTAACTAGGTCTCTTCTTCTACTCCGTACACGTATTACCATCTCGCTTCACGGTCAATCTCGCTTCACGGTAACGGACGTTACAACAGTTTGAAGTCCATTTTGACATGCTCAGTATAGTTTGAGGCCTTCCTGTCTCTTAGAAATCACAAATCATAAACGGACAATGCTGTTCAGGCAAGCCAGAAATCGACATTCAATCTAGCAACTAGCTATACAGTCCCGAACCCGCGCAGTAATGCGTACACAACAGGGACCAAAGCGACCTCTAAAATGTGAAGCACTCCAAGTACAAGGCCAGGATGCGAATGGTAAAAACCGCAAAATCAAAAAAGTGTAGAAATAGAATCGAAAGCAAGCAAGCCAGCCATCTAGCCAACTTCATTCCATCGTTCGTCCGTCCAATCCGCCCATCAACCACATGAATCTTTTTTTCATCTCGTACATCAAGACGATCTTTTCACCAGGCCAGCCGGTGACCGGGGACAGTTGAGCGACCCGCTTAGGCGGTGCTGTTACTGCTGCTGCTGTAGGTCGAGTCAATGTCGCCGTAGCGGATGTTGGAGTAGATGACCGAAGAGTCGGCGTCGTTCGCCTCGACATCGTCGGGCTTGCCGGTGTCAGTGCCGCAAGGACCACGAGCGACACCAGGGGTGGAGGCGTCGCCGTCGGCGGGGTCGTTGCTGTCGAGCCAGAGGGCGTTGGCAGTGTGGTCGTCCCACAGACTGAGGACGAGGACCATGCCGCGCTCAAAAGCGCCACCCATGTTCTTAATGCCGCCGAGGTTGCTGAAGGAGTTCTCGTCGCCGAAGAGCTCCTTCTGCGCAGTGCAGAAGTCGTCGCTGACCGAGTTGAACTTGGCCAGGGTGTCGTAGTCGGCGAAGGAGTTCTCGATGACCTTGCCGCCCTGAACGTACTTGCGGCGGATCTCGGTCAGCTCGCCGTCGGCAGTGCCGTCGGCAGTGATGAACTGCGTCACGACGGTGAACTTGGACGTCGTGTCGACGATCTTGCCCTCGCCGTAGAACGACTGGTTGCCCATGCGGTACGGGTTGAAGTCACAGCCGTCCTTGTCGCACACACCGTCGTAACGCTCGTCAGGAGCGTCGCCGCACTCGGTGCCCTCGCACCTGTAAGAGCCCTGGACCTTGTCGGAGCACACGTGCGGCGTGTAGGCGTTGGCCTGGGAGTTCGCCTCCCAAATGTCCATCTCGTTGCAGCAGGAGCCGTAGTGGCCCGTGCCGGCGTTCTTGTCGGTGTCCGACGCCGCCCAGTCCTGGACGTTGGCCTCGCCAGCAATGAACTTGAGGTCGTGCGGGCACTGGGTGTCGCAGTAGCCGGTGCCGTACTTGGCGCCAGCCTTGTTGGTCTCGTACTTGGACATGCCGCCGTCTTCCTCCATCTGCAAACGTTTAGTTAGAGTCGAACAACCATTTATGCTTGTGAGAACTAACCTCGGAGAAGTAGAGGGCGCCGTTCAGGCCGCAAGGCAGGTTCGAGACATCCACGTCGAAAGTGAACTCCTGGTTCTTGAGCTTGAACATCTCGTACTTGTCCTCGCTGCCCTCGGCCAAAAGGTAGACACGGGATCCAACGTTGGCGCCGGACGAGCCCTGGGTGACGAACTTGAGCGTCAGGGAGTTGCCGTCAGCGGTGATGCCGTAGGTGCCCTCGTAGTCAGCGCCGTCCAGGGCGCAGGCAGTGGTGCAGGTCTCGGCATCGGGGCAGATGGAGGTGTCCCACTCGTTGCCAGTGTAGCAGTTGGTGTAGCCCTCCGTCGTGTGCAGCCAGCGCCAGTTGGCGTCAAGCACAATCGAGGTCGATTGGTCGGTGCAACCGCCAGCGGTGGTGCATTTTTGGGTCGTCAGCTTGGGGTGCGTTTCCGCAGTCTGAGTTCCCACCTGCTGGGCGTTGGTGGCAGCCAGCAGGGCTGAAAGAGAGGCGAGGACGGAAGTCTGATACATAGCGAAGGAAGAAGCGATGGTTGTGGACTGGAGAGCTTGAACTGAGGTCTCTGGCTGTCTTCTTATATTCCCTTCGCCAGAGGCAAATTCAGCGACGCCTTCTACGTTTTCGCCTCCCACGTCGTCTTTACCGCCGCCACTAGATTGACCGGCCGCTACATTCAGAGCATACTCCGCGAAGAGCCGAATATTCCGTGGCCGTATGAGCTTTCCAGTCTCTCCGGACCCATCTTAGCAGCGTGATCTGTGGATCTTGCCGAAGCGAGACTGCAAACTACGGCTTCACGGGCCGTCAGTATTAAGGACGATCCTTTGATTTCCGGCTTGAACGTTCCTGAGGCTCCCTCTACGAGACGAGATCCGGTCAGTACCTGCAGCTCTATGCAGAGAATGCTGCTAGTTGCATACACTTCGACCAATTGGGGAGGATGGCGTTAGAATGCGCCGATCCAATGGGGTAATTTTAGTACGAGTCCGTTTACACTGTTTCACAATCCCAAGTTCTTTGCCATGTGGGGAATCCGGGGTAGATGCTTGGATAAGTGCTGGCGGCAAAGGCTGCATAATGGCACCAATCGTCTCATCTTGGCGTGTATTGCTTAAGAGACTTGCGATGACAGCGAGACCTCTCGCCATGGAAAAATAGCCATTAACCACTGCGCAAATTAGTCCAATCTATCCGAGGTGTTTGGGTGTCTCTAAACGCCGATGAAGCAGCACTAGCATGGAGCAACGTATGCAAAGTCTGTACATCCAGCGCTTCTGCTTTGTGTACGTTTGGTGTGGGCCGCGGAGCAAAGATAGTGGCTTGTCCACGACCCCGGCATACGTTGATGCTGGGCTTGGCACTCCGCCGGCTACCCTGTCCGGAATCCGGATAGCATCTCGGTGGCGCTTCCAAGCCTCCATCACATTTGCTTGCATGGACGAAGGTGCCAAAAGAGACTGGTCGAAGCTATGACATTGCAAGAGTGAATAAAAAGAAACAAACGTCGACGACTCAAGGAAATGTCGCCGGGCGGGCGCAAAGTCGCCGTCACACCACACATGCCGGGGTTGTTGGCGCTCATGCAGGGGGGTCACTGCAAAAGTAAAACAACGTTTTGAGGGGTCGGCGGGTTCATTCGTCCAATCCACAGGGGTGCTGTGGGTAAAGCGAAGAATCCTCCGTACGGGGTAGTCGTCAAAATGTTCAGAGTCGGGGAGATGATCCGGTTGAGGTGGGATTGAAGCGAGGCCAGAACCGCGACCCGCACGCCATCTCCACCGTGCCTATCCAGCGCATCACTATCGTGTCAACGTCACCTTTCCACCTCCCCATATTGCGCCGTCATGGGGTGATGAGGACATTTTTGAGGGACGGTCCGTAGCGCCACAAAACCCCAGGTCGCTCTACGTCAATCAAGCATTGACCAGCCATATCGACCGGGCAAAAGGCTGGTGGAGTGAGCCAGGCTCCTGAAAAATCTTCAACAGGTGTTCGACTGCCATCTGCTGTGTACCCATTTTCCCGTAGGAAGGTTCTGTACGTGGTAGAAGTCGCCGTCGGAACATGGATTCCAGGATGTTGCTTGCAACAAGCAGGCAAGGCCGTGGCTTCGTGGTCAGGCTGTGGCAAAAGAAGTGTTGACAGCTCGTGCAGGGCAAGTCCTCTGTAGCTTCTACGAAGGTAATCTGTACGGGTCCGTACGGCGCATGAAGAAGCGGTGCCTCGGTCCAAAATGTCTTCCTGTCTTTCTATCAGCCAACCCCACACCGGTGACTTGCAAAGACAAGTCAAAGTCGAGCAAAAAGAAAGATGTTGACAAAGGTGGGGCTCGACTTGGGTGCTGTTATCACCGCCATCCACGGTCCGAGGGTCCCGAGGCACTGCTATCCGGGCACGCCGGGCACCTTCCAATCTTTCTCGGCCCACACCACCCACCACTTTCATAGCACCAAAGAGCAGTCCATCCCATGCCAAAACAAAGAGATGATGATGGTTAGGATGTGACTCGAATGGAGTGTTGTCATCACCGCTATCCATGGCTCTACGGCACCGCTTATTTCTATGTCTGGACACGTTCAATCTTGCTTAGCCTACACTACCACTCTCACAACGCCAAAAAGCACTCCATCCCACGCCAAAACAAAAGATGATGATGAGGGTGGGACTCGAACTTTTTTCCGGATTAGTATAAGAGGTATAATAGAGGGGGATAAAGGTGAAAATACCCCACGAGAGTTTCCTCACTAGTAACTCCTTTTCGGAACTCTTTTCAGATGTCCTGAAACTAGCGCCATAACCACTCGGCCACCTCACCGGGTTGTGATGACTAAGATTTGGTAGTCGGGGTTTTTGTTCGTAGAAAAGTCCAAGTGGGGACAGCGAAGCGAGATATCAGCGCTCTGGCGTTCGCGCTTCCAGTTCACTCACGTTAACGACAGCATGGATTTAACTAAACTCGTCGCTTCCAAAGATCCCTCAGCAAATTAAGATGCTGGAAATAAACCCCACCGATACTTAAGCTTAAATGCTATGCGTTTTTAATTCTAGATAAGCTTTAATTTTTGTGAGGACTCATAATACTTCTATCAAAAATATCGCCTATTTAATAATACTTCCTTGTTAATTTGCGTATATCAAATCATAGGAGTTCTTCGGAAACTAGATTAGTATCTGTAATAGATGATTAGATGTTTACTATATTTTAGGTCAATCTCTCAGTGCAGAAACTTCAAGTTTCGTTAGAACTTTTGTATATAGAGAAACAATCAGGTAGATTTCGAACAAGGCAAAGACGGCCATCCATTGTATAGACCGATATAGTTATTTCTCGCAAGTAAAGAGTAACTTCCACTCGCTTAAATCGGAAATCGACGTGACTTAAATAGTGTTGAGATTATTTGAGTAAACACCAAGATGGTCGAGATTTTTTCTATAAGTATACCAACCTATTTAATCTTCTTTGTTCGCACCGGCCTTTGACAGCGTCGCTGTAGTGACAATGACAATAGCACGCTGTGAGCAGATTCCTGACACAGGAAAGTTTCACTATATCCGCCATCATGATGAGCAGAAGCCAACCTTGAGCCCAGTCGCCAACTAATAGATCGGGCCAAATTAGTGTAACAGCTACGTTTTCTGACCGCAAACGATGTTGAGGTTAAGCTCGTTCTCGGCTAAACCCTCAAGATACCTCCGGATTTAACGCTATCGCCGCCGCGATTGGCGTCGTTGTCATCATCGGAGGTAACCTCCGCAACCTATTAACAGCATTCCGACTCATCGGCCCAAAAACTATATCTTCCACCTCATTTGCTTCATATCGAAATATATTTTGCAGCATATCTCGCAATGAGCCAGGATCCACGTTCCCCGCCTAGATCTGGCGAGACATCAGGATCCGTCAACCAGGATCCCTCAAGCAGCTTCGATCCGAATAACCCGTGGGGCGACGAAGACGACATGGAATACTTGCCCGTGGGGGAACTTGGAGAGTCGGTGGATGATGACAATGATGCTGACGATTTCCATGGTAAGGATTCGCGGAGCCGCCACTTGCACTTGCGGTTGCCGAAGCCTACGCGCTAACCGCGAGACCTCGCAGACGCTGAAGAGAGTTTGAATGAAATTGGTATCGAATTTGAGGATATAATAGAGGAAGAAGATGACGAGGGCGACCATGACGACGAGACGGAAACCGAACGGCGACAGCCCATATACAGTATTGAACCCTTGTCCCGCCAGTTACTGGACGCGCATTAATTGACTGTCGCAGTTACACGGGACCAAATAATGCAGCTTTTGGGACACGCTGGCCTGCGCCGTATTTTCGCTGACCACACTTCCGGACGACGCGCGCATCTGGACGACGACGACGACAGCGAAGAGGATAACACTGGATATGGCGGGGTTGGACCTAGGCGACGGCGGGGTAGAGGTCGTAAAACGTTTGAAAAGGTGCCCAGTGAAGAGGGGAAGAAACTCATGGCATCGGGCACTTTTGGCGCGAACGACAGGCCAACAGACACACTCAAGCGCAAAAAGAGATTGGCCTACAGGCTGATGCAGAGAGAATTGGGGCAGGGCACAATAGCAAGACAAAAAGCCGTCAAGAACCTCATTAGACAGGTGAGTTGCTGCTGAGGGACCACGTCAGAGAACCTCGACTGACAACCACCCAGCATCTGATTCCCTCGACAAGGGCAGACATGATTATACATTATGACGCGCGTTGTTACTCTGGCCAGTTTTCAGATGACGGCAACTTTTTCTTCTCGTGCGCCCAGGACTTCAAGGTGCGGATGTACGATACGTCGAATCCCTTCGACTGGAAATATTATAAGACCGTCGAATACCCGTACGGACAATGGACCATTACAGACGCATCCTTAAGCCCGGACAACAAGTGGCTGGCGTACAGTTCCATTCGAAGCATTGTATGCCTGGCACCTACCGATCCCACTGACACCTCCGAGCCTCATCTTCTCGACTTTTCCAACACTGGCACTCGCGGACGGCGCGGCTTCCACGCATATCCCTATTTCGGTATATGGTCGCTCCGCTTCTCAGGAGACGGACGCGAAATTGTGGCGGGTACGGGCGATCGCTCAGTGTATGTCTACGATATCGAACGCCAGCAGTCGATTCTGCGCATCCCTGGCCATGATGACGATGTCAATGCAGTGTGTTACGGCGACGTCAACAGCCCGCACATTTTGTACTCTGGTTCAGATGACACGACCTTGAAGGTGTGGGACCGGCGCAGCATGGCAGATGGACGGGAGGCAGGAGTCTTCCTTGGACATACGGAAGGCTTGACATACGTGGACAGCAAAGGTGACGGCCGCTACGTACTGTCGAACGGCAAGGATCAGACGGCAAAGCTCTGGGATCTGCGCAATATGATGAGCACTCGCGATGCAGACAAGATCGACGTGAACCAGTTCACAACTGGCTTCGAATATCGTACTAATGCGTACGATGAAAGCGACTACATTCCGCATCCGCACGACCGCTCGCTCGTCACCTTCCGTGGGCATCAGGTTTTGAAGACGCTGATTCGTTGCCACTTCAGTCCTCCTGGCAGTACGGATTCCAGGTACGTGTATAGCGGTAGCTATGATGGCAGCGTGTATGTCTGGGATCTCAACGCAGAAGTCAAAGCAAAGATCAACGTACTGGACGCGACGCGTAACTCTAGGCCGAGGGATGCGGATCTACTTGCTGAGACGTACGACTTTATCGGCCGGAACGGTGGTACGTGGCAGACGTGTGTACGAGACGCGAGTTGGCACCCTAACGCGCCTGTCATTGCTGGTAAGTGGTTTTTATCTCATTCTTTCCTCTATTTGAGAGATTGCACTGTCTTCGGTCTTGGAATGAAAACTGACTATTTCTAGCAACATCCTGGAACGGTTGGGGTACATCTCTCGGTACCTGCACTGTCCACACGTGGAACGAAGATATGGGTGCAGAGGCCGAAGACGAGGGTGAACCAGCAATGGGGCGGCGTGTCAACGCGCAGCTCGAACATGATCCGGAGCTCTACGGCACCTCGGAAGGTCGTCGAGGCATGAGCCTGTTCTCCAGAAGGAGAAGAAGACAGGCCCGTGATGAGGATGATGATGATTGACTAGGTCTAGTTTCCTTTGATGTTCTAAATTAGGGTGAGAAGGGAGCCGGTCTTAATGAGTACATATAAGGCGTTGCAGGCAACGCTAATGGAGGGATTTTGCCAGGACTTCCGGATTCTGTCTCGGTTGTCTGCGTGGATACATATGGCGTTACATAGGACGAGGTAGACATACTTGGACAGCGACAATGGGTAGCAGATAGGTGTCGCTTCAATATTCCGCTTTAAGATTCCTAAACTCCGCGCGTGTGCCTGTTCGCGTTCGTACACCCGTACAAGAGTGATCCTTCCACCATCGTGGTATTATGCAGCATTCTCCAACGTGCTGCGCCGCCGGATGCGTCGCGGCTAGCCCCCACCAAGGGCTCCAAGGTGACTTAAGTTCCAATTTGTACGTCTCCGCGACATCACGAACCGCCGACCAGGATGTTGTTAACGGGGATGTGAACTATAGAAGCCTATGTTAGCTAAATGCGGCAACGTTGAGAGGACTTAGCAAGACGGACCGAGCTTGACGATGTAGCCGATAGCACCCATAACCACGAAACCGACACCGACGGCCTGAGAGATTTTGATGAACTCGCGCTTGTCGGCTGGAGAGGAGTTAGTGGTTGCGCAGCCGTGCGGGGAACGTGTAGGAGGAGTGCATGTTGCGTCGCGGAGAAGGACTTACGCTTAGTGCATCTACGAGAGTTAGCTATTGAATGGCTTGCAACGCGAGCTGTCGCAAAGGGGGAGCTTGCCTGTTCAAGAACTGGGTGCCGTCCTTGATGAAGTCCTTGGGGACATCGGCGAGGTCCTTGAGCTGGTCGGACATGGCGACTTGAATTGAAAGGTTGTGTCTAGCTACCCACGTGCCTACATAGGTTGGTGTTGTGGTGGGTGTCGGCGGCGGACAACCCCCGGTCGGCGATGGCCCCGGATAATTTGCCCACCTTCTAGACATTTTGCCCACCCCTCAACTACATGTTGAGTAAAATCTACGATATATATAGAGTACTCCTTAGGTATCTATAGTATAATATTATACTATAACTAGTAAGTGCTATATAACTATATAAAAGTAAAAAAATATAAGATATATTAGTATTTAAAAAGATATAATAGTAAAAATATATACGTATCCTAAAATATTCTTTAAGGGTAAAAGGGAGATATGTATAAGTCCTAGAGTATACTAAAAGAGTATAGAAGTTAGAAATATTTAAGGCTTAGAGTATACTATAAGGATACGAAAATAAAATATTTAAAGGGTTTAAAGATACTTATAAAGGGATAAAGATTAAAAATATCTAATAGTAGAAAGTATATTATATAGTTTTGCAGGTATAATATCACGTGGAGTGGGCAAAAATATCTAGAGGGGGTGGTGGGCAAATTATCCGCTGCTGGCGGACAACCCCCGGCCGGCGATTCGCGCGCCAAGGCCGGCGGCCCCGGAGCCTCAACCTAGAAGTCAGATCCGCAACGACGCCTCTCCTTCCCATCGACACCGACGCGTTCAGGTAGCTCTCCCGCAGACCGCCCCGCGCAAATCGACGGCTAATCGGGCGCTCGCAGGCTTCGCATCCGCACTCTCGACCGATCCGACCCGCATGCGACGTGGCTGAAGAGCAGCAGGAGAAGGGCTTCACTAGCGACAGGCACCTTCACCCGAGCTCCATCGCGCTCGGTGGATCTTTCTCATCGACGCTCACTGAAGAGTTGCGGTTACACGTTGAAGGAAGAAGCTGTTCTGTCTTTCCCAATAACAATTGGATCAAATCCTGTACCTCAGCCAGCAAGGCTCATCCGCGCATCAAATCATCAGGCACACACACACACCCACACACACGCAGACAGTTTGTCTCTTCACTCATAACTTGTTATAATATCTCCCGCGTCCACCATAAAGGTGACCGGAGACTGGGAAGTCTGTCATACATTGAGCGAGGTTTTCGATTTGTTTCTGAGACGTTTCGGAAGTGTACGTATAACCACTGACTCTTCATCCACCGCATGTACCCTACCAATTCTTTTCTTTCTCGCGTTCCGATCTTCTGCGTTCGATTGCGGCTGTGGACAGCAAGCAATGCAGTTACCTTGCCGCCATGCTACCTGTTGCCGCTCTTTTGTACCTTCGAACTTGCTGATCAAGCTTCGACCCTGCAGACTTGTTAAACCCGTGCGTTACGGGTCACACAGTATCTACAAAAACTAATCCATCCTCACAAAACCAAGAATCGTTGGTCCTGTTGCGCGTTTTTCAAGATGGCTGACGACGATAACTTCGACATCGACATCTACGGCGACGACAACACCCAGGAGTACAACCAGAATGAAAGTGAGGTCAAGGCAGAAAGCCAGACCGAAGCCATGCCTGACGCGCCCCAGAACAGCGAGACTCCTAAGCCAGAGGACGATAAGGCCAAGCAGCACGAGAACAACGGCACCAACGGTGACCAGACGCAAGCCATTTCGAGTACAGGTGGATCGTCGCAGAACCAGCTGCAACCGCCCAAGCAAGCACCCGTACAGCAGGGCGTAAAGCGCAAGGAAGGCCCAGACGATCGACCGGTTGATGCCAATGCGACCACTGCCTTGCTGATCAGCGAACTGCACTGGTGGACGAACGAGGATGACATTCGTGGCTGGGCAAATCAGAGTGGATGTGAGGATGAGCTTGTTGACGTCACTTTCAACGAGCACAAGGTGAATGGAAAGAGCAAAGGGTAAGTTATCAAGAGGGCATTTGGAACTGTTGTGGTCGTAATCATGCTTTGCATGTCTGTACAAGCTTATATATTTCCAAATGCTAACGTCTCAATAGGCAATGCTTTGTTGAGTTGAGCTCTCACCAAGCCGCCACTGCTCTTAAGCACACGATTGAATCTTTTGGTCAAGGCCAGCAATACGCCAAGAAGCACACAGCTGTTTTCCACGCCCCGCACATCAACCCCTATCGCACGCTGCCAAAGGACGTGCCAAACCGCAAAGAGGGTAACCAGAGCCGCGGTGGTTCCTTCAGTGGATCTCCCGCAATGTCAAACAGCAACTTCCATTCCGGCGGCGGTGGCGGCTTCCGTGGTGGCCGTGGAGGCTTCAACCGTGGCGGCAACATGGGCATGGGCTACAACAACCGCAATTTCTCTAGCCCAATGAACGGAGGTCCCATGGGTGGCGGTTTCAACGGACCAATGGGCGGCATGAACCCAATTGGTGGGATGGGCGCGATGAACAACATGGGCTTCAACGGCTTTGGTCGTGGAGGTGGCATGATGGGCATGCGGGGTGGCATGGGTCCTAACCGCGGCAGAGGTGGCATGGGCGGCGGAATGAATCCAGGGATGATGGGCGGCATGGGCCCTATGGGCGCTATGGGTGCCATGGGCATGAACCCGGGCATGATGGGCGGAATGAACAACATGGGTGCCATGGGCGCTATGGGTATGCAAGGTAAGTCGACAACGTCGCTGCCGAAAGGCGCGGTACTCTCCTTTTCCCTGTCAACAGCAACGCCTTCTTCCCTCCCACCACCCGCGGCAGGTCTACTAGCCGCAAGCCCGCCGCCACAGCTAGCAGATCCCTGTTAGATGATGTGCCTCGACCTTGCATCACAACTTTGGTCAAGCTCTGCGTCACTCTGCATCTTGAGCGGAAAACTGTGCAGGTCTTCACGAACCAACGCTGTGATGCGTGTGCGTCCGCAGCCCTATGCACGTCAGAGTGGGGGACCATGTGTTCTCAAAGTTTTGGGAACACAATAATGCAAGGCGTGCTAAGGAGGGCACTGCAGTGCTGCTAACGAGGACCATGCGGTCTCCTGGCCGGACTTGTTGTTTCCACATTGCGGTGTTTCTTTGTGTTTTCATCTTTTGCCGCTTTTCTACACACTTTTATTGGGAGGTTGCTAATCATCTGGCGTTCTTTGCGGACATACAGGCGGATTCGGCGGCGCAGCACAGCCACACTTCAACCCGGCGTTCTTTGGCAACAACGCGGCCAGCGGAGGCAGCGATGGGAACTGGAACCCCCATGGATCGAAGAGGCCAAGGCCAGAGTAGAGGCGACGGTATGTTATGGACGATACGGTAGGCAAACAGGGAAAGGCATGGGCTGCAATTTTTCTCGTGTTTTCCCACTCTGCCCCTTTCTTTTGTTATCTTGTTGTGGAGGGATATGGGCTAGTTGGAGCTGGTGGAATGCACATGCTGGCGTATGGGTGTTTTGTGGAGCACATTCAATGCACGGGTCGCCCTCCCTTTATTTTGCTTTACCGCCACTGCTTGTCGGCGAGAAGATTGCTTCTTGATTTCTTGTCTTTTGATTTCTATTCTTCGCGGCCCTCCATTTGCCAGACTCAAGCATTGACTGGAGCTATCTTGGAGCACGCATATCTGGTAGTATCTCTGAAAGCTCTGATTCGTCTTTTTTTCTCTATCTCCGGGTTTCATTGTTTGGTTGGTGTATGTTAGGTGCTTGGCACCTTTTCCTGCGCGCTTTTTTGAACCGTTCTCGAGTTGAGCTGTTTAGCCAAAATGCGCTTTCTGAAACCTTTACGATTCTGCTTTTTCGCATTGGGTTCATTTGAGATGATACCTGTAGGATGCGGTGTGTTGGGACTGTCTTGCTTGAAAGGAATATGTACAATATGCAGAGTGAGAATACAGTAATGGTTGTATACCTAGGTAGGTGCGTGGATGCTTCTATGCAAAGTCCCACCGTGCTCTATACTCACCGCCAGCTATGTTGCAAGGTTCGCCCGGAGACGTGGGGACGGAGCAAGCATAGGGACAGCGGTATTAACTCACACCACGTTAACTGCAAGGTACGGAGGCATTCGAGGCACGCAAGTCAGTTTGCCGAATGGCGTTTCACATGGTCGATCTCCACTCCCACGCAGCTCAAGCGCATCATTGTCGATTGGTGGAAATTAGCACGAGCTCAAAGCATTTGGCACATTTTACTTTTTTTATTTTTTTTTTTTTTATTTTCTTGACCGCTGACAGCAGTAGAGCAGTGGCGACATCTATCTGGCCGATCTGTGGAGTACTGCACGGCAAGCGGGCCGTCGGGTCGCAAAGGCGTGTCGTGCAGGCATGCATATGCACGATAAAGTGTGCACCGATTATCCCGACCAGAGCAACTCGACACGGTGCTGATGAGGATGATGTGCACCGCACCACCACCAGCGCGGGAGGCACGCTCCGCCCCTGAGCACGCGCACCGACTTGAAATAGATGAAGTCGAACCTGAGTAGGGCAAGTCCTCCGTCAGCGTGAGGAGCTTGGCTGTGGTCCGTTGAAACAACATTATTGTGTGCGCGCCGCGGGGAGGCAGATTGAAGGACCGGGCTCACCGGGCCTGCTCGCCCACCAGTGGGCCGCCACCACCACCGCCGCCACGATGCGAGCAGGGAGCCCGCCGCCGTTGCGTGATCGTGTTGTCATGTAAATACGGCCGTCGGTTCTCGGCGCCTCGTCGTGATGGTGGTGTAGGTTTGTATATAGCTCGCATTGCTGCTGCTACTGCTTCAGGCGCAGCTCCATCCTCCCACACTCTCTTGCATTCATTCGTCCTTCTTTGCTGCACTCACCATGCGGTCGTTTCTTCTCTCGGCCGCGGCGCTGGCTAATGCCGCTGCTGCCAGCCCCATCGTTACTCGCGCTGCTAACAGCACGACTGTGACGTGTGACAGCGGCTCGTTCAACCCCATCACCGCGCAGCAGTTTGTTGATGCTCTGAACCCGGGCTGGAACCTTGGTAACTCGCTCGATGCTACACCCGGCGAAACTGACTGGGGCAACGCGGCTGTTACCGAGGATACGTTTGATGACATCAAGGCTACTGGTTTCAAGAGTGTTAGGTTGCCGGGTGAGTGCTTCCTTTTCTGCTTGTCCCTCCACTTTTTTGTTTTGCCATTTCTTCCACTCTTTTAAGAGTTTTCTATTCTCCCGCAGCATGCTGGTAGTTAGATAAAAAGAAGCCAACTAATTGTTCCTCACCAGTGACATGGCACTACCACTTGACTTCGGAGTCTCCCGATTGGACCATTGACCCCGATTGGCTCCAGCGTGTGTCTGATGTTGTCGATATGGTGACGGAGCGTGGCTTCTATACCATCGTCAATGTCCATCACGACTCGTGGATTTGGGCGGACGTTTCGCAGGAGAACGCCAACCTTACGATGATCGAGGAGAAGTTTTACCGACTGTAAGTGCAACAAGACGACGAATCTTGGCCCCATTCAATGCAGCATTGACTGATCTAACGCAATACAGTTGGTCCCAGATTGGCCAGAAGCTGGCCTGCAAGAGCGAGCTTGTTGCTTTTGAGCCCATCAATGAGCCGCCTGGAACCACGGCTGAGCATGGCAAGGAGCTGAACAAGCTCAACAACCTCTTCCTGAAGGCCATCAACGAGGCCGGCGGGTTCAACAATAAGAGAGTCGTCACGCTGCCCGGTCTTGGCGAGGACAGCATCAAGACGAGCCAGTGGTTCGAGGCCCCGAGCGGCAACTACAGCAACCCCTGGGCAATCCAGTACCACTACTACTCTCCCTGTAAGTCGGAACCGGAAAGAGATCAATCGACCAGGAAACACTAACATTTTCCCCACCAGACAACTACATCTTCTCTGCCTGGGGCAAGACCTCATGGGGTTCTGACGAAGAGAAGGCTTCCCTGGAAGCGGACATTGCCAACATTCGTGGCAACTTCACTGACATCCCTCTCGTGATCGGAGAGTGGGCCGCGTCGCCCGTCGCCACCGAGACGGCAGCGCGCTGGAAGTACTTTGACTTCTTCATTAAGACGGCGGCCAAGTACAACACGTCGACGATGCTGTGGGATAACGGCAACGACTTCCTGAACCGGCCCATACACGCCTGGCGCGACGAGACGGCAATCGAGATCCTGCTGAACCAGGCCAACGGCACGGCCAACTCCCTCGCCGACAGCACCGTGGACGACCAGGCCACTGAGCAGTCCACCAGCGCGTACGTCTTCCACAAGGTTGGCGAGGAGGTTGCGGACCAGACCCTGCCCTTCATCCTGAACGGCAACACCGTGACTGGCATCAAGGCCAACGACAAGGATCTCTCCGAAGGCTCGGACTACGCCGTCAACGGTGCGAACATCACCTTCAAGCAGGCGCTCCTGTCCAACTACTTTGCGGACGACGAGCCCGGCCTCAAGGCCAATCTGACCGTCTCGTTCTCTGCTGGCGCTGCTCTTCGTCTCCAGGCTGTCCAGTGGGACACCCCCACCTTGGGCTCCAACTCGAGCAAGGCTGAGTCCGGCAGCGACTTGAGCATCCCGATCACCTGGAAGGGTATCGCGAAGCCTGCTACCGTTAAGGCGCTTGAGAACGATGGCACCTACCTCGTGGACGATTACACGCAGTGGTGGGGCCCTCTGATGCAGGCCAGGATGGTATGTATTCCCTATTTGTTCTGGGCTTTTGCTAGCTCTTTGATGTGGATGCTAACGATCCCTGTGTACAGACCTACAGCGGCCAGTGGAACTGGGACGCTGAGCACATTATCCTCACCGCGGACGTCGTCGCTGCTGTCGTTTCGGCGGGCAAGACCACGACCTTCACTATCGAGGCTTACCCGCGTGTGCCTGGCAACGCGGTCAACTATACTCTGACCGTTTGAGGGAGGCTGGTTGACGTTTACGTTCTTGTAGCAACTTAGTTTTATGCTCTTCCATGCTTTAATGCAATGCGAACATGCCATACCGTTTATTTGGCCCGCCATTATGTGATGTGCCTGCGCAGCAGACGTTCGGAGACAACACAAGTTACTCTCAACCCCTGAATAGCATCAATCCCTCCTCACTGAGATCCTCCTCATCCTCCGTAGCGGCACGGATGGGGCCCTCGATCTCGCCCTCTGAAATTGTAGCCCGAGCTGATTCTAGTCTTGAAAAGGGAGGCGAGTAACTTGCGCTGCCTCTTAACCGCGCGACCTTTTTCAGCATCTGTCTTGGCCACCTCCGAGATTATTGCCGTAACCATCTTTTGCTCCTCATTCGATCAATCGCTGTAGTTAGATTGCATTTTATTAATACTCGAATCAATCCCTGTCCGCTCGACGTCCGATGTTTGAGCGAGGCTTGATGTCCACCTGCAGCGTAGGTTCGTAAGCATCGACCTAAAGCATTGTTATTTCGCCAAATTACTACCCGGAGTATCGGCGCGTGCTACGATTTGAGTTATAAATGAATAATCGGGCATTTCTCGCTCAATGGCCGCCATATCCGAACGGGCGGTGGTGAGGTGTTCACATTGTAGCATGGTAAGCTGGGTGTTGCCAAAAATATCTCTTGATTCGTCATTTTTTTTTTTTTATTTTTTTTCTTTTTTTTCGAGACGCATCCATGGTTGCCCAGGGGCTGGGCAATGGAGTCAAGGCCGGCCGGCGTAACCAATTCTGCCTATCTCGAGGGGCCACGACGAAAGCATTGCGACGGATTGCGGGCGCGTTGGCGGTGAAGTGGTCCTGGTGGAGGTTGTTGGGCTTGTCGATGCAGGTGGCGACGTCATTGCGGGCATAGAAGATGGTGGAGCGGAAGGCAGCACAGAGAGAGACTTGTCGGCGACGCGTAATGCGCGCGATGATTGATGGGTTGAAGGGGAGTTGGGCGAGAAGAAGAGCGCTGACGCAGTGCGCGGTTGGGCTCATGATCGACGGTGCCGCTTGCTCCCCCAGCTGCTCATTCACCTCCCGCCTTCGTCTACCTGGCAATCGCAATTACCGCCAAGCCTCTCCTCCTCGTCCATAGCGCCCTCTCTTTTCTCGCGCTTCATTCTTACACGCACGCTTCCTGCTGCTTCTTTTCCGCCCTGCTCCTCCCTCACCACCGCCTTCTCCTGCCCGCTCCTTACCCCTCGCGCCTGTGTCCGGAAGCCTCCCGCAGCAGGCACCACCTTTCGCCATGTACGGCTCGTCGCGCAATGTCGACATGGGCAAGCAGGTACATCCCCCACTCACTCTTGGCCATGGACGCTGGAGACCGCCGCGGCGAATTCGGAATGGCTATGGGCAGACCCAAGGCCGTGTGTAGAGGGGTTCAAGCAAGCAAGACGAATGCTAACTGTGGAAAAGGAGTCGGAGCTTGCCATCAACATCCGCAAAGCTACCAGCATAGGTAAATTCAACCGCCCTACCTCCGCAGGACCAACCGGCTAACAGCCCCCTTCTCTAGACGAAACCGCGCCGAAGCGTAAGAGCGCCCGCCCCCGCGATGCCACACCAGTACTCATACATGGCCAGGGAAACATGTCCGCGCCGCAATCGTCTACACATGGGACCACAAGAACTCGGACTCCTTCTGGTCTGGCATGAAAGTGTAAGTGCTCGCTGGACGTGCACGGAGAGGACGGATACATGGGCTAACAGTTGCTTTAGCCAGCCCATCCTCGCCGATGAGGTCCAGACGTTCAAGGCTCTCATTACCATACACAAAGTCCTCCAGGAGGGACACCCCGTGGTGCTTAAGCAGGCCCAGGCGCAGATGGGCTTTTTGGAAAGCTTGCAGCGGGGTGTCGCCGGCGGCGAAGGGCTCCGAGGTACGAGGGGACCAACACCCGATGCTGGCAAGCTGCTGGGCGACGGGATAGAGGGACTTCGACTGACCCGCACGTAGGATACGCGCCGCTTATTCAGGAATACGTGTACTTCCTTATGGCGAAGCTCGCCTTTCATAGGCAGCACCCCGAATTCAACGGTACGGAGGATACACCGCTTTGCGGAGTTGTGGCTGACTGGATGCGCAGGCACCTTCGAGTACGAGGAATACATCAGCTTGAAGTCCATCAACGACCCGAACGAGGGATACGAGACTATTTCCGATTTGATGACTCTTCAGGACCAGATCGATTCCTTCCAGAAGCTCATCTTCTCCCACTTCCGCAATGGTAACAACAACGAGTGCCGTATCTCAGCATTGGTGCCTTTGGTGCAGGAGAGTTATGGTATCTACAAGTTCATCACAAGCATGCTGCGCGCAATGCACACGACTCTCGGAGATGACGAGGCACTGTCGCCCCTCCGCGGTCGTTACGATGCGCAGCACTACCGTCTTGTCAAGTTCTATTACGAATGCTCTAACCTTAGGTACCTTACTAGCCTGATTACCGTACCTAAGCTTCCGCAAGACCCGCCCAACCTACTATCCGAGGACGAAGATAGGCCAGCCCTGCCAGCTAGACCTAAGCAGGACGATACTCCTGCGCGATCGACCCCAGTGGATCCTGAGCCGATCAACGAATTCTGGAAGAATGAGCAAAAGCGCCAGCAGGACGAGTACGAAGCCGAACAGCGTAGGCTGCAGGAGCAATGGGAAGCGGCGCAACGCGCGCAACAGCAACAGCAGATGGAGGCGCAAATGCAGTTTGAGGAGCAGCAGCGGATGGCCGCGGAACAAGCGAGACTGGCGCAGGAGCAACTTGCACGCGATCAGTTCGCGCAGCAGACGCAAGGTCGGCTCGCCGAGCTTGAAAGAGAGAACCTCAACGCCAGAATGCAGTATCAGCAGGACCAGCTCTTGTTGCAGCAGTACGATCAGCGCGTCAAAGCCCTTGAGGGCGAGCTGCAGCAGATCCAGGCCAACTTTTCGCAACTGTCGTCCTCTAAGGATGACCAGATTCGCGCGCTGCAGGAACAACTCAACACTTGGCGGACCAAGTACGAGGCCCTTGCCAAGTTGTACTCGCAGCTGCGCCACGAGCACTTGGAGCTGTTGCAAAAGTTTAAGTCTGTGCAGCTCAAGGCGGCGTCCGCCCAGGAGGCTATTGATCAGCGCGAGAAGCTGCAGCGCGAGCTTAAGACCAAGAACCTCGAGCTGGCAGACATGATCCGTGAGCGCGACCGTGCGCTGCACGACAAGGACAGGACTAGCGGAGGCCACAAGGAAGAAGTCGAGAAGCTGCAGCGCGAGCTGCGGCTGGCTTTGGACAAGGCCGACCAATTGGAACGCGGCAAGGGTTCGGAATTGTCTGCAATGCTGTCGAGGCATAACAGAGAAATTGCGGATCTCGAGGAGGCCCTGCGCAACAAGACTCGTCACCTTGATGATATGCAGATGAAGTTCAGGGAAGGCGACTCTGACCTTGAACGCCAGCTGCGCGAGAAGGAGGATGAGCTGGAGATCTTCAAGGCTGGAATGGACCAGACTCTGCTCGAGCTGAACGAGCTGAAGATGAACCAGAACGAAACCGACAATGTCATGGACGGACAGATTGACAACATCATCCTCGAGAGCTTCCGTAAGATTAACGACATTATCGACTCTGTTCTGCAGAGCGGTGTGCAACGTGTCGATGACGCCCTGTACGAGCTTGATTCGTCTATGCAGGCGGGTAACCAGAACGCTTCCGGTGCCTACGTTTTGTCGCAAATCGAGAAGGCCTCTTCCTGCGCCATGGAGTTCTCGACGGCATTCAACAACTTCATCGCTGATGGCCCGAACAGCAACAATGCAGAGATTATCCGCACTGTCAATGCCTTCTCGGGTGCTATTGCCGATGTGCTCAACGGCACCAAGGGTCTTACGAGATTCGCCTCTGATGAAAAGAAGGGCGATCAGCTTCTGAATGGCGCCAGGCAGTCTGCCGTTGCTACGGTCAGCTTCTTCCGCGGGCTGCTTTCGTTCCGCCTGGAAGGCCTTGAGGATCTGCAGAAGACTGACGTCGTCATCAACAACAACAACGAAGTCCAGGTCAACCTGCAGAAGCTGTCCAAGCTCGCCGACGCTTTTGCGCCAAAGACCAAGATCACGCAAGGCTCGGGTGACCTTGGTGACCTTGTTGACCGTGAAATGACCAATGCGGCCAACGCCATTCTTGCTGCTACGGAGCGTCTGAACAAGCTCAAAGAGAAGTCGCGTGACTCGTACTCCACCTATGAGCTCAAAATCCACGACGCCATCCTGGGCGCCGCCATCGAGGTTACGAATGCGATTGCGCGTCTCATCAAGGCGGCTACCGAATCGCAGCAGGAGATTGTGCGTGAAGGCAGGGGCACGTCGTCGCGTACGGCCTTCTACAAGAAGAACAACCGGTGGACGGAAGGTCTCATCAGCGCGGCCAAGGCGGTAGCGAACTCGACGAACCTGCTGATCGAGACGGCGGACGGCGTCATCTCAGGCCGCAACAGCCCTGAACAGCTGATCGTGGCATCGAACGATGTCGCGGCGTCGACGGCGCAGCTGGTGGCAGCGTCTCGTGTCAAGGCCAGCTTCATGAGCAAGACGCAAGACAAGCTGGAGGCGGCATCAAAGGCCGTCACAATGGCTTGCAGGTCCCTGGTGCGCCAGGTCCAGGATATCATCTCGCAGCGCAACCGTGATGATAATGAGGCCGTTGACTACACGAAGCTGAGCTCGCACGAGTTCAAGGTCCGGGAGATGGAGCAACAAGTAAGTCTAGGGTCTAATTTATCTATCTTGGAAAAGAGCGAAAAGCTAACGTCACCCTTTCTCGCAGGTCGAAATCATCCAGCTCGAGAACAACCTCTCGGCAGCGCGCCATCGCCTTGGTGAGATGCGCAAGATCTCGTACCAGGAGGACTAAGTTTGCAACGCGCTTGCTTGCGGTCCGTGTCTGTGTCTCTGGATGGGTTGCTGGTAGGTTGGATGGCATGTTAATTGGTGAGGAAAGGGAACGAATGGAATGGCAGGTGCAGGCGTGTGGGATGGGTATGGATGGATGGAAGGATGGATGGGGTTGGCTTTAATTTGTTTTTGCTTGCTTTCATATTTGCTAGCGTGTGATCGAGAGAGTGTGTGTAGTGGGTAGAGACAAGTGGGCTGGGCGGCAGTGATGTTGGTTCCTTCACTCCCTGTTTGGTCCGCCGTGTTGTGTTCTCTCTTTCTTCGGTTGTGCCATTTGTCGGTTTTTGGTTGAACTTAGCGGCATCATCTTTGCGTGTGTACCTATACCAGATTGACTTGATTCATTGATCGGACTTTTGGTGCTTGCTTGCTTGCTTGCGTACGTACTCGTTTGCTTGTCGTGATTTGCTCTGACTGCATGGAGGGAATGGGTGTTTGTTTGTCGTCGGTGCCCAGTGCAGTAGGAGAATCAAGCACACACTACTCTGCGTACCCCGTACTCGTGATGTATGTATGCAGCCTGCCCACGTGTAGCCTCTTGAACAGAAGAGCTCTGAAGATGACGCAAACCTCCAATCTTTTTCTTTGCCCAGACTCATACATGATGTCCTCTTGACATAAAACGAAACAACAAAATATCACACCAACACGACGAGAACGCAGCCCAAACAAACCTGCTCTATATGATACCCACAGTCCAATCCCTTAGCATGGAACCGGGGTTGTCAGCGATTCAGTCGCCTGATTTAAGTAACGGGCACTCTGGTGTGGGGATAGTGTAAACACCAAATTTGGCTATCCCTGAGATAAGTGAATGGGGTTTTGGAAAATGGAGCACGCCTGAGGAGATGAATTCGATTTTTTTTGCTGGCAGTGTGGGAGTTTGCATTCTCTTTTTCCTTTGGGGGCGTAGATGTGTGCATGAAGTGGATTGAGTGTGATAACTTCAACGCCGCGTCCACTCTCGATGCTATTTTATGGGCGTGCTTTTCTGGTCTTTCTACCAGTTATTCTCTCCCCAGTCTTTCGCGTTCTCTTTCCATTTCTCTTCCAACAATGATGAACAACTGAATGTTTATTCTCATTCTAATTTTGTATTCACCGGCAAGCCGTCAAAATGTTGTGTAACGTCCGTCACCGCGAACCGAGATCCACCGTATAGCGAGATAGGGGACGATATAAGCAGTCTTTACAGAGCACTTCTTACCCAGCTCCTAGCCCGAGTTCTAGGCATAGATAAAAAGGTCTTAGAGTATATATAGACTTTACATACCTTAGGTAGGTCTCTTCTTCTACTCCGTATAAGTATCACCATGTCGTTTTACGGTGAATCTTGGTTAACGGTGACGGACGTTACTGTATAAATTTATTTAAGCCTTCAGTTTTGGTTTCAATGCATCGTTTCTTACACATTAAGGTATAACTAAACAGAGTATAACGCCATGAAAGCAAATATGAAACCAAAGATAAGGAGACCATGCCGCTTGAAAAATCGCTAATCATAAATCGGGATCCTGTACATATGGCAGTCTGTCATCATAAGTCATTTTGGCTAGAAGTCTGCCTAGGCAGTTCCAGGCCGTGGTATCATGTAAATTTTCTTCACAACCCCCTCTTACACGCGGGTATTAATCTCCCGCAGCATCCCTAAGACGCGTGGAATTATTTAAGAATAGTCGTCCTTGACGCGGTGTTGGCTCTCCGTGTCGATAATGCTGCCGCGCGAGCGGACGCTCTGGTTACGACCGAAGCGGCCGCCACTCGTGCGCGTCGTCGTGTAGTCCTTGCGGCCGGAGGAGCCACCAATGCAGAAGAGGATGGTGGAAATGAGGAAGCAAGCCATGGCGGTCCAGGTGAAGGCGTAAGCCTTAACGCCGAGACGGGCGGTCTGGCCGTTTGAGCGGAAGTGGTTGCGGCCCATGACGGTCCAGGCGCTGGAGCGCTTGTTAGCCGACTGAAGGGGTTCACTGGCGAATACTCGTAGGAAGGGGGTCTCTTACGTCATTAGGGCAGCAGTGAGGGTCTGGAAGAAGAGGGCGAGGAACGTGTTGAAGCCCGAGATGTAGCCGCCGAGCCTGCTGCAGAGGGCGAGCAGGCCGGTGAACAGGGCAATGGCGGCGAAGAAGAGAGCGATCAGGTAGAAGGCAAACATGAAGCGCGAGAGATAGTAAAAGCGGTGAGTGCTGACAGACAGTTAGCAGTGCGGGGGAGCTGTCAGGGTATTGTACTGAACATACCCGATGAACTGGTGAGGGATATTCGTCCGAGTGTGGAAGTTACGCGGCGGGTCGAAAGGCAGGGCGGGCACGGGCGAGCCGTAGTTGGTGTTGTGGCCATTCGAAGGGTCTCTGCCGCAGATGGACCAGAAGGTCCATCGCGAGGGATTCCGAGCCGCTGGGATACCAGAGGTCGAGGCTTGCAGAAAGTAGATTTGGTCCTCTATAGAACCGTGGACACCGCCGGACAGGATGACGAGGAATTGCAGCAGGATGCCGCCGGCCAGGAAGAACAGGCCCAAGAAACCGAGGAGGGGACCTGGAGCGGGGTATTGTGGTTAGCGTGCTTCTAGAAGCGTGTGGGACGCGGAACAGGGTACGCACGGGAAGCCATTGGTGCGGGGGTTTGTGGATATGCGCAGGGAGGGCGAATCGAGGATGAAACAACTGATGTTTGATGCGAGGACAGGGCTGCGGCCTACTTTTTAAAAAGCGGCTGGGAGAAGGAATCTTGGCCTGGAGGAGCAAATGGCAAATGGCAGACCATGACGTGTGGCAGCGCTAGACGACGCCATGATCTCACCTTGTCCACGACTGTCCGCCCGCTTCCGGCAAACTTGTCGCCTTCCAGAAGACCCTTTCATGTCGAGCGCCGCATACGTCGTAGGGCCGCGCATGGCAACCTTGGCCTTGGTCGGCGTCCTTTTTTGCCCATGACGCGCGGTGAAGATCGCCGGCGCTCGGCACGATCCGCCGCTCAGGCCATGTCGCTCTAACCTGTACCCAAGCTCCCTCACCGCAACCGCAAACTCCCGCTACGCCGACGCTGTCTCTACCTAATCATTACCTACTTATCCTTCCTCGCCCACTTTGCACCCTAGCTATGGCCACAACCGTCTGGCCGCCGATCCCCTCGGACCGGCTCAAGCACGAAGAGGATGCCTCTCTGGTCTGCCCCGACCTTCCTCCGTGCCCTTCGCCCACTGACCGTCTGCCCATCCACCACCTAGGCCCGCGAGCTCGAATGGCTCCTCTCATCGCTGCGCAACACGCTCAAGTCGCTCAAGGCTGGCCTGGAAGAATGCGCCGCCCTGTTGGCGCCTGATGAGCACGGCTCCACCCTCGTCGTCTCGACCGTGCGCTCCGAGAGCCTCAAGGGTTTCGTGACGCGCGTGGGGACGCGCATTGTCAAAGGAGTACGTAGAAATAGGAAAAAAAAGAGGAAGGGCACTATCGCGTTAACCCACCGCTCTCGCGCCCACACAGGACATCAAGCTCCGCCTGGCCAGCCTGCCCCCGCCGCGCGGCGCGACCTACTACCCACTCTCCATCTCGCAGGCGCCGCAAGCCCCCACGCTCGTCATCGACCAATTGACCGCCGTCCGCACGCACATCAACTCGTGCCTCGACGTCGTCGACGTGACGACATGGGCCGGCGACGCCACCAACGCAAACTACATCGCGGGGCAGCTGCAGCTGCTGTACGACAACATCCAAGAGGCGCGGCAGGCGCTCAAGGGCCCGTCGGAGGTGCGCGGCGAATGGTGGACCAACTCGGTCGATGAGAACGTACGCTTCCCTCTTTCCGTCCTATCTTTCCCCCCACCTACCCGCCCACTCACCACTCACTCACCACCCACTCACTACCAGATATTCGACCCCCCGCTCCCTGCCGACGTCTCAGTGCACATGTGCCTCCTCGACGCGGCCATCCTACTCGAAATCCGCACTCTCGAGCCCCACACCGCCGACGATGGCAGCCTCTTCGGCTTCCGCAACGCGCTGGCGGGCGCCCTCGGCGTCAGTCGCGCCCCCGCCCACGACGAGGCCGACAAGGTCTTCGCCTTCCGCGACCACCAGGTCAAGGTCAAGGAGAAGATCCGCGTCGAGTCGCAGGACCCCAGCTTGATCTCCGCCATGGCCAAGCTTAATGCCCTTGAGCATCATGTCGCGCTGAACAGGAAGGCCTTGGATGTTGTCATGGGGAGGGATGATTAGGTAGGAGGGCGTTTTTGGCATGTTGGCCTTAGATACCCCCAATTGAGTTTCTTTTCCGTCCTGTTCGCTGCTACTGCTCAAAATTTATGGCATCAGATATGGTGCATCGTCAGGGAGTCTCGGGACTGATCTGCGTTGGGTTTTGCAAATGAGCAAACTGCTTTCTAGGATAGGTGACGTAATAAGTCCGATCGGACATTTGGATAAAAATCACGCCTAGGAGTATCGTCGTCAGCCGCAAAGACAACCAGCGCGCAAAATGGTCGGAAGATTGGGACCAAGGATGGACTGGTCACCACACGCCAAAACCCTCACCTCCTCACGCCGGTAATCTCACAAGTGCCGCGATCTTCAGCTGATGATCAAACCATCTTATTTGAAATTAGGGTAAACACCGCCGATGCCGTCCAACGGCCGGCCGCGCAATTACAAACGGTATCAGCGCACCCTTTCCCCCCGGTCCAGCCTTGCAGAAATCCGCGCGCGAAGATATCCAACCGCGAACGCCCCTACATTGCCCATGCTTTCCCTTTGTGTTTCTCTGAAGCGAGAGCAAAGGCGAGAGAGAAAAGCAAGAAGAAGCTGGAGAGAAGGAAATAAAATACAGAAAATAGGAAAAAGACAAACATCCCTGTGTGTATATCTCCGGGCGAATTGGCTTGGATGACGACTCTCTGTCTCCCATCCGTCTGTCCATCCGTCTGTCTTTCCATCCGTCCGTTCGTCATTGTTGTCAAACAAACAAAACACAAGCCCCGTTCCCGTTCGTGAATAAGCCGGATCTACGGCCGTTGCGCAAGGTAGAAGAACCACAAGCTGAACAAAAGAAAATAAGGAAGGCGGTGCTAGAGCAGAGCCATGCAATGAGAGGTGACAGTAGCAGCCATTGGCATTCTCCGTAAGCTGGTTATGTCCGACAAAGCGATGGGTCAGCCAGCGGGAGAGCCTATGAGGGCAGCAATACTGTGGGGATCATGCTGTTTTTCTGGCAGTCGCGCCAGTGCTGACAGGGAGAGTAGGAAGAATTCGATAGCGAAAAGAAAGGAAAGGCCAGCTTGAGAAATGTACAATGCAAGGTATCGAAGTAATTGGGGAGGAAAGGAAGGGCTGTAGCCGAGTATGCTGTACAATGAGAACGAAAAGGCAAAAAGTTTCGTGAGACAGCCGTCCAGTATCTCTGGGAAAAGCAGCAACAGATACCAATGTACTGGGGAAGAAAACAGAAAGGCTGCTGGCAGGTACCAGCCCATTACGAGTCGGGTCTCTCGACTCGCTCGGTGGACAGAAATTGAGGTCCAACAAAACATGGCTCTCATCTACGGGAAGATTGAGTTCGCGAAGGCGCGCCTATGACCGTCGGTAGAGCCTTCTGCAGCAAGAAGAGGAAGATGAGGTAAAACTCAAAGATATCCTTACAGGGTGTCAGGGCCAGGGAACCTTCCTCCGGAAGCCATTCCCATGCCCATTGCCGTAGCCGCCGGCGGAGCACCTCTTCCACCCCTCATGCCGCCTCTCATGCCACCCCTGCCACGACGCGGCGGGGCAACACCGGGAAGACTGAAATCCGGGTTCGCATTGAGGATCATATCATCGCGCCTCGGTGCCCTAGGGGGAGCATAGCCGTACGGGGGCATTTCGCCGGGCCCAGGGCGCCAGTTCGGGTTGACACCACGCTGCGAAATGCTCGTAAAGTGAGAAATTTCGGAACCGACAGGTGAGCGGATGCCCTCATCGTAGTCCTCCAGATCGTACGGATGATTAGCTTCTTGCGGGATGGGGGCAGACGCCTGCATGGTCTGGATTGGCGGGAGTGTGGTCTGGGGGTTCGCAGCCTGGCCAGGGGAGTTGTTTGGGCTACGAGTAGGCTGAGCAAGGGCACCAGGTATTAGCGCAGCGGGAAGAGCAGCAGGTGTAGGAGCTGGCGCAGGCTCTGCGGCAGGTAGAGACTCGATGGGTTCGGCGAAGCGGGGGTCGACGTCTTCATAGTAGTTGTTAGCCGGATTGGAAACCTTCCTGCCGTGACCGTTGTTCTGTGTTTGTTGCGCGGAAGGGCCGTTGACGATGGAACCAGCTGGAAGCTCAATCGGCGCTCCGTCAATAGGGGATGCGGCGATTGGCGAGAGACCGCGTGCGTGTTGGTCAGCGGCTGTGTTGTCCGCGTTTCCACGGTTAACTGGCGAAGACGAGGTCGCTTGTTGCTGACCTCTCCAGTCCTGACGGGGTGCAACATAGGCGGTTGGTCTAGAGACAGTGTTAACGGGGATGGGAAGTGGATACTAAGTGAGAAGACTTACTCGGCAGAGTAGACGCTAGTGGGACTCATGGGACTGGCAGTGTTTATACGTGGCGGAGCAAGACCTTCAGTTCGGCCCGGTTGTAGACCAACCATGCCTTGGAGGTCCCTATCATTTTCCCTTAGGCCATAGTTGTTGGCTCCATGATTTGGGCTTGGGCCTCGCCCATCCATTTCGATTGATTGTCCATTCGCGCCACCTGGTCCAAAAGTTGGTCCTTGTTGATCATAGTCTCCCATTGCATCATACGGTCCTAGTTGAGGCATGCGGTCACGGCCCTGCGGCGGCTGTCCTCCGTAGTAGTTGTTGTAGCCAGGAGGTGGGCCTCGTCCGCCTCTTCCCATGGGACCAGCCATGCCCATTCCCATAGGTCCAGGACCCGGGGCCATGTTTCTTCCATTGCCATTCCATCCAGGAGGGGGCGGTTCACGCATGCCTGGCGGTCCTCCGCGGCCTCTTGGACCATAACCCCCACGGCCACGCGGCGGATAACCTCCTCTTCCTCTGCTGCCGTAGCCAGGGCCTCCGGCTCTGTTAGGACCCATGTTCCCATCTTGCATTCCAGGCGGTCCATATCCATTGTTGGGTGAGTTTCCGTATTGATCTCTTGCGGGGCCTCTTCCACGTCCAGCGGCACCAGATGGCATAGGCGGGGCTTGTTCACTGTAGTATCTTCCTGGGCGACTACCTGTAGAGTCGCCATTGGTGCTGGCGCTTTTGACAGACGGGTTTTTCGGGTTTAGCGGAGTTCTATCGTCCATGCTCGTCTTCTGCAGTTCGAACGCGACGAAGTCTGGTCCTTTGTTATCTCCAGATGAGTGCATTGGCGGCGGGGAATCGGCGCGAGGAAGAACATCTTCGTGGACCGGAGGAGGAGGGGGGGGAATATTGTCCATTCCGCGGCTCTCGTAGTAGTTTTGCCCGTTCATCTCGGCATTTTCTGCAATTCTCTTCTTCCTTGCCTTGCGGCTGACGAGAGTGCGTCTCATTGCGCAAGTCACTATGCCACACAGACAGATAACAACTGTGGCAGCCAGGACGAGCCATCCACCCCATTGCATGTGCGGTACGAACAGCAAGATGTCGACAAGAAATGCCAACAGGGATACCAGGAGAGTTGGGAAGGTCAGAATGAGGAGAGCCATGAGGTAGCGCGGCGAATGTGACGGCGCGTGGAAATGAGCAGAGACAGCGAGCGCGAAACAGACGAGGGTCAAAAAGGCCGCCACCGGGTGGACAATCAGAATTGCGGACAGGGTGTGACGTGTGTCCGAAGGGAGATCAAAGTCAGAGTTTGTGGGCGAAGAGAAGAGTCCGGACTCTGGCCATGTCGTCAGTGGACAAGCTCACGAGCGTGCACACATGAGAAGCCTACCTGTGGTATAGCCTATACCAATGTCACTGCAACTATCGCCCTTGCAGTAGCCAAAGACGCCATAGCTGACATCGTCAAAGCTCGCCAGCGGAATGGCCTTGATGATGGGAGTCGAGAGGGTGCTCAGCAACAGCAGCGCAAAGGCGGCAAAGAAGAGAATGGACAAGGGCGTGGCCGGGCGTAATAGCATGGTTGGGGTAGCGGTGCGCCGCTCTGCGCGCGAGGCAGAGGGCTATCGGGAGCGGGGGGTGGAAACGGTTTTGGAGTGCTGCAGGCTCTTGGGAATGCGGAGAAGGTGTAGAGAGAGGTCGAGGGTGTGGCGCGGCGAAGCGCGCGGCTTGGGGTGGGCGAGGAAAGCGAGACACAAGGCGCGACACGTCGGTCGATCAATGAGCGAGGTGCAAATAACGGTAGCGAGAGGGAAGTTGGCTGCGCCGCCGGGCCCAGGCTGCGGGGGAGAGGCGGTCGTCGAGAAGAGCGAGCGAGCGAGCGAGCGAAAGCAAGCACGGCAAGCTGCACCAAACAGCGCCTCCCCCCACATGGTTAATGCAGCCAGCAGGTGCCTGATCTCCCTTGGCCCCGCCGGCTTCCCGCCCATCGCCCATGGCACGGCCGTTGCCAAGTCGCTTTGTCGGGGCGGTGCTCTGCTCTCCTGCAATCTGCAACGTCGCGGCGAGATTGCGACCCGCGACCCACTGCCCTGTGCTCCCCTTTTCCGTCGTGAGCAGCGCTGTTGCAATTTCGCACATGGTGCCATTGTGTCGCCCTGCGCCGCGGCCTTGCGACTCTTTCGAGACACTCCGCACTGCACGGCCCCCCTCCAACCCTGCCCGATAAGCCCCGTCTTATCTGGGCTCGCTCCACCAGCTCCGCAGGGGCGACAAAGTCCATGTCACGGCGTTAAAATAGTCTCGATTCCTTCCTAGCTTTGACATGCAACAGATGACGACGACGGCCGACGCCATTAGCAGATCCTTCCATCAGTACCGTCTGAACTACTAGAGTACTGCGACGTCCAACGTCCAACGTCCAGCGTCCAACAATAGGTAGCAAGCATTCTCCCTCCTACAACAATCAACTTTTTTGCTCCATGGTACATACCAACTCTATATTTATTTACAAGTACAAGCTTCTTTATTATCCCAGCTATAGATTTGTTTGCAACTCCTGCCGTGCCCTGAGCCTCGCTCGACACAGCTCTGCGTTTCACAGTCGCACGCGTTTCACTCCCGCAAATCGCAATCAACATGGTCTGGCATCGTAATTTTGTTCCATTTTTATTGGACCGTTCATGGCCCGATCCGTGGACCTGAGATGCTACGCAGAGCAACATTTGGCATGCAAGATATCTTACCCGTACTCCAACCTCAACCATCCCATTCCCACCGGAATCCCCTGGACCAGACTCATACTTACTGGCCGGCCAGAGCGTAGGCCCGGCGGCGGTCACGCTCCTCGGCAATGGAGAGCTACGCCAAATGTCAGCACAAATCCCTCAGGCTACAGCCTCGCATCTGCATGCACATACCTTGACACCCTTGCCCTTGGGAAGAGAGATCCAGGGCTTCTCGCGGCCAATGACGAAAACGTTGCTCTCACGGGTGGCGAACTCGTTGTCAACAGCGTCCTTGATATGGACGATGTTGAAGCCACCGTCGTGGCGCTCACGGTGGGTGATGACACCAACACGACCCATGTTACGACCACCGGTGGCCATGGCAATGACACCAGTGTCGAACTTGATGAAGTCGGCAATCTTGCCAGTGGCAAGGTCGATCTTGACGGTGTCGTTGACCTTGATCAGAGGGTCAGGGTAGCGGATGCTAAGACGCACGTATCATGTTAGTATTGTGTTTTCATGTACATACCAGACGATCGCCAAAGCTTGGTCCAACGTCTGATGGATGCTGGGAACTTACGTCCTCGCATCGTGCGTAACCAAGAATGGGATGCCGCCCTTGCCAAGCTGGACGCGCTTGACCTTGCCGAGCTTGTACTCAGCCTCCTCGCCGGTGATGCGGTGGACGGTGAAGCGGCCCTTGGTGTCGTAGATGAGACGGAAGTTCTCGCCAGTCTTCTCGATGGAGATGACGTCCATGAAACCGGCAGGGAAGGTAGGGTCGGTGCGGACCTTGCCGTCGACCTTGATCAGGCGCTGCATGACGATGGCCTTAACCTCACGGCCGTTCAGGGCATACTTCAGCCTGTTGCGGATGAAGACGATGAGGGGCATGCAGTCGCGGAGCTTGTGGGGACCGGGAGACGCCTTGGGGGCGTAAGCACCGGACAGCTTGTCCAGGAGCCAGTGGGAGGGCGCGCTAAGGCGCTTCTGGTGCTTGACACTGAAGGAGATATGTTAGTTTTCGAGTCCCATTGAAATGTCCAAACGATCCGAGCACTCCGCTGCGCGCGCTACCGACTGGAAACATGCGCCTGGAAGGCCCACAAGGTGCCGCTTTAGAGCCATCAATGCTGTCTCTCAAGCACTTTCGCCAATAGCGGCACCGTTGTTGATCTCGCAGTCGTCGTGGTGTCCAATCCAGTCGGAGGTCGCATTGTCGCAGTATCGCCGTTTCGATGCCATCGCAGGTGTTGACTTACGGTCCACGAGCCATGATTACGGTCTATGAATCACGGATGGGTAAGGAGGTGGGTTGTCGTGTCGTGTCGTCCGGTCGAGGTCGGAGGTACGTGTAGGAAAAAGCGAAGGCATTTTCGATGTTGTGCGCTTAGTAAGAAGCCAATTTGCCGACAATCAGCCACTAGTGTGGTGGAACGGGCTCGCAGGTAGCAAGCGAGGAACCCAAAGCGAGCTGCTGAGCACAGCATGTGAAACTTGACAGCACCACATCAGATTGCTGCAACTCTTTTTAAGAACCAAACTCCGTGCACAAAACCACTAACATCCGTCACCGTGAAACGAGATTCACCGGGAAGTGAGATGGTGATACTTGTACAGAGTAGAAGAGACCCAGTTACGATGTATAGAGTCTGTGTGTGCTTTAAGACCTTTACATCCATACCCAGGACTCGGGCTATGAGCTAGACAAGGAGTACCCTGTAGGGAATGCTTGTATTGTTCCGTGTCTCGCTAGACGGTGGATCTCGGTTCTCGGTGACGGACGTTACTTCTGCACATCAAGTCTTAGATACATGATACTTCTAACGAATAAAAAGATTGGCGATAAATCTATAGTCCCAATTCCACATTGAATTATCCCCCAGTCTGTCTTTACTCAAAGAAGCCCTTCAGCTAGGAAAGTCGATAATTTTCCCAGGGTTCATGAGCCAATGGGGGTCTATAGCAAGCTTGATGCTCTTCATGACATTGAGCGTGTCCGTCCCAAGCTCTTTGAGAAGGGAAGCTTTCTTGCCCAGACCAATAGAGTGCTGAAGAATGTCAGAAGCTGTATGAAACTACGCAAATGCAGAGGACTTACTTCTCCTGTACACGTTCCATCCATCTCCAAAGCTCGGTCTACCATGTCCTTGACACACTTTTCAACTGCTGCACGCTCCCTGGGATCCTTTCTGTTGTAGAGGATGCTCTCATGGAAATTACCGTCACCAATGTGTCCCAGGATACTAGCAAAGAGCCCGAGCTCGTCCATTTCTTTCTTCGATACCTCTACATTCATGTCAGCATCATGTCCAACTTCTCCATTCCCGGAGACATGGGTAAGTAAACGCGGCAATTTACCTATAATATCCGGTAACCGCGACAGAGGAACTGCGACATCCGTGGACCACACCTCTAAGTCACCCTTCCGCAAGGCCAGCATGCTCCAGAGAGACTCTTTTCTTGCCGACCAGAGCTCCTTTTGCTCCTTGGCATCGGTGGTGAACTCAAAGTTGCCGCCTTTGTGCACCTTTGATATTGCCTTCACTAATTTTATGTTCTCCTGCACACCTGCTTTGGTACCAGAAAATTTGAAGAACATGGTTGGAACTTCCTTCCACTTTCTCTTTGTCGCGCCGGTTTTGTTGATCACGCCCATCTGCACGTCGTCCATGATTTCCATTGCAGCGATGGGAACCCCGGCACGCATAACTTTAGATGATGCTGCTGCTGCGTCCCGGATAGTCGGGAATGTCACCACTGCCACACTGGTTTCTTGCGGTATGACCGTAAGCTTTAGTGTGACTTCCGTGACGATTCCAAGTGTGCCTTCGGAACCGATGAAGAGGTTGGTCAGATTATAGCCCGCTGATGTCTTTCTCGGTCGGCGGCGAGTCTTGATGATACTTCCGTCGGCGAGGACGACAGTCAAGTTGACGACCCATTCTTTCATAGTGCCGTACCTGACAGCATTGGTACCACTACAGCTGGTGCCCACCATTCCGCCGATTTTAGCTGTCGGGCCTGGGTCTACGGGGAAGAAGAGGCCGGAATCTTTGATGCTCTCGTTCAGCCCCATCCACGGCACCGAAGGCTGAACCACAACATCCATGTCATCTTCGTGGAGCTCGAGAATTTTGTCCATGAAAGAAAAGTCGATGCTCATGCCTCCGTAGGGAGCGGCAAAGTTTGCTTCTAGGCTGGATCCACCAGAATATGGTATCATGGGTATCTTGTATTTGTAGCATACTTTGGCGATTTGAGACACCTGTTCTGTTGATTTGGGGTATGCAACCGCTACTGGCAGCTGATCGATATTGATAGAGGACCATTCTGAGTACCCGTGCGCATGAAGATCATCGTCGTCAGTACTAACAGCATCCTCGCCAAAGCACTCTCTCAACTCGCGGATTGCCTATGGCAGTTATCAGCAAAGCTATACCTCTGGGCTGGTACCTTAAAACTAATCATAGCTATGAACACGATAGCTCATGTCCTTGAAACATCAGAGTCCCAGCCGTGACGAAGTCAACAGTGGCTGAGATGGGTCTTCTAAGCAGTTCGGTATTCCCATATGAAATGAAGTAACTACCTTTTTCATGTCTTTCTGATTGGCGTATACCGGCTCTGCGGTTTTTTTGGCACCGAAAATATGCAAGGGATCGACATTGTTGGATCCAACAAGATATGAGAGTGTTCCGGTAAACGCTGAAAAGCCAAGTACACGTCCAGTGGTCCAAAAACTGGTCTTGATTGCTTTGGTTGCTTTCGTAGAGTGTTGTGTGGAAGCTGGTCGTGCTCCGTTGATAGCAATTTTCGGTCTTATTGTGAGAGCAGGCTTGGAAAGTTGTCTCGACGTGCGAAACATGGTGACGAACCGTCGAACTAAGTCAATGATTTGGAGATAGAAGGTCTATGGGTCACAGAATGCCTGGGCTTGTGGCCATCTTATATGTCAATAATGCCTGCAAGCAGGCGGGAACGTCATCAAAATAGAAGGCCTGCTAGCGCAATGTCTCCCCTCCCTCGTGGAAGACGGAAATAAGCGCATTGGAGGGAGAGGTGGGTCTCTTCCGGCTGGGCGCACATTTGCCGGCATTGTGACGATAGACATGTCAGACTCACCGCTTAGCAATGTCAGATTAGTGTCAGCGTCAGTGGCAGGTGAGATGGACGGAATGAGCCAGAGCCTCCAGCTCAACATACGTTCTCCTGGAGATTTGGGCCAAGAAGACGCGAGCAAGAGGAATCGAACAAGCTGCATGATCGGCCGCAGGGGCGGAGATAGAAAGAGCAGATTGATTGCATTGCGGGGAAGCTAGAGGTTGTGCAGAGAGCCGCGGGTGTCGCGTGACGAGGCGTGCGGCGTCGCCGTCAGAAAACGCACCTCGGCACCGGCATACCGCAGGTGGTGTGGCACGGCAAGCCAGCATTACACAGATTATTATGAACAATCTGCATGCCTGCCCAAACGTGGGGGGTGGCTTCCGCACGTGACCACGTGAGGCCGTGTCAACGTCCATCGGTTGCCCAGACGATCTGTCGCCCCAAAATTGGCCCGAGACGCGTCTTCCCGGTTCTCCTCAACTACGCACCATGGGCCTCCCGGAGACCTTGACGGCAGAGATCGAGCGCATCATCTCCAGTCCTTACTCTGTATCTCTTAAAGTAAACTCTCGCAATGACGTCCCGTCCACCCACGTCTCTGGTCAACTGACGCAATTTTAGAAACTTGATGATATTCTGCTGCAATGCGACGCCGTCGCCATACGAACTTGGTCGCTGCTCTCCCCTTGCCAAATACCCCAGCTGGTCACGACTGTAAGGGAAGCTCTACAAGTATGGCCTTATGCTCTGCGCGTGCTCCAAAAGCTAGGTACTTCGTCCTAATTTATAATCTGCTTCCAAGGCATCTAAGCTTATGCATGTTGTCACGAAATTCAGCGCAAGCACGCTCTTTCCGCGACGCACTTTTATTGCAAAACTCTGGGCTTTTGGATGATCTGCTCCGAAAATCCTCTGGCCCCGAAAGTTCTAGGGATGTATGTGTTTGGTTCTCTCGGGGTTTCTTAATACAGAGGCTAAAAGATGTTATACAGGTGCTCAATACATGCGCGATGCTACTTGCAGATCCTTTACCGGAATCCATACCTCTCCCATCGTCTGCCCAAAAGTTTTTTGTTCGTATCTTTGAGGAAGCCCTCCAGGCAACTACTGAACAAAATCTGAGCCTACTTCACTCCTTGCTTAGTGGCGCCTGCCGGGAGTTACTCAACATCCTACCGCATGAGCAGCTGGATTATTTCGAGGACAGGTCTTACGACCTTCTCAAAATTACCGAGAACAGTCTGAACTCGAAATTTCGCTTCTTCTGCATCGGGATTCTTCTGCCCTTCGTCGAGCCGAATTTTACGAGGATCACGTTGCCCACTTCTCCACTCGGCAGTATACCGTATTCGCAACCGGAACGCTTGGCGCCTGTGAAGGCATTAGATGAAGTTCCTCGTATATTTCGCGAGGGAGTGGCGCATGTTACTGTCCATTATTTACTTCTTGGTCTTGTCAATACCTGCATTGATGACAGGAATGTTTTCGATGACGAAACTATTCGTAGCATGAAAGTCGCGAATGAGACTTTGACTGTCATCAAACCGGAAGTACGCCATACCTATGCTCGTAAGAATGGCTTCATTGTCGAGAAGCTGCTCGCAAAATTGTCGAGGCTTGACAATCAGCCAATGGCTCAGCTGCAGGTGCGTGTCAGCCGAAAACTTGCCTGTAGCATTGTACTAACATATTTAAAGGGCTTGACTTATATCGGACTTTTGTACGAGAATCACAAAATACCTGCAGATGTTGTATTGGCTTACCAAATGGCTCTTCTCGCATGTACACAAGAGCCAGCATCCGTCCTCTCTGACACTTTAAGCCTATCGCTGCCTTGTTTTACAGTAAGATACACTGATTGCTCTTTCGGATAATACTAACTTTATACAGCACCAATTGACAGAGGATTTTGTTGGCAATGTATTGCGCAAATCTATGGATGCTGCCGTCATGTCACATTCACACTCTGCCGAGCTTGAGGGCTTGATCATCATAATCCAGCTACTCTCCGAGGGAGCGTTGAACTCACGTGCCTTCAGAAAGAGACTGTTTCTTAGTCTCTCAGCAGAAGAAACCAAGGAGCCCCTTGAAAACCTCCTCAAGCCATCGCCTTCCAGCTCCTCTGCACTGTGTACCCGCCAAGGCATCTGTCCAGTCGGAGTACTAAACACTGGCAGACGGCTGTGCTTGAGCATGTGTTCTCTCCTTCTAAAGTCAGCTCTGGCTACACAGGCAGGTGAGGTTGGAATAGACCTCTACGTTGGACTACACATCCTGCAAAAGCAACAAGAAGTCACGCCACAACTATCACCATGCAAACATTTCCAGGCACCTCCGCAGCACGCACCTATATCACTAGTGCAAGAAACTTGTACCCCTCAGACGCAATCTGACAGCTATAACTGGAGACAAAGGCTCGCTACGGATCTGGAAAACCACGGCAAGCTAGAGATAAACTTTATACAGCGCAGAGTCGATGATGTATGTCGGGACCTTGAGGCCAGGTGTGAGAATATCGAGGAACCTCTACATCAAGAACAACAAAAAGTCCAAGAGCTGCGGCTTGAACTTCAAGCCATGCACGAGAAGAGCGACAAACTAAATGCTCACATCCGTCAGCTAGAGGCTCACGAACTTGACCGTGACCTATGCATGGAGGGACTGGAAACTGAGAAGGCTCAAACTGAAGCGGATCTTCAGCATGTCACAAGTCAGAAGGATGACCTCCTGAAGCAGCTCGACAACCTATTCCATAAGCAGGGCGAGGCAGAAAACGCACTCATTAAAGCTCGCAAAGAGTACGACCAAAGTTTGTCACAAATTCGCGCCCTTCTGACTGGCAAAGAAGTAGAATGCCTGGAACAAACTCGGACCTTGGAAACAATGCAGATTGTCATTGGAAAATTGGAAACTGACTTGTGTACAACGAGAGAGGAAGTTCTTCGCGAGCGGAATATTTCGGAAGAAACCAAAGAAAAACTAGCTCATACTATTGGCGAGTTGGAAGAGGCGAGAGCTGTTCATCTCCAGGCAAGATCCGATATCGAAAGCCTCAACAGACAAGAGAGAGATTTGGCTTGTCAGCTTGACTCAGTGAAGACCGCACTTGCTGATGCAAATGATAAAGCGATCGTCTGTAAAGCAGACCATGAAAAGATAGTTGCAGATCGGGAAAGAGATATTGACACTCTTCGTAACCGTTACGAAGAAGAGCTTAAAAAGATAAGCGATGAAGTAAGTCTTGCTTTCGTTTTAAGTGGCCAAGGTGAAGCTAATACCTTAGTAGGCTTCTCAATCACGGGGACGTCTTGAAAGGCGGCTGCAAGCTTTGAAGGACGAACTGGAAGACCAGGTCCGGCAACAAGAGGCGATGTACAAAGAGCTTCAAGTTCGGGATACTGAAATAACAAAGCTCCAACAAGAGGTTAGATGGCGCTCAACTCCGTTACAGGTTTGCATATGGGCGTAAAACTAATTGTTGGCAGATTGAGGTGCTTTCGGATGCCCGTGACGAAGCAGAAGCTCAGCTTGAAGAAGCACAAGCATCCAGGACCAGAATGCGCAACGCTATGGAAGCAGCACTGGAGCCACCGGTCAGGATCACCTCCGGGCCTCATGTTCCCAGAACAGTGCGGATAGCACCGGTTTCGCACAGTACTAGTCGCCGCCGCACGTTCCAAGAAACGCGGTTGAACCAGGACTCCAGCGACCATGGGGAACATCCAGTTTCAGATCACGCCAGACTTTCGCCAGAGAACCTAATACCCCCAAGCAATGAACCCTCGCCAAAGCGCTCAAAGTCACGGCAGCAGCCTTTCAAAGTGCCGACAGTAAAAGCGACTGCGGGTGAAAGACGGCGATCTACAAGATTGTCACAGAACAAATCGTTCTCGACTACGAGTCCAATCAAAAGAAAGCCGTTAGAAGACGTGTCGGCCGAAAGAGGCAACCTGTCGCATGTTACGGTTGCCTATCCACCTAAAAAAACCGCGAGAGATTTGTATCCAGAAGACGTTGAAGAGCCGCGCGAAAAGGAGACCACGCTCAGTTTTGACGAAATGGATCTTTCTTTCGATGCGTCTGGTCTCTTAGCTGACGGTTCGCCTACCCAGGATGAGACAAATCAGAGCGATGCACAGCCGAATGAGGATGAGACTACAGGCTAGTTTTAGTAGTGGATATTTTCCGACACATGTTTCTGAAGGCGTTATTCCAGTGACAGTCATAGAGAGAAAATTATTGTTGTTGTGATTGTAGTACGAGTTTTTTTATAGGTAAGCAAGCGCTTGGAAGTTGGATTACGTAGGCTGTGTATGACCCGGAGTTTAGCAGTGTACACAGCGTTTGATGGCAGTGATGAAAAGAAACGCACTGGTAGCGATTGGGCAGTGGCGACAGAGATGAGTCTTGTTTGAGATTAGGTTATTCATGTGTGTTTGTTCTCACAAATAAGGCAGCAGGTACCCGCGCCACAAACAAGTGGTGTTTAAGGGATCTGTTTCCGTTTGTTTTGGGAAACTAATCTCTGTCTTTTCCAACCATAGAAGCACCAAGAAGTCTCCTTGCATTTCCATGAGGATTTCCGCACCAGCTCATCCCTGTCAATTGTTCATATCTGTAATTTGCGATCATTACTGCGAGCTCTTGTCCGCTTGGTCGGTGTACTCAGAAGCTAACAGCATCGCGACGCATTGACTCCTTTCAGAGAGGATTTGAAGCAGTTGAGAGACATGGAAGGGAATGTGCTGGTCGTAGGTGATGGTAAGGGATCTTCGTAGGCGCCTGTCGGACTAGCATGCAATTCAGAGAGTTGAGTCCGCTGACTTCTGTAGACATACAAAAAAATGAAGAACCGTCTAGTTCTGGCAAAATCATTGCGCGGTCTGATCCTAGGGCAAATCATTCTAGAGGGCATAAGGCGCGGCTCGCTGGGTGTCGGAGAAAGAGTGGTGAAAGCCGCAGTCGGCCACCGCCACCACAACACCAATCTCCAACAACTCATCGAGGCGGCCGCTTCTTCTTGTCCAGTTCAACATCTTCGACAAATCGGAGGCCACGCCACCATATCAGTTTCAATCACAGCACACCACACCAAGCAAAGACTAGCTATTCAAGTCCCAAGGTCCACGGTACGATGTCGCGCCCGCCGCCGCACCAGCGACACAGAATCATACTTCACCAAGGCAACGAGTGGAAGTCATGGCAGGAGTTGACCGTCAAGGTGATTCGGCTTCCCAGTTCTATCACAACGAGGGAGCTTCATAAACACTTCCAAAACGAGGGTGAGGTCACCAAGATTGAAATCAAAGGCTCCGGTGTTTTCTCAACTATCGCCTTTATTACCTACAGGTGAGACCGTTTTGCGACACACATTACTATCTAGGCTGATATGCTATCTCTAGCCCGCCACCATTCAGGTCGTTTTGGAATACCAGCTATCGTATCTCTGGCTCCACGCCTAGCACTACTGTGGAAGTTCCTATCGAGCTCCTTCCACGGCAACGCATCTTCACCGTCCAGAGCCCAGTCGATCCCGCACAGGTGTATCCTGAGAGCATGGTGCGTGCACAAGTAACCCCCCCTGTTGCTCGTACTGTGCTAACAGCTAGTCCACAGAGGATACCAACTGAATCAATCGGCTTCGGATTCATGCATAGCGAGACCTCGATGATGGTCATGCACCGAGTATCCCCAGAGGGAAAACTGCCGATGACGTTAACAGTCAATCTACAACGCCGTGAGGTCGAAGTTCGTTTCTCAATGAATATGTTCGATGAACAAAGGAAAGCATATGTCCTCGACCAATTTCGGTTCCGTGTCAAGTTTTCCCAGATAAAGGGCATCCACGAACGTCACGATGGTGGATGCAACAAGCAAGTATGGGTTATCCTAACTGACAGTCCTCCATGGTTTTACAAGAAACTCCGGAACACCGGGCCAACACACATGGATACCGAGCGGACATGGAGAGAATGGCAGGCTTGGTATCGCCAGACAGATATCACCCACTCTCGGCAACCCCTCAAAAACTCTCCAGTCGGTCTCAAGAAAGCCAACCCTGTGATCGACATAGGAAGGTGGATGGCGTACCGCTTCGAGTTCGACATGAATAGCCCCAGTACGGCGCAATACAAGAAAATGCAAAAGGCCTTGATGGACTACAACATAAATATACTGCCTGACAGTATTGTCCAGATCATTGACAAGCAAAAGCCTCATTTATGGGATATGATTGACTTGAAACAGCATGAATCGGGCTCTGCGCTTGCTACACTTACTAACGCCTATGATAGCCATATTCCACTCAGCTTTGCTCTCCGATATCAGCTTGAGGTTTGTATCTCACACGGCTACCTCAACGAACACAACATAACCAGGCAATTCCTCGAGCGGTTAGTGTCAATGGAGCAGACAACGGCAAGGAATCTCTTGGAAAGAGTTGCAGACTTGAAACGCCGTATTTTCAATCCCATGGATGTCTTTAAGCTCAGTATCAGCCAGAAACCCACGGACAAGTCGATACTAAAGTACTGCGTCTACGCACGTTCCGCCAACGTCACACCCTCCATGGTCTACTATGCTACTCCAAATATCGAGGTTTCCAATCGTATTGTCCGCCAGTATTCCAGTCATGAAGATCGTTTCCTTCGTGTGAAGTTCACTGAAGAGAAAAACGAAGGAAGAATCAACAGCACGGATAGTGATATGGACAATGAGATCTTTACCCGAGTCTGGCGTACGCTACGCAACGGCATTACCATTGGCGATCGGCATTACGAGTTTCTAGCCTTTGGAAACTCCCAGTTCCGTGAACACGGCGCCTACTTCTTCGCTCCAACAAAAGAGCTCACAGCAGCAGATATTCGCTACAAGATGGGCGATTTCCATCACATCAACCAAGTGGCATTGTATGCCGCACGTCTAGGACAGTGTTTATCGACTACTCGTGCTGTACAATGTGTCAGTGTCAAAGTCACTGGAATACCGGATATCGAACGGGATGGCTACAACTTTACTGATGGTGTTGGAAAGATATCTCGGTTTCTTTCGCAGATTATTGGAGAAGAATTTTCTGAGCCTAATGCCGTGGAAGACCCACCTTCTCTATTCCAGTTTCGTCTGGGTGGGTGCAAAGGAGTACTCGCAGTATCCCCGGAGCTCAAGGAACGAGAAATACACGTTCGTTGGTCCCAACGGAAATTTGATGCGATAAAGGAGGGTCTCGAAATCATCCGCATCTCAAAACTGGCAACAGCTATGTTGAATCGGCAGATTATTATCGTCCTGGATGCACTCGGGGTTCCTAACCATGTTTTCATCGCGAGGCTCCAGGAAGATATGGCTGAATTGAACGCTGCCATGTGGTCGGAAAACATTGCTCTTCGCTCATTGCAAGAGACTATTGACTTCAACCAGATGACATTGGCTATGGCAAGCATGATACTAGACGGATTCATGGCCTCTAAAGAACCATTTATGATGTCAATCCTACGACTATGGCGTACTTGGCGTGTCAAGTCTCTCAAAGAGAAGGCCAGGATACGCATTAAAGACGGAGCCTTCCTCCTTGGCTGTGTTGACGAGACTGCGACACTACGTGGCCATTTCATCGACTATGTGGCAGATACCGACAATCCTTTGCCTGACCAAATGGAAAATCTCCCAGAGATCTTCGTGCGGGTTTCGGAACCGGAAAACCAAGGATCATACCAAGTCATTGAAGGCATCTGCGTAGTTGCACGCAATCCTTCGCTCCATGCTGGCGACATTCGGGTTGTCCGGGCAGTTGATGTGCCTGCACTTCATCATTTAAAGAACGTGATCGTTTTTCCTCAAACAGGGGACCGGGATATCCCAAACATGTGTTCCGGCGGGGACCTTGACGGTGACGATTACCTTGTGATGTGGGACAAGGACCTCATACCCAGGGAGGTAAACCACCCCGCTATGAACTTTTCTCCGCCTCCGAAAATTGAAGTCGAGGGCGAACCCACCGCCGAGGACATAAGCAAGTTCTTCGTCGAGTACATCAAAAATGATAGTCTGGGCCGCATTGCTAGTGCACACTTAGTATTTGCTGACTATGAAGATGAAGGAGTGAAGAGTGAGAAGTGTAAGTATTCCTGTCTACGTATATTTTCATTGGAAAGATACTCACATGCTTCCAGGTGTGAGCTTAGCAAAACTACACTCCCTGGCAGTAGACTATCCCAAGTCCGGAGTGCCTGCTAAAATGTCTCACGAGCTAAAACCGAAGATGTATCCCCACTTTATGCCTAGGAAAGGCAGGCCCAGGCCGAAGGATCGGGTTTACAAATCAAAGAAAATTCTAGGACAGCTCTACGATCAGGTGGACCGGGTGGACTTCATGCCACAATACGAGCTCTCATTTGATGCTCGCATCCTAGATGCCTACTCGCTGAGAGAAGACACACTTACTAAGGCTTCCAAGCTCAAGGAAGCATATGATGCTGCCCTTCGTAGAATTATGGCCCAACATGGAATTCTTACGGAGTTCGAAGTCTGGACGACTTTTGTTCTCGAGCACAACAATGAGACAAGAGATTACCAAATGGCAGAAGAGTTTGGCCGCATCTCCCTTGCTCTCAAACAACGCTTTCAAGATCTCTGTTATGAGGAAGCTGGCGGAAGGAGCCACGAGATTCTAGGTCCGTTCGTTGCAGCCATGTACACGGTGACCGCTCGCCAGATGCAGACCGCTATCCAAGAATACCAGGCAACCAAATCGGGCAGAGCACCTCAACTCCTGAGCAGGGAGATGGACTTTAGGGTAATGCCTCTGATGAGCTTTCCCTGGATCTTCCGTGAAGAGTTGGGACATATTGCTAATGCCAAGAACGGGGAGAGAGCTGGTCTGGAAATCGTCGAAAACGAACCACAACGCCGCATTCGTGCAAAAAAACCAGTTGCATCCAAGCTCCAAGATGGATACAATGTAGAAGACGATATCCTTCTTGGAAACGGAGAGTTCCATGACGGAGACAAGCTGAAAAACTCCCCCCAAGCAGAACAAAGTATTATGAGAACGGCAAAGAAGGCCGGTGTGGTTGATGGACTTACCCATGATAGCATTCAGCCAGGGAATGCTACAAACGACAACATCAGAGATGGTGGTTTGGCTGTGGAACAGGAGAAAGGTCAAGAAGCAAAAGCCGCCCAAGATGACCCACTCTCTCTAGCCACAGAAATTGGCCACGATAGCCACGGCTCGACTGATGTTGGATTCCTTACGCCTCTTGGCACCTCGGGCATAAATAGTCCTTTTTCACCTAACAAAGCTCTTAGCAGAGCAGACAGCAGAAGCGACATGAGCGGAGATTTGAACGACATAACCCACAGGCTGAGCAGCTTCTCCATGACTGCCAACAGTCTTAAAAGTGCTGGCAAGATTGTAGACTCCTGTGGTAATGAGAAACACAACGCGGCTCTTAATTCCCATCTTTCCTCTGACCCGACGCTTGACAAACGCGAAGAAAGCAGGGAATACGAGGCTGAAGAGGTTGTCATAGAGCCTGAGGCACAGACTGCCTTGGACATGCTTGCAGGCATCCTCAACAAGTAACCATGGGTTGCATATGTCCTACTTCGACTTTCGAAAGACGATACACTGGTCATCTGAACGAAGTAGACAGAACCGGTGGGCTTGGATCTGGTTGTTCTTTTTTCGTGCAAACTGCCTTGCTTTTTACAGTCTCTCATTTCCATTCGCTTCATTACACTCGTTCATTGTGTTTGGGGAGATTAGGACTTTAGGAAGAATCGATCCATATCCTGCGGTTTCATTGTCCTACAGCGAATAATTCGCTCCGGGTAAGCGGATGGTGAGGTTCGTTCATACCTTAGGAGACCAAGTGCCGCGGAAATGGACTGGTAGGCAGACAGCTTCTGGGAATAGAACTGTATACCAAATTGAATCATCCTCTCGCGACTTGACAGTGATAATTTTTAGAACCAGATTGGAGGAGTACGTAGAAGCAACTTGCTCAACCGCTAGTGCCTGCTCCCCTCTCAAACACTTTGACAGTGCCATCTCCGCCAACATAATACAGCAACTCTTTACCGGCTTTTGCATCGTCCTCGCCGCTCCGTTCCTGCACCTCGTCCCCGTTATCACCCCTTGTAATCCTCAACACCCCACTCACGTCCGCCGCATAGCCAGTATCCAGCAGCCTCAAACTCAATACTAGATCAGCGACATGCGCTTGTCCAATCAGAAACGCGGCGTGCGCAGCCTCGAGCGGCGAGTGCGCAGCGCGCGACACGGGCGCAACGACATCAGGCGCCGCGGCGGCTACAAGCGGCGCGTCGGCAGAAAGAGTCAAGACAGTAGAGTGGGCGCCGGCGCGCAGGTGCAGTAGTGACGCGGCAAGGTCAGTGGGCGCGACGGCGGGGTCGGCGGCCGCGAGCAGGACGTCCGGCTGGTCCAAGATGAGTAGCGTTTTCTTGGGCAAGGCAGCGTCGAGATGGGCCTGCGCACGTTGGAGGGTCTCTTCGAGATGCGCGAGTGTGGGAGAATTTAGGCGCAGAGTCGACGATTGCTGCTGCTGCGTAGGAGCACTGGGAGTAGTAGGCGCGACTACCTGGGCACGCGCCGGTTGTGGTGCGCCGCGGGGTGTGATGGTCCTGGGCCCGCGCGATGCGGCTTGCGGCGATGCTGGCGCCGCTGCTGGCGCTATCGATTCGACATCGGCGGGGAGGAAGAGGCCTGAGAGGCCGTCGACGAAGACGAAGCGACCCTGATGCGCGAGGCGCGCAAGATCGAGGCCCTAGAGGGTGTGTCGTTAACAAGATTGGCGCGTGCGGACGAGATGAAGCTTTGCACTCACGCCAGCTCGTCGGCTCTCCGTCTTCCAGAAGTCCCAGTCACGCAGCCAGCTCACGAGTATCACGGCCGTGTCTTCATCAGCGCCATGGCTAGCCTCATCCTTTACCAGAGCACCGCATATGTAGCGGATAACAAGCCAGTTAGTGCTGGCGCCGAGGACGCCGGTGAGGAGGGTAAGGCAGCCCTGGTCGGGGGGAAGCTGCGTGTAGGGGTGCAAGAGCGGTGGGATGCGCGAGGTGGGAGGCATGGTGGGGGAGGATGCAATGACAGGGAGCGAACTCTTCCTCGAAGTCTCGCACCTGGCGAGATCGACAATGAAAAGTAGTGGCCAGCATAGGGCGAACAGCAAAAATTGCGCCGGTGAAGCCCCCGAAGGAGATTCATACCGGCCCACCACCGCGCTGTGCAATGCAGGGCAGTCCGATAGGTCGACCGTCTTCATGATCACGGTGACCCAGACTAGGTAAGTATGAAAGAAAAAGAGGAAGAAGAAGAGGAAGATGAGCGACAGGGGAGGGTGTTTATGTAGACGAGCTACCCATCTAAGCGAGGAGCTAAAGCGCATCGCTGACTCAGGCGCAGGCGGCGGCGAACGGCGGAGGAAAGAGCGCGGACTCCGGCGAGCTCGAGCTTCCGGGCATCCATGCCCCATCCCACCATCCATTCCACTTCTTCGGCTTCCATTCCTTCCGATCGATAGGAAGGCGCAGTCCTGGTGGTGCTGGCTCTAGCGCGGGGGCTCTAGCGTACCTGGCGTACCTGGCGTACCCGCCATGTACCTACCTACTGTGCTACTGCGCGTTGGGATTCTTCCAGAAATCCTACTGACATGGACACATGTCGCCGCCTCCCCAGTCCCCCGCACACTCCTCCTCAACCACGCACGCTGTCAGCCTTTAGTAGGGCGTTTGTCTTCTGGGGCCCCGGGTCCTCGCGCCATCACCTCCCCTCACCAATCGCTCCTTTCACCGCTCAGGAGTCGCCATCGCTTCAGTCCAGAGATAGCGCACGGGTGTTGCTCTTCGTGAGTCTAGACGCTAATAGGGGGCTACTATGCCGACTCGCCATGCCTTTGCAACGGCTTCCGTCTCTCTATTCGCATCTGTACCCGAATCCTATAGTCCGTCAAAGCCTTTCTTAGTGCCGGTCCAGCCCGTCATGTCCGACGCTGTCTGCTTAAATGTCGCCCGTGCCCCTCGCCGTCTCTCTTGTGGGAGCTCTCTCTTTGTTCACCGTCCTCGTGAAACCGCTGTTCCAAAATGGCTCGGTCACTCGCCTCTCCTCAATATGTCTCGCAACCAAGGTGGCCGTCGAAAGCCCAGAATGCAGCCAAGGCCATGCCTCCCTCCCGCAAGTCGCCCATGGCCTCAACTTTCCGGAACGGTCGTTATGAGAAAGGCGAGATGAAGATTCAAGAATCTGCCGGCTATGAAGCTTCGGATGAGATGTCGCTCAAGCCTTGGAAGCAGACAGCCTTCCGGCTCTTGCCGCTCACTTCCCTGCTCTTCCTTTCCTTGGTGGCTGGAGCCACCTATTTTCAAGTGCACATCTTGAGGCAACAATACAGAGAAGGCCAGATCTCTTGGGTGTCATTGCTTACGAACTCCACGATTTTGCTTGTTCAACTCAGTTACTCCAGTGTGTCTCACTCACCCGGTCGTTCTTTCATCTGCTGATTGCACAGGCACGGATGTACTTCATGCCATGGCAAGACTCGTTGCCTTGTTCGGAGATTGGCGCCCGCGGTTACAAATGGTCGGACAGAATGTGCCCACAGTCGATGTTCTCATTCCTTGTTGCAACGAAGACCCCGATATCATCATTGACACGACGCGAGCAGTGCTCCAAATGGACTATCCCAGGAACCGGTATCGTGTGTTGATCACTGACGATGGCAACTCACGAGAGCTGGCATCCTATGTCGAGCAGCTATCAACAGAGTACCCGAACTTGCATTACACGGCACGGAAGAAGACCGGGCCCGATGGCTTCAAAGCAGGCAACTTAAATCATGCCCTAAGCTTCCTGAGCGCGCTTCCAGAAGGCGCGGCAGAGTTCGTGGCTTCACTCGATGCGGATATGATCCCAGACAAGAGATGGCTCCGAGCACTCGTTCCACACCTGGTTCGCGACCCTCAGCTGGCCGTTGTTTGCCCTCCGCAGGTATTTCTCGACTAATCTGCTCAAAACGATATAATGGTTATTGACAAGCCACCAGCATTTCTACAACGCCCCACTCAATGACGCTTTGTGCCAAGCGAACAGGTATTTTTCCAGAAGCTTTGAGGTTCTCAAAGACATGGCTGGTGCTGCGTGGAACACTGGCTCTGGCTGGATAACGCGGCGCGAGGCTTTGGATTTAATTGGTGGTTGGCCTACGGACTCCATAACCGAGGATGCTTATTGCTCGACAATGCTTCTTGCCGCAGGTTGGAAGGCTGCTTACGTCCAAGAAGAATTGCAGCACGGTCTGGTGCCTGATTCTTACTACAAGCACATCAAGCAACGGACTAGATGGGTAAGTCAGAAAGTCTGGGTGGCAGATTAATCTTACTGACACGTTTTCTTAGAATGTCGGAGGAGCTCAGCGCACTGCCAACATGGGATTTTTCCTCCGCAAGGCCTGGGCCCGCAAGTTTACCGCAGGACACCGGTTCTTCCACATGCTGTACTCGATTGACTACTTCAGCCCCATCTTGCTATGCCTTGGCATAATTGTCACTCCGATCTGCCTCTTCATGGGATCCAAGCTAGCTCCTTACCAGGACCTTTCGCAGCTACGGTTGATGTTGCAGCTCAAGTGCTTGGTGCTGCTGGCCGGCTGGCTTAACGATCTGCATAACTCTTTGTTCACTGGTTATCAGGTTGGTCTTTCAGAGCAAGCCAGTAGGGTTTGGATGTCACCTTGTAAGGACCACCCCACACAGCCATAGACGTATGCTTCAGCCTAGTAAACTGACCTACAACAGACCATATGATTACGCTGGTACGCTCTTTCATTCTCCCATCCTGCCTTGGAGGTCAGTTGTCGGGTTTCACCGCCACCGGTTCCGTCCCGGATACGCTTCACGAGCGGAGACCAGATCAGCGTGCTCCGCTGAGCAAGCGCCTCCAACACATTCTCACCGACTGCGGGGCAATCTTCCACCTGGGTTTCATCATTCTATGCTCTCTCGGTATAACCAACATGGTCTACCAATGTTTTGGCGCTCACAGCGCTGGTTCAAGCCACTCTTGGATGCTCTTCCTTTCGAATTTGGCACTTCCGCTGCCTTTCTGGTACCAGCTCATCATCGGTTGCTTCGTTCCGCTACAGTATGCCATCTTCCCTCCGGATGTTCCCGAGCGTGAAGCATGTCTTTTCCGCGACCCTATCACTGGAGTTGCGTATCCGACGCAAAAGGCAAAGAAGCCTCAGTTTACGTTGAAAACTGTGGACTATGCTCATTTCCATTTCCCAATTGTGCTTTATGCCCTTGGCTTGTTCGCCAGCACCTGGTGGATCTGATCGCGGTTTAGCACTCGACACAATACTAAGCCAACACAATGCGAAGCTGGCTGCACAAAAGTCATTTGTAATCCTTTCTTTATTTCATTGCATAATTAGCCAGGGTACATCAGGCGTTTTATAGATGGGCGTATACTTGGCTTGGCAGTGTGTGGATTTCAAGATGTATAGATCTCGAAGGTTGAGATTGATGAAACGACTACTTCTTAGATGGTGTCTAGATTTATATAATAATTATATAACAAGAAATCATTTTAGGAAAGAACATGTACAAGAAGCTCGCACTTGGATCTGCTTTGTCAAGCCGTTGCCTATAAGCTTACTTCAGAGTCCATCAGCCGGCCCAAGCTCCATGATTTAAACTAGGCTTGTGGGCTTGGTTGACAAAAGCCGTGCACCTCAGCACTAGGTACAAATTAGGTAGGAACGGTCAACATATCCCTGCTTCACCCTAATTACCTACCCGGAACATGAACTGTATGCCAATTAGTTCTTATGAACCAAATTGACGGTTTTCAAGCACATGCATGCTTTTATACTGTCTAGCAAACACCCAGGAAGACTTTCACACTTTGAGACAGTGCTATTGTCAAATAGGACCGGTTGACGATGGTGGTATGTAGGTGATCAGACATCCATAGTTAGTATTCTTCTCATTCTCACTCTTCAATCCCAATACAAATAACAAGTAAACAAACAATTAGAAAAGTATAGATAACAAATAAGATAAAACAAAAGGATGAAAAATAAACTTAAACGGAACTAGTGAGCAGACTGTGCTGAGCTGAGAGCCAGGCGCCGGGGCTTGTCTTGTTCCGCATTGCTAGAGTCCGCATGATCATTGTCTTAACGTTCGATAAGATGTCGCATCGGAACGATAGAAAAGAGATTTTCGAATGCCTTGGATATTTAATGCATTGATGAGATAGATGGCAGATGCCAATTACTACATGTATTGCGTCGAGCAGTCTGCCTTTACTGAATAATAGTACCGATCTACTACATATACGAAGATGCGGTGTCATCAGTTCTTGATACAGGTTGGCAGCCGCCATTTCAATGCGAACGACTGAGTCGTGTAGGCTCTGGCTTTACATGTTGTCAGTGGCCTCTGCGAACACCGCAAAATGATAAGAGAACAAAACATTCTACTCCAGACTTCGAGGATATTGCATGTGAGGTTTTGTGAGCCGGACTGGCAAATATGTATCATTGAAGCAGGAAACCCGCCAGTCTCCCATTCAGCCGGGAACTCGGGGAGTAGAGGCAATTTGAATAGCCCTACACAAACGAAAAGAGGTACAACCAAAGGGAACCCAAACAAGCGAAACACCCTGCAAGAACCCAAGATTCAGAACCAAAGTCCCATATCTCAACGCCGACACCACTCCGCTAATCCAATGCTCCGTGCCCTATGATGCCAGAAGGATCCGGAGATGGAACATAGGAGAGGACCTCGGCCTAAGAAGGCGATAAACGAAAGATCCCACTAGTAGTCGTGGGGAGAAGATCACAAGACAGAACCTTTATGGCACGGCGAAGAGGTTTGTTGCTTAGTCGTAAGGGTCGTTACGCAGTCCCTTCCCTCTGTAATCGAAGACGCCACATTCTACGCCTGGCTGCCGACGGGATGACCGACTCCGTGCTAGCCACATACCAAGTTCCCTGACTGACCCAAGTGGAGCGGCGAGGGCGGACAGATGAGTCCAAGGTGTGTACAGGTAGCAGTTCCTCGAAATTGGAATATCCAACGGAGGAACTAAGGTTGTGGGCAACAGGGTACAGTGTTTCCACTGCCGCCAGAACTGGCCGCTGCTCCCCTCCAGAACGCAGGCTTGCGTGCGGGAGGTTGGATGGGTTGACAGCTAGACGCTGGGCGCGACTAACACCCTTCATCTCTCCAAGGGTTTCTGCCAACTATTGATATAGGCCATTATGCTTAGACCAAGAACCACCACGCCCACCATAGATGCATAAGGTCCGACATGCGCAAGTTGATCGCCTCCTTGTGACTTTGTAGCCAGTGCATGTGCCCTTGCCTCTTTGGATTGTGCGCCTTGCTCTGGTTGAATTGGATAGCCGTTTTGTGCATCAGCTTGCGGTGTGGCAGTGCCTGCATTCGGTTCCTTCTCGGCTGCAGGTACGTCCTTTGCACGAGTTAAATTGGTGGGACCATCAAGCTCTGCGAGAGTCTTGGTCGGCGGGGCATTTTCCTCTGCCTGGATCCTGGCATCTTTCGCGACACGATCGGCCTCCTCTTTACGAATACGCTCAACCATTTCTGAGAGCGTCTGTCGGTCCCGCGCACTATCCGCTTCCGCTTTTTCGGCACGCTGTCTATAACTCTCCATTTGTTGCCTCATTTGATCCATTTCTGCAACCATGGATTCAATGCGTTGTTGCAGCTGCGCCGTTGAAGCATCAATATCTGCCGTGCGTGGAGGCTCATTGACGGTCGTTTCATGTTTGGTGGTACCGTCTACTCCGTCCGAGTTTCCAATGTGGGCGTCGATGCCGTTAGTGCAAACGTCGGCGGAATGAGGATCTGCGGTATCATCCTTTCTCTCCATCTCAAGACGCTGCGCACGTTCTTCAGCGCTTTCCCTCGCCAAACGTTCTTGTGCAAGAAGTTCCTCAACTTCTTTCAATCTTACGCTCTGCATATCAAACTCTTTCTTTGCGTTAGTCAAGGCTTCGACTAACGAGCCGATTTGCCCAGATGGGTCAGATTTGCCTGCCACGTTGTTATTCATAACAAGCTTTGGCTTTTCGGTCTCCATTCTGCGCAGTGATGGTTGGGCGGCATCAGGCTTCTCCGGTAGAGGTTGCGAAGGAGGCGGAGCAGGAGGTTCCGAAAATCTTGCTTTGAGGTCTCCCTTCAGGGGTGAATGCTTCGCGAGTGGAGACGACAGTTTGTTTGTGTCTTTCTTCGAGTCGGTTGCTAGCAAAGACTCAATATACTGTCCTGTCCGTTGAAGTTCCTGGGATTGTTGCCGGGCTTGTTTCATCTCAGACTGAATCATGTTAGTTTATCGCCATGACAGAGCATCTCGAGATTCTCACGTTTAGTTTTTTGACAATTTGTTCCATGGTGACAGGTTGCAGCCAGAAGTTAGTGTGTCTTTGCTGCCCCATGGCGTTCATACTGCTTCCAGCTACACTTTGGGGTGCTGAACCAATTCGACCGTTGCTCGCAATAGAGCCTTGACTGCCGTTGCGGCCTCTCATCTGCCCCATTCCTTGCCCAAGAGGTGATGTCAACAGGCCGCCGTTGACTGACGGGTCGAGGTCTCCAAAGTTGAGATCCAATCCATTGTTGCCGTTCGGATAGATTCCGGCGTGCTCGACCTTTGCGGCCACTTTGTGATGAACAATAGTTTTTTGGTCTTCGCTGACGATGTCAATGCCCAGTTCCAGCATGTCCTGCTCTCTGAGTTCGTGAGCCTCAGAATCGCGGTTCTCGGGCGAAAGACGGGTTCCATTGACGAAGGTGCCATTGGAGGACTTGACATCTCGGATCCAAATTTTCCCGGCGCGGTCTGCCCATATCTCGGCATGCTGTCTAGAAAGGACTTTGGAATCGAAATAACCGTTTAAGGGTGAGGGGACCGTTTTGTTATTTGTTTGCCGACCGATGCGTAAAACGTCTGGAAAATATGGGACGGTGATAGTTTTCCGCTCGAAAGTGCCGTTTAAAGGAACCAAATGAAGGATTGCCTGAGCCTCTGACTGGGCTCTAGGCGCCCCGTTTTGTTGTGCCTGAGACTGAGCACCGTGCTGCGAAGGTAGCATTGATGATGGTGTGTGCAGTGCAGAGATGGCAGAAGCTGCTGAGGGGCCCGAAGAGGAAGATGCAATTGACTGAGGTCTAGCAGTCGAAATTCCTGCAGTAGGTTCCGCCTTGGACGACGGCCATATCCCGCGAGGCGGCTTCTTCCTTGTTCCCCAGCCAGATGCGTCAGGCGGAGGAACGGTGGATGCGCCGTTGGCCTGCACGGTGGAGGAAGAAATTGTTGAGGTAGAGGATGCAGAGGAAGCGATAGATGAGGAAGAGTTAGATCGCTGGGCGCTCTTGCGAGGCATGAACATTCTGGTGACCTCGTCGGCGCTCATGGGATTCAGGCCGTTCTGAGCACCATTAGGAGCGCTCCATCCCGTTCTGGCAGTCGGCTGCAAGTCCAAGGGAGGCGCAACGGCCGTCATCTGTTCAAAAGCCAGGGCGCGGCCGAGTGGGTGGAGGCCGAGGTCACCTTGCAGCTTCTTTCGACTTTAGTTGGCCCCGGCAACACCAAACACGCTCCAGCACAAGCGACGAGCGTGCACCACGCCGGGCATGAAAAGAGGCTGGGACGGCGCAGGCGCAGGCGAGTCGCGCGGCGGCGAGCGGGTGCTGGGCCGTGTCAGTCGAGGGCGACGAAGGATGCGCGGCGGAGAGGCAAGAGGGAGCGGGAGCGGCAGTCGCAGGGACGCGGGCGGGCAGAAGCGCGGCGACTTGAGGTGATACGGGGGCTCAAGGGCGTTCGGTGTTGGGTCTGAGGTGGTCGATTGCCGGCTCCTTGTCTCTGGAGGAGCTCGCTAACTTGGGGCCGCAGATCGTCAGCTAATCGCGGGCATGTGAGCAGCAGCTGCGGCAGCGGGCGACAGACGGCGAGCGTGAACGGGAGAGGGCTACGTGTTTCCTGACGAGTCTTTCGTCCAAAGGGGCCCCAAGTCCATTCCAATCTCGGTGGCCGGTCGCAGGACGTTCATCATCACGTGACCGGCGCCGTCACCAGTGCACCTCCGAGATCAACTTCATGCGTCGGTTGCGCGCCAGACATCGTCACTCTCCCCACGACTTCTCACCATGCCCGTCCCCGTAGGCGCTGGCGGCATGACTGGCCCGTCGACCTTCGACAAGCGTGAGTGTTTCGCCGCCTTTTCCCGCGCCGACCTGCGCTGACCGTTGCCAGTGAAAATGGGTGCCATGATGGGTGGCTGTACGTTTGAACTGCCGCTCCAATTGCTGATATCGCCTCATTGCTCACATTCGCCGCCGACGCAGCTGTTGGTTTGATCATTGGCTTCATCTTTGGTACGAGCACAAAAAAGCACAACCATCTCCGGGCACTTTTAACGCGGGTACCAGGAGCGACGAACATCATAAGATTTGGCCCCGGCCCCAATGGCATGCTTCGCACTCTCGGTCAATACATGCTTGGCTCTGCTGCGACGTTCGGGTGCGCCTGTTCTCCCTGGTCGTACTATTCAACGTGCCCGCTAACCTACCGTAGCTTCTTCATGTCCATCGGAAGCACCATCAGGACGGAAAGTGACCGTCAGGTTGCTGAGGCCTTTGCGAAAGCACGCAGGCAGCCCATGATCATGCCCCGCCATATCTCGCGGATGCCGCGTAACAACGATGCGGGAAGTAGCTAAATTGATAAAAGACGGAAGGAATGTACAACAGCCCAGTCCTTCTCGGAGACATTGAGCAACAATTGAGAATGGCGTAGTATTTACCCGTTTTTCATTCTCACGTGTGGTCAATCTTTCCAATGGCCAAAAATTCGTAAGGCTCTCTACTCGACTGTTCTAAACATCTTGAAGCATACGCTTCAGCTTCAGGTACCTCTAGTAATTGGGCCTGCTTCGCCCCGCATCTCGTAGCCGCGCTGCATTTAAATATTCTAAAAGGGAAGTTTTGTGCAGCTTCTGTAATGATGTCCATGTCGTGTGTTCAGAAAGTTTCTCTTGGCTGTCAGTTAGTCCATCACTGACAATAGTTGTTGTCTCTAAGAGCTAAACTTATTTTACGACGATATTCTTATATGCTCGCTAATCTACTTATCGTCCATATCTATATATTCTTTAAAGAAAAGCGAAATATATTCTTAAAAAAATAAAAAAATCTAAGATATATTTTTTTTATAAGAAATTTAGTACTATGTATATTATAAAAAATTCTAAGATGTATATATTCTTAAAAAAGAAGAAGAACATATTTTTTAAAAATATAAAATTTCTTCTTAAAAAAAAAAGTAAAATATATTCTTTAAACTTTCTAAAAGAAAAAATTTCTAAAATATATATAATTTTAAATTTTATTTCTATAATATATATTTTTATAATTTACTATAATTTATACTTTTATAATTTTTTTTAAAATATATATATATATATATATATCTTAGAGAGACTTTTTAGATATTTTTTTAGGAACATATATAATTTAGTAAGTGGCTATTTATTTATTTATTTGTTTTTTTTAAATATACTATTAAAATAAAAATTTTAAAAAAATAACTACTTAGATATATTTACGGCTATTTACTAAGATATATTTATTTTTTATAAAATTTCTAAGATATATAAATATATACATCTTAGAGTTTTACGCTAAAAATAAAGTATTTTATTACTAAAAATATATATCGTGGAAATTTATATTAAAAAATTATATATCTTAGAAATATTTTCTTACGGCTATTTACCGAGATATATATAGTATTTCTAAGACATATAAATATGTTTATCTTAGAGTTTTGCGCTATATATATAGTATTTTATTACTAAAAATATATATCTTAGAAATGTATTTAAAAATATATATATATATATATTAGAAATTAAATTCGAAAATATGTATATCTTAGAAATATATATTAAAAAATTATGTAGCTTAGAAATATACTTTTGAAAATTATGTATCTTAGAAATATTTTTTTTAGAAAAAACATTCTTTAAAAAAATCGAATATACTCTTAAAAAAAACCAAATATATTCTTATAAAAAATATATTCTTAAAAAGCGAATAAACTCCTAATAAATAATTTAAAAAAAACTAATAAGTATTTATAGAAAATTGAGAATATTTCTAAAAAAAAATCATAAAAAAATAAATATATTCTAAATAAATATATATATTGTTTTCTATTTAGTTATTCTTTTTAAAAATATATTTTAAATTTTTTAGAATTTATTAAGATTATATTTCGTTTTTTTTTTAAAAAAAAATATTTTCGCTTTTTTAAGAATATATTCTGTTTTTTTTTTTTAAAGAATATATTCGATTTTTTTTAAGAGTATATTTATTATTTGTAGCGATTTATTTTTTAGAAAAAAAATATTACTGAGATATATAATTTTTATCGAACTAATTTCTAAAATATATATATTTCTCGAATATATTTCTAAGATATACGTTTTTTTTTTTAACTAAATTTCTGAGATATATATATTTTTTAGTTTTTTTCTGAGATATACATATTTTTTATAATATACTATAATATATTTATTTACAAGCGAAATATATATAAAAAAAAGTGTATATCTCAGAGAGACTTTTTCGATATATATATCTTAGAAATTATACAATAAAAAATATATATCTTAGTAAATAGCCGTATTTTTTAGAAAATATATTCTTTATAAATCGAATATATTCTTAAAAAAATATATTCTTAAAAAAGTAAGTATACTTTTAAAAAAAAAATTATATATACTTAAAAAAAAATCGAATATACTCTTTAAAAAAAATCGAATATATTTCTTAAAATAAAAATAAAAATAATACTCTTAGAAAAGCGAAAATATACTCTTAAAAAAAAAGCAAAATATACTCTTAAAAAAAAGCAAAATATACTCTTAATAAGCTTTTAAAAAAATTAAATATATTCTTAAAAAAATTAACTAAGTAAAACACCTAAACGCCTAAAAGTAGAACTATATAAAATTAATATCTTCTTCTTCTTCTTCCTACGACTACGACCTAAATATAAGCTAGGAAAGCGTTATAGCTTAGAAATTAGGCTAATTCTCTATAGCCGAATTTTTGGAGAAACCTTAAAATTCTTCTAAATTTTCTAAAGAATTCGAATTTTCTTTAGCTATTTTAAAAGAACTTAAATTTTATCTCCTTATCCTCCTAAAATTCGATCTTCTAAGATTAACTATATACTAATTAAAAGTTTCCTAATATTACCTTTTAGCTAGGCGATTATAGCGACTAGCTAATATTTCTTTTTATAGACGTTTAGTAGGAGGTCGCCCTAGCTTTCTCTTTCTAGTATTATTTTTATTTAGCTAGGTATCGTTAGATTCTAGCTATCTAAATAGTACTAGAGAAAGAAATCTTTTAGGGTAATAAATTACCCTATAGGAATTAATTTTCTAGCTAAAATTAATTAAATCTTTAGGATCTAGTCCTAAAGTAGTAACTAGAGCGTAAGTATATCGATAAAGGAGCTTATATTCTATTAAAAAAATTTTATAGGAATATTCTTTTTTAAGAATATTTATAAGAAATTACGAATTTTCTTAGAAAATAAGCCTAATTTACTATTCTCTATTAGAAATAGAGATAATCTTATATTAAGACTATTAAATAAATTAATATATATATATTTTAAAAAAAAAAGTGAAAATAGGAGTATAACTTATTTTTTTTTAAAAAAAAGTCTTATTATATATAATTTAATACTAAATTTTTACTAGGTATAGTTAGTAAATCTTAAATTTATAGAAAATACTATATAGATTCGATCTTACTATTTCTCTATATAATATAACTAAATTCGATTTATTATATAGAGAATAGGTAGAGACCTCTCTATAGAGAATAAAGAATTAGCTAATTCTAAGATATTTAACGTAAATTAGCTAAATCTAGGATATTCCTTTAGTACCTAAATTTTTAACTAAGTATCTATAGAAATTTCGCGAATATAGTCTATAGCTAAGAGGTCGATTTACGTAATTTATAAAAGATTTCTATTAAGTTCTCGTTAGATAGTTTTATAGTAAAGATTTCTTTTAATTAGTATATCTCTTAAAAACCCCGAATTTTTAAGTATATTTTCTTAAAAAAAAACTTATATTACGAAAAAGGGTAGTAATTTAACTACTAAAACTAGTAGTATAGTAGAGCTAACCACTCTTTAGTTTTTTACGTATTCTTCGCTAGTAAGTCGTTTATAGTATAACTTCGAGCTAGTAGTAGATAGATAAGAATTAATAACTATCTTTTATTTACTACTTTACCTTTAGTTAGCTTTCTATCTCTATAGATTCGTCTTTATTACCCTATAGAAACTATTCTTCGCGGTCCTACGCCTCTAGGCTAGCTATTAGAGCTACTAAGCTTCTTAGGGTAGTCGTACTACTACTACTACTACTACTACTACTACTACTACTACTACTACTACTACTACTACTACTACTACTACTACTACTACTATATTAGGAATTTTTCGAAACTCTACTATATAAAAATTAGATAAGTCTAATAATTAAAGCTAGCTATAAGTTATTTTATATTCTAAATAACCTAAATCTATAATAAAACTATTATATTTTCGTAAGGGTAGAGTAGTAAATTAAATTAAATATAAGTTTATTTAATTTTATTTAATTTTCCTTAGTTTTTCCTAATATAAATTAGATAGATTAGAGCGGGCTTTAAGAGTTATAAAATAAAATAAAAAGTAAGAATTTAAGCTAAATCTAAGTAATAAATTACTCTAATTTATATTAGTAGGTATTAAATTTTTATATTTTAAAAAAAATTATAATATAGATCTACCGCCCCTATTCGCTATCCTCGCTATAGTTTAGGGTATATAAAGGCTACGCCTCTATAGTAGTAGTATTTTTAGTAATATACTACTAGTAAAAATAATACTAAGTATTTAGGTAAATTTTAGCTACTATAGGAACTAGTCCTTTTCCTCGATCTAAAATAATAGCAATTCTACTAGAATTTAGTATAACTAGTTAATTTCTATAGGAGAAAATTTGCTTTTTAGTAGAACTAAGAGACTTTTCTAGAAATTAAAGGAATTAAACTTAATTTTCTTTATTTTTTTTTTAAAAAAAAAACCTATAGCGATTCTAAAATAAATTAGAATAACAATATTATTATAATCTAATATTATTACTACTAATAAATAGTAAAACGCGTTTTCTAGTTAATTTCTTATATAGGTAGTATTAATTAAGATATACTCACGTAAATTTAAGATAGCTACTTCTAAAAATACGTCTAGAGAAAGAAATATATACCTATTTATTAGATATATTAGTATTTTCGCTTTTTTCTAAGGAGATATATTTCTAAATAATTATTAAAAAAAAAAACTTACTAGAATTCTTTTATTTCTAAATTTCTTTTAATTTAGTAAGGCCTCCTTCTTTTCCTTATAGTTCTTCGATTTTTTTTTTAAAAAAAAAAGGCTAAAAAATAGTTAGAATATTTAAATAAAAATAAACTTTTAATAATAAATAGTACCTAAATTTTTTAAATTATTTCTTTTTAGTCGTCCTAAATACCCGAAGAAATCGAATCTTTAGCTCTCTAAGCTACCTAATATAGAATCTTTTTTCTATATAAAATTCGTTTATTTAATTAAATTTATACTAGGCGAATTACTAGGTTATCTATAATAAATTCCTAGCTATAGGAAGTAAGAAACTTAGTTAAATTCGAATATCTCTAATTTTCGTAGGTAGATTAAGGGTATATATAATTTATAAGCCGTTTAATAGTAAAAAGATCTAATAAATATTAATATATCTTCTTAAAAAAGCGAAATAGGAGTATATCTTCTTTTTTTTTAAAAAAAAAGTAAAAATATACCTTTCTTTTTTAAGATATATATCTTAAATAGATAGCTATTTACTACTAGATTACGGTAAGTATAGTATAATACTTTTAAATTACTACGTTTTATCTTCTATAATTCTAAATAAAAAAAGAAAGAAAGGTCCTAGTATTTATATCCTTAATATTAGGCGTCTAGTTCTAAGCTTTAGAATCTGAATTATAATTAAACTATAAAATTAATCGCGTATTTTTAAGTTCTAGAATATAGATCCTAATTAAACTAAATAATTTTATAAATTTTAAATTTTAAGAGTATAGATCCTAATAAAACTAATTATTTTCATAAATTCTAAGTTTTAAGAACCTAAACTTAATAAAATTAGATTATAATAGCGTAGTTATAATAAATATATATATTTTTTATTCAGAATATATCTATCTTTTAAGAATATTTTTTATAAGAATATATTTTTTATAAGAATATATTTTTTATAAGAATATATTTTTTATAAGAATTTTTTTTTTAAGAATATATTTTTTATAAGAATATATTTTTTATAAGAATTTTTTTTTTAAGAATATATTAAATCTTTTAAGAATATATTAAATCTTTTAAGAATATATTTAATTTTCTTTAAGAATATATTCGTTTTTAAGGAAATATTTTTTTTAAGAATATATTCAATTTGTTTAAGAGTATATTCAATTTGTTTAAGAGTATATTTATTATTTGTAGCAATATATTTTTTTTAAAAAAAATATTACTAAGATATATAATTTTTTCGAACTAATTTCTAAGATATATAAATATATTTCTAAGACATATATATTTTCGAATTTAATTTCTAACATATATATATTTTTAAATATATTTCTAAGATATATATTTTTAGTAATAAAATACTATATATATAGCGTAAAACTCTAAGATATATATATTTATATATCTTAGAATTATTATATATGCCTTAGCAATTTTACAAATATATATATATATATATATATCTCGGTAAATAGCCGTTATAAAATATTATAATTTATATTTTTTTTAAAAAAATATATATCTTAGAGAGACTTTTTCGATTTATATATCTTAGAAAATATGCGAAAAAATTATATATCTTAGTAAATAGCCGTTTTTTAGAAAGTGGAATATATCTTAAAAAAATAAAACTTAGATATATAACAATATATTTATTCTCCTCTATTTATTATAATTTAACTCTTTCTAACATATTTATTTTCGGCTATTTAATGAGATATATATATTTAAATATTTTCTAAGATATATATACTTAAAAAAATCTCTTTAATATATATACATTTTTATATATTTCGTTTATAGATACTTATATTATTGTATATTATAAAAAAATATATATCTTAAAAAATATATTTCTAAAAAGCGTGTATCCTAGAAATTTATTTATAACATATATTTTTCTTAGAAATAGTTTTTTTTTTAAAAAAAAGTGTATCTTAGTAATTTTTTTAAGATAATATATTGCTAAAAAAATACTCTTAAAAAAAAACCAAATATATTCTAAAAAAAAAATATTAAAATGTACCCTTAAAAAATCGAATATTTTTTTTCTTTAAAAAGTAAAATATATTCTTAAAAAAAGTTAAAATATAGACTTAAAATATACTCTTAATAAATCCTAAGAAAATTCTTAAATATATTCTAAAAAATTAAAATATATATTCGATTTTTAAGAGTATATTTACCTTTTTTTTCTTAGAAATATATTCGATTTTTTAAGAGTATATATTTTTTTTAAAAGAATTTATTCGTTTTTTTTTTTAAAAAAAAAGTAAAAAATATTTCTGAGATATATAATTTTCTAAAAAAAAAAAAAAAAACATTTCTAAGATATACAATTTTTCGAAGTTTATTTCTGAAATATACCAATATTTTTTTTTTTTTTAAAAAAAATACATTTCTGAGATACACAATTTTGGTAATTAAATACTATGTATATAGCGCAAAACTCTGAGATATACAAATATGTATATCTCAGAAATAATATGTGTATCTCAGAAAATATTCGAAAAAAAATGTGTATCTCAGTAAATAACTGATTTGTTTTCTATAATATATAAATTAGCTTTATCATATTTTATATATCCTGTTAATAAATTATAAGAACCTATTCGCTATTGTTTACTATTATCATACGATTACAGTAGTAAGTACGTTTATATGCAGTATTTAGCCTCTTTATATTAAAATAATTGATCATATCTACTCTTGTCTTCGTTCTGTCGTGAAATTTGATCACTAGCAAATAGTTAGGTCTCCATGCCATACATCGCTCTCCTTGAGCCATTTGACTTGGCCCATGGCAGTTGTTCGCAAGACACTAGCGGTGAAGCTCTGAAGGCTTGGACAGCTTTGAGAGAATTGTTGCATGTCGTCTGCTGACGGAAAAGCTGTGCGCCTGGCTTCTTTTGTCTGTAGTTTCGGTTTGTCAAAATCAGCATCCTATGGTTTTGCGGGGAGAGCTTACAGCCTTGGAAAAATCCAGAGTTGGACTACCCACTAGCTCGACATGTTCCACCTCTGGGCATTGCGCGAGTGCCTCCATCATCTCTTCCTTGCAACGCTCATCAGGTTCTATTTCCACAGTAACATTGATCACTAATAGCCCTCGATGTTTTCCTAGTACTTCTTTCAGATCCCCCAAACTTAGCGTGTAAAGCGTAGTGTTCAAGACCTTAAGCCCTACAGGTGCAGTTTCATCATTCAACAATGCTCTCACCAAGACGTTGCTTGAGCTGGCATCGAACATCATCACGCCTTCAGCCTTTCTCTTTGTCTCTTCGCCATCAGCGGTCAAGTTGGAAGGGTCCTCCGGATCATTGGTTGTGTCAGGAGCAGCGATGTTGAAAGAGCACATTACTAGGCTCGGTAGAATGAACATTGGTAGTTCTGTGCAGGCAATGCGACTGAGGAATTCCGGGTCCTCATGCCGATAAGTGTAGTTGAGTTGCAAAAACATCAAGCTCTTTTCTCTTCCACTTTCAGATAATTTCTCCCCAACCGCAGCAAAGAACCCCGGTCGGGCAAAAACATCCAGCAGTTGTATGGCTCGCAAGTTGCGAGACTTTTCGAAGAAGGACAAAGCATCTGCCTGTGATTCCGGAGAGATACCGCATAACAATTGACTGTAGGCGTCGAAACTCTTGATATTTGGCAAGGCATCCGATAGCGCCGAGAGGAAACCAGGCGGGTAACCAAGCGAGAAGAGCTCCAATGAAAGGCTTTGAATGCCTTTTGGGAGAGGCGGTATTGGTGTGAATGTCTCAAGCTGGGAGGTGTATTCGTCAAGCTTGATATCGGAGGTCAACGTAAGAGCCTTGAGCTCTTGCGCTTCCGGCGGAAACTGCGGGATAGTGAATGTTTGTAGCGGTACTTGCGCACCTTGCGCGAGGCTCGGGTCAACTGTCTCCGAGGCCGCCATTTTAGTTGTTGCTAGTGGTATTCGTACGACCAAGGACGCAAGGCTCCCTGGGGGTTTTATCGTTAGAGACAACCTATTTTCAAGAAAGGCGGGGAAAGGCCTTTCTCCTCTTTAGCTCCTGGCAATAACCGGCGGGGTACAATAATGCTTGATGCGGGGAAACTACAGGGGCCTGGAATTGTCAACAAGGGTATTGTTCACTGCTTCGCTCTTCCACATGACCAATCATAAAGTCGCTGCGGTGAAAGCAACCAATGCCAGCTGGCTTGAAGACCGGCATCGATGCTTTGTTGATGAATTTTCTCATCACAATGTGACAACGCCTAGGTACACGTATGGTGGGGCGATGTGATACTAGGTTGTTGTGGGGGAGGTTTGGGGGTGGGGTAGTACGTGGTAGGAGTACGTAAGCAGAGACCTTGCTAGCCCGCTAGTCATGACTTGCGCCTGTCGCCCGCAACGCGTCGATCCACCGCGTCCACTTCGCGCCCGAATGCGATATGTCGCCATGAGCTTCTTCCGCTTCCGTCTCGACTGTCTTGATCACTATGAATCCACGCCCACCGAGCTTGATCCGCAGCTTCATCGCAGCCTAGGCCAGACCTCCTATACTGTGCCTGTAATTAGGGTTTTTGGCGCAACGGAGACGGGGCAACGCGTCTGCGCTCATATCCATGGCGCGTTGCCATACCTGTACCTCGAGTATGACGGCAGCCTGGAGCAGAAGGCGGGTAAGTCGACATGTTTTCGTCTTGTGCAACTGCCATGCTGACCGGCTTAGTTGATTCATATGTCCACAGCCTCCGCATCTCCATCGACCATGCCCTTGCCGCCAGCTATCGCCGGCATGCGTACGACAAGAGATCGTGCTTTGTCGGCCACATTAGTCTTGTGAAGGGTGTCCCATTCTTCGGCTACCATGTCGGTTATAGGTTTTTCCTAAAGATTTATATGCTCAATCCGTTACATATGACACGGCTGGCGGACTTGCTGCATCAGGGCGCCATTCTGGCTAAGGTCATGCAACCTTATGAGAGTCACCTGCAATACCTCTTGCAGTGGATGTGCGACTACAATCTCTATGGATGCGCCTACATTGACTGCGCAAAGGTCAGATTCAGAAGCCCAGTGCCGGAGTATCTTTGCCTGAGCAATCCGGCGCACAAATGGCACGACAAGTCCATTAGGCCCGAGTGGTTGTCTGAAGAAGACCAGTTCCCGCGCCAAAGTCATTGTGCAATCGAAGTGGATCTTTGCGTACAGGACATCATGAACAGAAACGATGTCCGAAGCCGTCCTCTTCACCACGACTTTATGGAGCGCTTCAACAGCTTTGCTCCAGATGAAAAGCTTGTGCATTCCATGGCCAGCTTGTGGCGGGACGAGACAATCAGACGGAAACGTAGGATGGGCATCAAAGATCCCTCAAGCAGCCCATTTCCTCCTGAGGTGCTTTTGCCAATGTCGGCAGACTCGCGAAACCTGAAAGAGAGCGGCTGGATTCATGAAGAAGAGTACCGAAAAATACTGGAGCAGCTTGTCATGGATGAAAGAGACATGGGCGATGGCAACAACGTGAGCTTCGATCGTTTCCTCAAACCTGGCGCCGTAGGCAACAATGTCAAGACCGCTCTTGAGAGTGTCGAAGATCTGTTTCCTGAAAAGCTTGGAGAATTCTACGCAACGCAAAGACCGCCCTCGCCCAATTTAGCTTTTAACAATGATACGACAAGTCAACATGCTATAGTGGACGATGCTAAACTCGGCAGCTATGATCATGATGGTACCGCTTATGATTCCGCTCGTAGTGCCGGGGAGATTACGCCTTATCAGGAAGACAATAGGTCTGTTTTCGTCAGGGAAGAGCCTGGACAAAGAGCTGGTGACAATCGTTCCCATCAAGACGAGGTCCGTTCACATGCAAACGCTTCTGAAATCCAGTCACAAGATAAGGCCTGTTCAGATGAAACCGCTTTCGGAGACCAGCCTCAAGTTCTGGAAGAGAAAATCGAGGTTGAGCCCCAAAATGGCATGGGTTCTCCTTTGCAATCAAATGGCGAATCTGGTAAATTTCTCAACCACATTGATCAAAAACGCGGGGCGACTGTGGTCACCAACAAACCACGTAAAAGAGCAAATTTCTCTGCCCAACCTTTGAGCCAGCCTTCCCAAAGTAGCATCAAAGCCCACGGAAACCGTGGACCAAATACACTATCATTCCCGGTTATCAAAAACGCCCATGATTCTGAGACAGCCTCGCGTCTCGCCCACCGAAGTGGATGGTCCAATTCCCAGCAGACGGAATCTGCACTAAAGTCTACTCCGTTTTGGCATTCGAAGAATATGCTCCATTCCTCGGTAAGAGACGATCACCCGGAGTATAGCGCTGCTTCGTGCGAGCCTCCTACACCGCCACAGATTTTGCACATGGCGGTGGAGCTTTCGCGTTCTTTCAATGTTGATTCAAAAACCGATATCTTGTATTTCAGTCAGCTGCCACCCAGCGCTGAGATGGTAGACCGAACGATACTTGAATATGGGAAACCGCCAGTTATTTACCAAGAAGCGTATTACAGCGACGAAAAGGATGTTCCTGAGCGACATCGTGAATATGCTGGCCGGGAGTTCAGATTAGGAAGTAATACCACTCCCTATCTTCCACCATTTGATCCAATAGGCAACGCTTCCACCAAATATGGTGGAAAACGCAGAAAAGAGTGTTTGTTGCTTAACTGGGAGATTGCAGTTGCGCCTCCGTCTTTCAAAGAGGTTTCGAATTGGGTAAGGGGAAAAGAAGAAAGAGAAAAAGAAGGCAAAGAAAGCAAAAGCCCAGACGTTGAGGCGATCAACGTTGACCTTGTGGCCAAACAACTTTCACAGGTCGACGGCCCTACTCAGAAAAACAAGCACGGATTCAAGTATTCCCAGAAACAAGCATCTACCAACATTCAGCACGAGACGCAGTACATGAGCATCCTAAGCCTCGAGGTTCATGTAAACACAAGAGGATCCCTTTTACCGGACCCAGCACAAGACGAGATCTCCAGTATCTTCTGGTGTTTTCAGGCTGACGATCAAGAAAACGAGGGACCCCAAATGGGCGTCCTGGTGCTTTCGAATGACAGTGGCGTTGCACCACAGATAGTACGACAATTGTCCGTGGACGTACAATATGAAGAGGATGAACTGAGCCTTATAAACCTTCTGGTCGATATTGTCCGCAGGCTCGATCCGGACATCTTAATTGGCTACGAAGTCCACAACAGCTCATGGGGCTATTTGATCGAGCGTGCCCGAGTCAAGCTAGAGTATGATCTCTGTACTGAACTGTCGAGGATGAGGTCTCAAGCCCAGGCTCACGATCGCTACAGCAAGGAAGCTGATAAGTGGGGGTTCACTCACACTTCTACTATCCGAATCACAGGCAGGCATATGCTTAACATATGGCGTGCTATGCGTAGCGAGTTGCAAGACCTACTTCAGTATACCGTGGAGAACGTCGCATTTCATCTACTCCATAAGAGGATACCTCATTACTCGCACCAAGATCTTACAAAATGGTTCCAAAGCGATCGGCCTCGTGACTTGGCCAAGGTCCTGAATCATTATTTATCCCGGGTTCATATAAACCTTGAGTTATTGGAGGCTAATGATCTCATCTCACGGAATAGTGAGCAAGCCCGTTTGCTGGGCATTGACTTCTTTTCTGTCTTCTCCCGAGGTTCTCAGTTCCGGGTCGAATCGCTAATGTTCCGAATAGCCAAGCCAGAGAGTTTCGTTCTCGTCTCACCAAGCCGCAAGCAGGTCGGGCAGCAAAATGCTCTTGAATGTCTGCCTCTTGTTATGGAACCACAAAGCGCTTTCTACAATAGCCCCTTGCTGGTATTAGATTTCCAGTCGTTGTACCCTTCAGTGATGATAGCGTACAACTACTGCTATTCAACATGTCTCGGACGCGTCGTGGGCTGGCGCGGCCAGAACAAAATGGGCTTCACAGACTTCAAGCGCGAGCCTCGGTTGTTGGAGCTTGTGAAAGACCATATCAACATATCACCAAACGGTATCATGTATGTCAAGCCAGAGATGCGCAAATCACTTCTTGCGAAAATGCTCAGCGAGATACTCGAGACTCGATTTATGGTTAAGAACGGGATGAAGGCCGACAAAGACGACAAAGCATTCCAACAGCTGCAAAACAACAGACAGTTAGCACTGAAACTGATTGCCAACGTTACCTATGGTTATACGTCGGCTTCATTTTCAGGCCGGATGCCGTGCTCAGAGATCGCCGACAGTATTGTGCAGTCTGGACGGGAGACTCTCGAAAAAGCCATCGCCCTGATACATTCCGTCGAAAGATGGGGCGCCGAAGTTGTGTACGGCGACACAGACTCACTCTTCGTCTACCTCAAGGGTAGGACTAAGGACGAGGCTTTTGATATCGGCGAAGAGATCGCCAATGCAGTAACGGACATGAACCCTCGCCCGATTAAGCTAAAATTTGAGAAAGTATATCACCCCTGCGTTCTTTTAGCCAAGAAACGCTACGCTGGCTTTAAGTATGAATCTCGGCATCAAAAGGAGCCTGAGTTTGATGCCAAAGGGATCGAGACCGTACGGCGAGACGGCACGCCAGCGGGGCAAAAAGTCGTCGAGAAGGCACTGAAGATTTTGTTCCGTAGTGCCGATCTCAGTGTGGTGAAGCGCTACTTTCAAGACCAATGCACCAAGATAATGACGGGCAAGATCAGTATACAAGACTTTCTTTTCGCGAAAGAAGTCAAACTTGGCACCTACGCTGACAAGGGTTCCGGTCCTCCTGGTGCCATCATCGCATCTCGACGCATGTTGCAGGATCCTCGGGCTGAGCCACAATATGGCGAGCGTGTCCCCTATATCGTCATCACCGGCCCTCCTGGAGCCAGACTTGTGGACCGTTGTGTCAGCCCTGAAACGTTGCTTTTGGATGAGCAAGTCGAATTGGACGCTGAATATTACATCTCTAAGAATCTGATTCCTCCACTTGAACGCATCTTCAATCTAGTTGGCGCAAATGTCCGCAATTGGTACGACGAAATGCCAAAGGTGCAGCGTGTTCGTAACATCAGCGCTCCTTCCGTTCGCGGCTTACAGCAAGGAGCGGGCACGGACGGGGGAAATGTTTTAGTAGCCGGTCAGACATCACGAAGGATTCTGGAGAACTATATGCAAAGCTCTGCTTGTGTGGTCTGTCGATCCAAGCTGGCTGCGCCTCCGCCGCACTCTATAGCTCTTCCAGATCCACCACTTCCGCTGTGTGAGCCTTGTGCCACAAACCCGGCACGGGCACTCCTAGCTTTGAGGCAAAGGCAGCAACGCGCAGAAGCACGGATACAGGGGGTAGAGATGGTTTGCCGCAATTGTTCGGGTCTGGCTTTTGGAGAAGAGGTACGCTGTGATAGCCGTGATTGTCCGGTGTTTTACACAAGAGTTAGACAAAGAGTGACTGTCCGTGGATTAAGATTGGGTTTGCAAGGTGTATTTCAGGCGCTCGAAAGCACAGAAAGTATGTTAGACTGGTAGACACTTACGAATGCATTACAGAGTTGCCAGAAAACGTTAATTCCATTGTAAGAAATACTATAAGGATCTAGGTCTAAATGCCGCCGACTAACTTCCTATCCAAGAAAGAGAGAAAACACTTGAGCATAATGAAGAGCCTAGGGTTCACCGCCAACGCCACGCAAGGACATACTCGAAGGATGTTTAACCTAGTACAGCCGATAGATTGTCAAGTGATTCCTTGCATAGATTTTACTATACTAACTAGGTTAACATCAGTATTGTTCGTCAGCAGCATCGTCGTCTATCTGCATATAAGCATCGTTGGTGCTGCGATGTGCACTCCAAACCTGCTTAAGTCTGGCACCCGAAATGGAGTTTGCCGATATACCCTGTTATGGGTTTTCTGCTTTGTACACTTGACAACTGAAGATAAATTGATAAACATGGTGGGTGGGCTGACACACAACCACCTCGGGCAGTCTACTCTTTCCTTTCATCAGCAGTTGTATTTAATGCATTGAAGCTACGTCAAATCCAAATACCCATAATCTCGTAACAATGCAGAACCAACAATCGAGCATTCTCGATGCCGATAAATCCGTTCTGAGACTGCCCTCACTTCCTCTCCACAACTCAGCTTCCATCAGACAACGCTCGAGCTCTTCGGCGGCGGCTTTCCATACCCCTCGCCCCTCTCGAGACTCGTGGCAGGATTGTCACCCAGCAGCGCAGCGTCTTCTGCGATCTCCTTGCTGATCAGCTGCTGCTTTCCTTTGACCAAATTCGTGACCATATAGTTCATCACACAGCGCATGCCGATTTCCTCGCCTCTTCTGACAATGTACCCGTTAATATAGTCCACCTCAGTCCGCAAGCCCCTACGCACGTCGTTCAGCATGCTCGACGTGTTTTCCGCAGTTTTCGCCGCGATGCTGGTCGTTAGTGTTTCAAGCCGATCCGGGCTGAAGCGCGTGTTTATGTTCAGCACGCCACGCAGTTCCGGCAGCGAGCGGATGACGACCGAGATTTCCGACAGGAGCAGGCGCTGCACGCGCGTGAGGCTAAAATTGTACAGGAGACTCCCGTTTCGGGCATCAGTCAGGGACGTGAGCGGGTTGATAACACAATTGACAGCCAATTTTTCGAGCTGAGAACAAAGGATGCCTACAGGGCTGAGACTGACTGCGCACAGAGCAGGCGTCCTGGCCAATGTACGCAAGAGGTAGTGCGAGGTAGCTCCCAGGGAATGGAACGACTGCATTTGGGTCATGTCTTCATCGGAATCGGGGCGCGGTAGCGGGCCCATCTGGATGGTGCCAGTGCCGGTATGCTTGGCAGAGAAGGGGGTTTGACTGGACACGCCATGGCTAACGACGCCTTGAAGGTACTTTGGTCTTGCTGCCTCGTCTGGGAAGAGGACGCGAGATACTTCGTCGGAGACTCCCATGCCGTTTTGCAGGAAGAGGATAGTCGATGTGGGCAACAGGCGGTGTTGTATGGCAGAGAGTGCTGAGACGGTGCTGAACGCCTTGGTCGTCACAATAAGACTGTCGATGGGCTCATCTGTCTCTGTACCGGCTCCACGCTCCGTCGTGGCATCCTCGAAAAGAGTCATGGTGTCGGTAATGCCTTCGGGGAGCTCTTCTTCGCGGTGAACTAAGGTATCATCGCGCACATAATTGTTCGGCAATTCTTCCGTCTCTTTCTGCGGCTTTGGCGTGAAAGTCCTCAAGGGGTCGTAGGCGTATTCAATCTCCTTCCCGTGCTCGCGCCTGTTCGGCATGGCCAGCTCCACGTCAAAGCCATTTCGCGCAACGTCAGCCCGCTGACCAAGGGCAACTCGGATGGAGAGGCGAATCTCTTCGCCGGCGGCGTGCCACTCCTTCAAGAGCGAAGGCTTGTGGAACAGGAGGGTCACGGGTGGAGGGTTCGGAATGGAGCGCAGACTGTGGGCGACAAACTTGCCGATGCTGCCGGTGCCCAGGATGTAGATGCGGCGCGGCGTGGGTTTCCGGGGAGTGTGTTCGGTGGAGAAGCAGGAGCTCGGGAAGAGAATGGCCACCCGGCCACGGCCAACGCTAGCCGTGGGGCATGATAATCTTGACCGCAGCCGGGGAAGAGGGGAGGGGAGGGCGAAGAGAGACAGATTGAAGGCGGTCGAGGAGAGTAGGACTGGGACATGCGGGGAGCATCACCGCAGGATGCGGGAAGTTCTACACGTCGGAAAAACGGGCTCGCCGAGGCGCTGTGGTCTTTCTCACGCGCCTACCTCTAGCTAGGTAACTTCTTCCACGCCATCGCCATGGACACCACCGACCTCAAGCCCCTCATCGAGGACCTCTCCGACAACATTGACGATCTCGAAGATGCTCTCGGACCCTTGCTCCACAATGCCCTCTCCGCCAGCACCTCCAAGCTGCCCTTGCTCGACAAAGCCAAGCTCTACGCCCTGCTCACCTACGCCATCGAGTCCATTCTTTTCTCCTACCTCAACCTGAACGGCGTCAAGGCCAAGGAGCACCCCGTCTTCACCGAGCTCACCCGCGTAAAGCAGTACTTCCAGAAGATCGCCCAGGTCGAGAGCGCGCCCGTGCAGCGCACCCAAACCCTCGACAAGGCTGCCGCCAACCGCTTCATCAAGCACGGTCTCGCCGGTAACGACAAGTATGACCAGGATCGCGCGCTGCAGCAGGCCAAGGAGCGCGCAATTGCGAGCCTGAAGCTCGAGCAGCTCAACAAGAAGCGCAAAGCCGACGAGACCGAGGGCCTCGCCCCGGACACGACCGCATCGGCCGAGAGCAGCTCGAGTGAGAGCGAGAGCGAAGAGGCACAGGAAGAAGCGCAGCAGCCGAAGAAAAAGAAGCGCACCCGCGCGTCGGACATGTGGAAGGAAGAGGGCAAAGCGGAAAAGAAAGAAAAGAAGAAGGCCAAGAAGGGCAAGAAGCACAGCAAGTTAGAGGAGCCGGCCGAGAAGGCTCAGGGTCACAAGGACGAGGACGACCTGATGGAGGACCAGGACGTGGAGGAGACAATTGCGGGACGGAAATCCAAGTCGAGCAGAGTGCCGCTTGGCCACAAAGCCGCGTTCGAGCAGCTGGTCAAGGGCCCCATCCAGAGGCAGGAGGAGCCGTCATCCAAGAAGTCGAAGAGCAAGAAAAAAGCGGCCAAATGAAGGGCTCAAATGCCTCCTTCCTTTGTCTTCGAAATCTTGGGGGTTCAGCCAGTACTATGAAGAACTGCTGCTCATTGCACGGCCAAGGCGTTGTTGGAATCAAAAAAGCAAAAAGGGAAAATGTTAGAGATGGAAAGGCGTTCAGGCTGGATCCGCGGACCGTGTCACAGTCCCATATACCCAGTATCAATCATAGAGCAATCGCTTTCATACCGCAATTCTTGCCACCAACTACACGGCCGAAACCCAACCCTGTCTGTTTTACCCAGCCCCAAAACCCTTTAAGCGCAAGTGAGATTGCGGAGAGATCTCTCATCTCCATCACCAAAGCCCTTTAAATGCGAGATAACCGAGAGAGGTCTAATCTCTCCGCCATGTCTCACTCACTTTAAGGGCTATCGCTCTCGGAATTACTGACGGACGACCATGATGCGGAAATTATTCTTGTTTCCTCTTTCTTTATGCGCAAACGCTCAAAAACGCGAGTGCGACTGCGATGTCGTATTCATTACACTAGACACTATATAATCGTACAGTAGTTAAGCTTCCTCTTTGCTTTGATCCGCCTCTTCCCAATGCAGCCGGGGGTGAGGTCTGCGCCTCACCCTTCCACCAGGGAATGCACGGTGTGGAACGGCGGCAGCATGTGGCAGCAGTAGCGGTGGCAGCAACGGCGACGACAGCGTCAGAAGCATAAGCAGATGCAGAGACAGCAGCAGCAAGTAGGAGTAGTGGAGGTAGTTCGCACGCGAGTAGAACGATTGCTTTCCTGCCACGCGGAGGCCATCTGCCTCCGCCTGTCTCTCTCAAGCGAGCCCTGCACGCAACAACGCCCTCGCCCGCCTGGCCATCCAATTCCCTTTTTTCCACCCCAAAAGGCAAGAACCCACCTGCGACCATGGCCAACCCAAGAAACTCTGACGGCAAAGAATAAGTAGTAGAGGGGCCCGTCTATGGCCCTCGCCGCCGTCCTTTGTGTATGTGTGTGGTGTCTCTGCCGTGAGCCCGCCGAACTGTATGATCCGCCGTTCCCGTTTCCCTGAATCCCAATAAACGAAAATGAAGAAAAACAAAACAAACCCGTCTCCCAATGCATGTGTGTGTGTGGTGTGCATAATGATGCAAAACAAAACTCCCCTCCCAACTAAAACCCGCAAACGCAGACCGCGAGCCGTGAAAACCCGACAAAAGAGACTTTCCCAGGAAGAGAATGAGTCCGTGTACTAAAGATGTTCTTAGCGTTAAAAAGGATGATTACAAAAGCGATAGGTAAAGACCGGAAACCTCGCGTTCCCTTCTAGATGAGAGGTAGGTGGAGGTACGGTAGGACCAGCCGGAGAAAGGCACCAAGGAAGAGTATTGAGGTAATAGGAAAAAAGACAAAGAGAGGTTTTGTCTGGTCGGAGTAGAGAAATTTGATGATCGGCTTTGAGGCTGCTGGTCCGAGCCTCGGCAGTGTCAGGAGAAGCCGGTAGACATAGGTTGTTTGTTGCCCAGCGCACGCCTGACGACGGCGAAAAGCCAGAAGGCAGTCAGAAAGTCTTCGCGACTTCGGTAGACGGATTCTCAAAGGCAACGTCAGTGAAGAGCGCATAACGATGAAGTGACTCGCTGTTCCCCAAAACGCTTTCTTTGAGTCTCCACCTCCAAGGTCTCGATACCTGGGCGCAATCGAACTAGTGGAGAACGTTCTGAGACGCATAGAGCCACCTCCACTTAGGTCACTCGAAACCGCCCGGCATCGAGATGGAGGTCTTCTCATCCTCCGGAGTTTTCGCCGTCTCGGCCTCCGGCGTCGCGGTCGATTCGACGGTCTGTTCGGCCTCAGACTTACGAGCTTGCTCGTGATCCCGTTCCTCTTCTTCGTCATCGTCGTCAAAGAGCTGGGCCTCGGAGTCAATTTGCTGCTCTTGAGCTTCGAGGGAGCGCCTCTTCGCTTCGTCATGTAGTTCGTCGCCGGCTTGCTTCTCAATTCGGTTCTCCTCATCCGAGTCGAGCGCAACGGCGCTGTCTTGCTTCTGCACAGGACCTACTTCAGCCTTTTCGTCATCGCTATGCGTCATTTCCGTATTGCCGATGCTGATGGGTTTCTCCTGGTTCTCTGCATGCAATGATACGTCCTCTGCGCCGTCAAAACGCTTCTCATCTGCATTTTCAGCATTCTCCTCCACGCCATCGACACGCTTCTCTTCTGCGCCATCATCGTGCCCCTCACTCGCACCATCTTGCTGGCTCGCGAAATCGGTCGTAGCAGAGGTCGAGGGCCGGAGATATTCCTTCTCTTCAGCACTAAGCTTCAATTCGCTTTCAACGCTCTTTCTCAGTCCCGCGACTCGCCGTCTCTCCCTTTCTTCCGCCGGATTTTCCTTCGAGAATGCCAGCGCAGCTGGAATGACGCCACCGCCAATTCGCGCCCAGAACATGCGTTCCCGGAGCTTGACGCTTTCCTCCCATGCGCTTCTTTCTTCGTCGCCACTTTGCGCGCGCCAATGGCCGTCGCGACACATGCGTAAAAAGCCAATGTAGTCGCAAGAGCTTCTAACGCGCGCAAGGCAGAAATCGCAGAGCGGGTAGCGCTGCGCGTCTTCTGCGTCACTGGTACGGAATCGATGTTTGCGGGCATAAGGATCGGTGTTCTTTTCCTTCTCCGATGCCATTACCGGGGTCTGGCGACCCTCGCCGCACATGGAGCACGGATTGAGGGAACCGCGGTATTTGGGCAGAATAGGTGGATGCGGTTCTATGGTCAACGAACCGGCAGTCATGCTGTTGAGGACGGTGCGGCGAGCGAGCCAAGATAGACCAGGGGCGTTGTCCAGGCGTAACGTTGGCTCAATGTCCTCGGTAAGAGCACGCTTATAAAACCTAATGTCTTTTAGGGCGGGCAGAGCTGCATAGGGGTCCTTTGGCGAGGCGGCCGAAGAGGGGAGGGAGCTGCCGGAGGCCGAGGTGGTTTGGTGGAGAGAGGCGGTTGAGAGGTTGGTGAAGGAGCCGAGTCCCATGACGTTCAGTCCGCCATAGTTGCCGCTTGCGGCACGCGAGTTGGGGGCCGAGGCGTTCTTGGTGGTTCTGATGAGTTCCTGAAACTCATGATAGGCTTCAGTGTCATCACGCAGGACGGGGCTGATCAGCTGCGTAAAAAACAGGGGATGAGCGGGATGCATGTCTTCTAGGTTTGGCATGTTTGGTGAGAAGCTTGCTTGCTCGAAGTTGCGGCTCATCCGGTCAGAAGCTACAACGGCAGGTGTCGAGGGCGCCGTAATGTTAGTGGTGGCCTCTTCCTCGCGTTCGGTGCTCATCTGCGCCATGACTGCCTTGAGGTCCTGAAGCTGCTCCTGTTGGGAGGCCAGAAGCGATTCCGTATCTTTGAGTTGAGTCTTGAGCTGCTCTCCTTTCTTGTCGGACGCTTCCTTCTCCTTGCGTGCCGCTGCGACCATCTGCCATGCGTCAGCCCCGGATCGTCAACTGCGCACACTCGTTGGGGAAGTTGAAAGGGAAGAAGGAAATAAAAAAGGGAAACGTACAGTGTTGGCTTCTTCGAACAGAGCGGTCGTCAGGCTTTCCAGCTCCGACTCCATTCTCTTTTTCTCCCGGTCGGCAGCAAGGCGCAGTTTCCTCTCATCGTCAAGCTCTTTCCGCAGCTGCTTCTCCATCTTGTCGTACTCTTCCTTCTTGATCATCAGCCGCATTTGCCGCGCGTGCTGTTCCGCGGCAGCCTCCAGCTGCTCAATGCGCGCTCGCGCCGCTTCCAGCTCATGCCGCGTCGCTTGGAGATTGTCGTCCAGGTTGGTCTGGTGGTTGATCGCATTGATGAGTTTGGTGCTGAGGGTCGCGACTTCGTTGCTCAGGTCCGGGTGGTGGGTGGCGGCGGACGAGACGTCGGAGCCGCGCGAGGCTCCCCTGTTGGGACTGGGCGTGCGCGGGTCGGGAATGGTATTGAGGACGCCCGAGTCGCGGTGCGACAGCAGGTTGGAGGGGCCGGGCTCGACGCTGCGGTGCAGGACGGGCGTCGAGGTCGACTGCTTGAGCGACTTCATGTTGGGCGTCGAGCGGGTGGCCGTGGGCGTGATGGGACGGCGCTGCGACGACAGGCGCGAGGATGTTAGGCCTCCCCCTCCATGGCCCCAGCTGCCAAGCAGAAAGTAGCTGTGTCTTTTGGGGCCGCGCGATCAGCGAGCGTGGTCGGCCAGGAGCGCAAGCGCCGGGCTAGACGGGACTTACTCAGCCATTCGAGGGCGGGTGATCGGCTCCGCTCAATGGCGGCGGCTTGGGTGGGCTGTGGCGGAGAAAGGAGGGACGGAGGGACGGGAGGGCGGAGAGCGAAGGGACGGGCTGCGAGCGGATGTCACTTGGACATGGTGTTGTCGACGAAAGAGAGTGGCAGGAGAGTGATCGGCTGGGGCAGGGTGGGAATGTGCTGGGTTGATGAATGATGTCGTCGCTGGCGCAGCTTGGTTGGCCCTCTCCTTGGACCGGGCGCTTGATTGGAGCAAGGTTTGGGCGCCCAGTGCTTGCTAAACCCGGCTTGGAGGCGCAGTGCCGTGGAGATGGGCTGTTATTTTTGTCGCGTGCGTTGCAGGGTGGTCGTGCGAGGGAGGGCGGCGAGGCTGGGGCTTTGGGGCCGCGCATCTATTTGAAATGGGGTTTACTCTCGGTGCCGAGGGAAAAGAGGGAAACAGATGATACGATGGATGGCGGATACCGCCCCCCGGAACTATCGCGGAGCCACGGCGGACGTTGGATTGGGAGAGAAGAGCCGCTCGTACCGATATGCAAAGGGGACCGACCGACTAGTTGGCACTACCTACGTATTCGTATGTATGTAGTAGTACGTAGGTAACTACGTGGAATCCAGAATCCTTCGCCCTGTCCGCCTGCCCGCCCGCCTTGCCGTGTGTGCCTCTGCCTGCTTCCGGGGACTGCACCACGAATCCGGCCGCCTGTACGCGCCTCTCCCGCCGCGCGCGCGCCTGTTACCCCACCACAAGCCCCCAAACCACACCACCCACCGTTTTCGCTCTCGACGCACCCGCCATGTCCGACGCAGACCTTGAAGAGGTAGGTACTTTATCTGAAACCCCGTCGCCGCATGCAACCACGCCTGCTGACCGTCGGCCCAGATACGCAAGGCCCGTCTGGCCCAACTCCGCCAGCAGGGCGGCCAAGGCAGCGGTGCCGCATCAGCTGAATCTGCCGGCCCGGATGAGTCGCGGTATGCCCAGCTCCTTTCTCCATAGCACCCGACTTTCTCTGACCGCCTCCCCCCCAGCTCCCGCGAGGCCGAAGCCCGCCAGGCCATCCTGTCGCAGATCCTCCTCCCCGAGGCTGCCGACCGCCTCGGCCGCATTCGCCTGGTCAAGGAGTCGCGCGCCATGGACATTGAGAACCGCCTGATCATGCTGGCGCGCACGGGTCAGTTGCGCCAAAAAGTCACCGAGGAGCAGCTCAAGGACCTCCTGGGCGCCGTCAGCGAGCAGGAGGAGAAGACGCAGAAGAAGATTGTCGTGCAGAGGCGCGGCGGCTGGGACGACGACGATGACCTGCTCGACCTCTGAGCCGGACGGAGGACTGGGTGGAAATTGAATCTGGCCAAAGGGCCAGCAAAATCGCTTCTGGCGACGTCGCATTGGGAGGCGTTAGGGGCACACTCGAGCTGCGGCTTCATGAGAACACGATATTGCCTTTCTGGTCTTGTGCTTTTGCCGAAAAAAATTGTGGTCTCTACAGGCCAACAAGCATCCTGTGCATGACCGGGCGACCTTCGTATAGGCCCCGGATAATTTGCCCATCCCTTCTAGAAGATTTTGCCTATCACACGTGATACCACAGCTGTAAAGGTATATGTGCTTTATATGCACTTTCACACTCGCATTCTAGTGCCATTTGAAGTATCCTTGCGCTCTGGTCGTTCGTCTTTAGGAGTGCCTGGCAATTCTTTGAATGCAGGAATTATAGCTACTTATAATCACCGAAGGAGTACTTGGTAGATATAGTAGACCTGGTTCAACAGGCGGTCAATGAGAAAGTAAGATAGCTAAAAGGATGGGCAAATTATCCGGGGCTTTTCGTATATAACACTCCCACAGGTATAGCGATATGTAGGCCCGTGCGGGAAACGTGAGATTGATATAGGTAATCTTCGGAAACGCCGTCACCCGTTCCCGCCATAGGCCGAATCGACTAGGTAGGTATCGATTGTCGGAATTTCTTATACGGCTTGTTGCTTCGCCACCTCTTGTGCCGCCTTCTCCGCCTTCCTCCTTTCCTTCTCCTGCCTCCTAATATCCCGCAGATCCGGGGGCTTCTGGATACCCAGTTGCGTGCGCAGATCGTCCACGTCCATTTCTAGGCACTCCTCCCAATATACGTTAATTACCTCCTTACTCCTGAGCCCGTTCTCCACTGCCCACGGCCCATATACGCTCCAAAACCTCTCCCTTTCTTTAGGCTTCATAGTGAAAGCTGCCCCTATCGCCAGCCCGGTCATGGGCAGAAGCGTGTTGGCAAACTCAAACGCCTTGAGTGCGACCTCGCCCTCGCGAAACACCGGCAGACCGACTAGTGCGTGATAGAAGTCGTGACATTCACGATAACGCTGCATAACGTAGGCGCACTCCTCGTCGTCAATGTAGCGCACCGCACTGCGCGTGTCTGGACTCACACCCTCCCGATCCAGCCAGCCCACATAGGCCCTCCCTACACTGTTCTCCGGCAAGCTGCGCAGGTATTCGACGCTCATCGTCTTGGACGTGATGCGGGGGCGGTCGCGCAGGATCCGGCGGCCCGTCGGGTCGCGTAACATGGCGTCGCGCAGGCGGTAGATGAAGTAAGGCTGGGCCGTCGCCTCGCCGCACGCCGCGATCAAATCACCGCGTCGCGGATCAACCAAGGACCAGAGGGCGGAGCCGACGGCGAGGGCACCACGCTCGACGGCAGTCAGTGGGACATGGCCAGGGTAGGCGGGCGAGGGGCGGTTCAGGACAGAAAAGCGACGAGGCCCGACGGCGTGGAGACGGGCGGATGGCGTGGAGATGGCGGTGGTGGAGGAGGATGGGACGGGGGCGGGCCGCGCCGAAAGGGCACGGAGGACAGGGCGGCTCAATGCGGACCTGGGGGCCATTATCGCATCCTCTATGGCGAACCCGAGACTCTGGAGTGCGGGATGATGGCGTTGAAGGGGAGCGGTGTGTCGTGCATGGTGGGAAAAGAGGCGCGGCGGGGGATCTGACGATGTTCGTCTGGGTTGACCGGTCGACATGGGTCATGCTATAGGGCAATTATATCCGGCCGATCCTTCCTGCTGCCCACACACAAACTGCAATCATGGTTCAGCTCCACGCATCTCCCGGCCCCGAGCACGACGCCTTTCTCGCCTGGGCCCGCGACCGCGGCGTCGTCGTCGATGGTGTGACGCCCGCGAGCTTTCCTGCAAGCGGCCTTGGTGTCGTCGCTACCAAGCCGCTCAAGAGAGGTCACGTTCTGGTCACCGTACCCGCCAAGGTGCTCTTGACCGTCGAGCGTCGCGAGATCAAGGACGTCCGTCTTCCACTCGACGCTACCGTGCACGGCCGTCTGGCTGCATATCTGACCATCGTGCATGATAAACCCGACAGACCGCATGTCGTTTGGGAGCCTGTCTGGCCGAAAAAAGATGACTTTGATCTGATCATGCCGCTGAGGTGGGACGAGCACGAGAAGAAGCAGCTGACTCCGCACGCTAAAGGTGAGGGCATGTTCTTGAGCAAATTAGTGAAATCGATTTGGCATATTATCAATGTTTTTTCATCTCGATCACTCGTTGCGTAGTCGTTGGTACGGTCAGAGCTGGTTGCAACGTTTGAGCTGGTCAGCGAATCTTGACTCTTGACAAGGCCTTTATCGGTATATCTAGCTATGGTTTGCATGGTCTTCGCATACCTTTGCCGCTATAACGAGAGAAACGCCTTCAACAGTCAATGCTTACCTTAACGGTCGGAAGCTACTGACCAGCCAAACCGTTACAACGAGGTTTGACTGCATGTGTACTTCTTCGCCCTCGGAAATAAGTACACCAGACCAAGATACGTATACTAACACTGTGCAGAGCTGCTCGCAAACCAACAGTCCAAGATTGATAAAGATTGGGACCTTCTCCAAACCCATCTCCCTAACCATGAGGACCCTAGCTGCCGCGAACTGTTCACTTACTACTGGCTCATTGTCAACACGCGCACGTTCTACTGGGACTACCCTACCAATACCCGCACCGGCAAGCAAGCGAACAAGCGCCGCAAGCTCGCACCAGATGACTGCATGGCGCTATGCCCGTTCATGGAATACTTCAACCATGCTGATGAAGGAGTGGGTGGACCCCGCTCTCCGTGACTCGATTTGAGCCCGTTTTTGGTTTTGTGCAACTGCTAAGTCAAAGGAGTGTGTGGTGGATCATGATGTTAACGAGTTCACCGTAACTTGTAATCGTGATTACGGTAAGGCGAAAACGCGACCTCTAGACATGCATCTAGGAATGATTGCTGACGTTGAATGAATGAATGGGCGTGTAGAAGAAGGCCAGGAGGTTTATCTCTCCTATGGTTCGCATAGCAACGATTTCTTGCAGGTTGAATGTAAGTCTGAATCGAGCGTCGCTGAGGCAACACTGACCTATTTAAGATGGGTTCATTCTTGCAAGCAACAAATGGGATGAGACAAAGCTCGACCACATTATCCTACCGCAGCTCTCCAAAACACAGAAGACTGGCTTAGAAGAGACTGGATTTCTTGGGTAACCTACGAAACCCATTCATCCATGACCCCTAACAATGCACTAATACACCTGCAGCAACTATACGATCGACAGCACGCAAACATGTTACCGAACTCAAGCCGCCTTGCGCTCAATAATCCTACCGGAACGGAACTGGCGTCAGTTCGTCGAAGGTTGGAGCGACGGTGAAAAGGACCAGAAGGAAGTCTACAAATACTGTGTGCAGCTGTTAGAGCAGTATGAGCGTGACATTGCCAAAGTGCAAAAGACCGTGGAGGAATTGCAGGAGGGGTATAGAAAAGACACACTTAAGAGAAGATGGGAGCAGATCAAGGTCATCGTGGGCGACTTGAAATTGAAATTGGAGTCGTGATGGAGGCAAAACCGATATAGGGATACGCCTTACTTTTCGTTCTTTTATTTTTGTACCCTCGTGGTCTTTTGTATATCTTTTTTCCCATATCTTTAACGTCCGGTGAATAAAAATTCGCCGTCCAGCGAGACAGGAAAAGATACAACCAGTCACATGGTATACTCGTCTAGCTAGAAGTCTGAGTCCTGGATATGAGTATGAAGGTCTTAGAATGCACATACACCACAGAGTATCTTGGCTGTGTTTTACTTCTACCCTGTAACGTCGCTATTCCATTCGGCGGCGAATCTCTTGACCGTGATGGGTGTTAAGCACTCTTAGACAAGATACGTAACAATCTAGAAAATATCCATTATAGTTTATATAGCTAGTAGGTGATCAATAAAGGCCTACTTGGCAATCTTCTATCAATGGATGCGGTGGAAATATTCATAGAGTATAAAGTGCAATTTAATTGCTTTTAATATAAGTAAGTGGTCCCAGATATTTTTCATGAATCAATAGATTCAACCACGGTCTTGTGGTCTAGTGGTATGATTCTCGCTTAGGGTTCACTCTAAGTTTATAGCTTGCGAGAGGCCCCGCGTTCGAGTCGCGGCAAGACCCTTTTGCTTCCGTACTAAGAGGTTTTCGGTACGGCAACGTCTTTTGACACCCCCTGGTCCTTGTTCCAGTGTCGCGTGGACAGACAGGGGAATCCTTGATAAAAATTTTGTCCGGAGTTTGCAATCAATGATGCCGGTTATAAATTACAAGGCCAAACAATTACGTCAACAATCGGCCTAGTGGTCTAGTGGTATGATTGTCGCTTCGGGTTCGCCCAGTAGTCGCTAGGCTATTACCAGTATGTGACAGGCCCCGCGTTCGAATCGCGGCTAGGCCCCGATATTTTTTTAATTTTGCTCACTTATCACTACTATCTACTACCTTCGATATAGATAGATAGATATCATTATTATTTGTACGTACGTACGCACAACTTTTTTTCTGGTGTTGGAGGTTCTCTTACTCTAGCCAAAAAGGTGTGTAAACTGCTACTCAGAACCTAGCCGGATACACTAATTAGCAAATACATTATCGACTGTCAGATGTTGCTGGCTTTGTTAATGCGCGCACTATTCATTTTTCAGGAAAATGAGATGTTGTTTTAGCTGGATGGGAATGCGGTGAATCGTGGGGAATGGTGGTCTTCATGCCCTTGCTGTGTATAGCGCGCGATAGCAATTTGACGGCGCGCGAGCTAGCAACACAAGCACGAGTAGGGGCCTCTGTTTATTTAGTTTATTGTTTGAGGAAATAAAATGAAAAAAAAACTCGGATCATAGCAAGATAGTGGAATGTTCGTGGTTTGCAAAGAGCGTCTGGTCTGGCCGATGTCCCATGTTCTAGTCTATAGTTGAAGGTATGAGCAAGGATGAACCTAGTGACTTGGTAGAGTCCATGCGCTGATAGTGGAAGGTCTACTCGCTGTTCATCTTGCGTCCCCTAATCCAACCTCATCTCCTCCATCTGCCTCGCGGAGCCTCGAAGATGAAATCACCGTGGTCATTGTCTTTCCCAACAGCATTCTCATCGAAGTAGCTCGCGAAACGTCCTCCTGTCTCCTTCGTTCTGAAAATGTCCCCGTGCGGCGATTTGCGTTCACCGATAGAGCCGCGCCAAGTGGCTCCCGCGCTGGAGGGAACATAGTGCGAGCTGCTCATGTCGGTGCTGTTCACAGACTCGTCCCGTACATGGGTTAAACGACGCAGGCGCTGACGGTTTTTGGTACGAGGGGACGGAGAATGATCTTGAAACGTCTCTAGCTGTTCTGCAGAAAGGCCTGTGTCGACAGTCTCTAACCACTTCCTGACACTGGGAGGCCTGACACGGCGACTAGGCGGAGGTAAGTAGATGTTATCGTCAGTCCACGATGCCGACGATTGTGACTCTGCTTGCGGAGACGGCACCTGCTCCGGGTTAGGCGAGGGAACGGGGTCCGAGGGATCTATCCGAACACCTCCGTCGCGGCCGGCAATTTCGTCCTGAACCGGGGACGTGTGCTGATCGTGTTCACCGTCTTTGGCCAAGGGATAAGGTTTCACTGTTTCCCGAAATAGGTGAGCTTGGCGAACGAAGTAGCCGTCCCGGGCAGGGGTGGAGGTGAGCGAAACAAGCCGGTCCGAGCGGGCTACGACGGACTGTCTGCGCATGTAACTGGGCAATGGCACGCCTGTGGGTGAGTGGTCGCAATCCGATGACGATGGTGGGTTGTGGCAGCTGCCATGGGCGTCATCAGGGGCCTTCTTTCGCGAGCGTGGATAATGAGGATTCACGGGTGCTGCGTAGCTGTCAGCGTGGACCGGTTCGGTTACTGCCGAGCAAAGCAGACTGACTACTTGGATCGTCGGCCATTGTGGGAAAGGCATTGGCCCGGCCACGGATCTGTGCGCGGGTCAAGGTCGAGGCGGTTCGGTCGACGCATCAACAAGTGGAGGATGGGCATTGTGGTGGTGGTGGTTGTGGAGCGGTCGAGCAGCCTACTGCGCGAGGCGGCAGTCGCTGCCCGAGCAGTGGACTGTGGAGGGGAGTGGAGAGGGAAGGTACGTAGGAATTGTTATCGCGGGGGAAGGTGCGGTGGGTTGGCCGAAACGGGAAGGATCACTCCCCTCGCCGTTTAACTGCGTACTCGCACCTTCTATACGGGCGTAAGAAGGAGACCGTGCGGAGATTTGCTGTTTTTATGCCGCCACACGCAGAGGACATGGCCAAGCTTCCACGACTCGGGCGGTGCCAGTCTCACAACGGTTGCGCAGCGTCGAGAAGGTTTCGTCTGCTGCACGCCGCGATTCTCTCTCCCTCTCTTTCTTCAGGGGGACGCAGCGGCGAGACTCGGGGGGCGTGGTCATGTGAGGCGAGCAGCGAGGATGCGGACGGGGCACACGCTGGAAGGAGTTAGAAGGGTTTATATTGGCCGGCGGGCCCCATTACCATGGGGTACGCGTTCGGGAGGGAACTTGAGTCTTGAGGAACCTTTTTAGCGATGATGGCACAAGCGTCGGAGCGTCAGGGCGTCGCGCGATGATTTTCCTCTCCACATCGGGGGACGATCGTAGCGCACTACCGCCAGCGCCGGAGGTTGTTTTGGTGGTCAAAGACTACGTAGAGGGCAGACTACGTGCCTACTATGTATGGCGTGCAGCCGGCATGAACGCAGCAGTCTTTGATCGTCAATCTCAGACGATTGCGCCAATTGCAATTGGCTGTCGCAGGGCCTCGTTTGCGCGTTGGCCATCAGCGTCGCACCATCGTCGCTCGTCGTTGTGCTCCTCCTCGCTTCCACGGCCCCCCGCGCCTGATGTTGCGTTGCTGTGCATGCTTGACTTTCCCTTCAACACCGCTGATTGCTGCTGGCCCTGCTTTGCTGCCCACATTTCCTTTCCGCCCTACCTACCTACTCCTCCTTCCCCTCTCCTCCTCCTCCTCCCCCCACCCTCTCCCAGGGCTGCTTGACGCGCTCGTCCTCCCGTTTTCTTTTCGCCTTCTGAGTCTATCGTTCATTCACTTCTTTTGCCCTAATTCCATCCGCAAGATCGGATCCTAGTTTGCGCGCCGGTCGGCCTCTTGCTGCGTCATTCCCCTCCGTCGCGCCTCTCCGACAATTGCTGTTTGATTGCCGCCTCTCAGGAATTCAGTCGATCCATTTCAGTAGTGTACGTCCGTTCGGATCTCATCTCAAACCTTCTTGCCAACTTTGATTCCCTACCGTCACGCTTCCTGTCCCATGTCTTGTGCTTCGGTGATCCGCCTGACACACCTTCTGACTGTCTACAGTCTATACCTATGCGTCCCTAATCCTGCGCTAGCTTCCCATACTGTTCTGCGCCTGGACGCTCCACTACTGTCGTCGTGACAATCCGTCGCACATCACCGGCCAAACGCTCTGTTCACTTGCACTCCCCGTATGCAATAACGAACTTCTAGCTGCGCGCAATGAGCTACGCTCCCCAAGGCTCCGGTGCTTATGTTGGTGAGGCACCCCAGAGGAAAGGATCCGTCAAAGCTGCCAGAGAACGCGCCAATGCTGAGCAGCAATACCTGAGGCCAGACAACTTTTCTTTCCCGGCCCAGTCACACGAACTCTCTTCCCAATATTCTCGACCGCCCACTCGACCGCAGGTCGACCCGACTCCTCCTTCAAGTTCAGAAGGCAACCGCCAGATGCAGCCCTCCCCAGGTCCCGATTGGCCTCTCCCGGCTCCTGTCGAGAATGACGCCCCCCGCCAAAAAGGACCGCCACCCCAACGGCCGCCAAGGCCGTCTTACGTTCCCTCGATCCTTGACCCTTCGAACCAGTCGCAGTTCCTCGCTCCGCCCATGCCCGCGACTCCGCGTAGACATCATAACCCCGAGCCAGTCTCACCTTCGGAGTACGCCGACGACAACCTGCTTTCTCCTTCGTATTATCCGTCTGCGAGGGATAACCGACCAATGACGACTTTATCTTTTGCATCAAACTCTTCGCTGGGCGAAATACCGGATTTCCCCGTCCCCGTCGATCCTGTTCAGCCACGTGCGACTCTCGGCCCTCCACCTACCGCAAGAAGAGGACCTTCGTCTTACTACTCGCAAATGTCTTACGTTTCACCGATTGTGGAAGAGGCGGAATCGTCAAGGTCTCACAACTCATTCGCCTCTAGCAATGTCATTCCTTCCTCTGTGCCGGACTTTTACCTGGATGAGTATGGGAATCCTTCATATGACGACATTCCCATGAACAGCCCTAGCGACGATGGGCGGTTTTCACATGATGGTGATGAGAAGGGACTTGTGAGACACGCCAGCGTTGGTAAAAGGGTTACGCCTGCCCTGACTAATGTCAAGAGCGTGGACAGTTTCGAGAAGCTCGGAAGGGAATCCAAGAAACGAAGCAGCCTCTTGGGAGCGGCAGGTGGCGTCTTTGGTGGGGGGTATGGTGCTTCTCGGGAAGGACAGCCAAGGTCATCTTCACGGCCGGACAGTGAGGCACTCAGCGGTGCCTGGCCGGGCCAATCTTCGTCACCAACACCATCGCCAACGCTATCAACTGACACATTGAACTTCTTCACTAAGAAGCCAAGCAAGCCGTCTCCACTGGCACGATCGGACAGTCTTGACTCCCCCGTCGATCCTAGAGTAGAGCAGATCCTGGGTGGTTTAGAGAAGGGGGGTGCTTTGGGTCCCGAAGGCACGAAATCGTCGTCTCTGGCGGACCGTGTTGGATCCAGGAGGCCCCCTCGTTTGAACATAAATTCGGTCAGAGACGCTGAAGCTCGCGGAAGCCTTACTAGCTTACCCGATCTGATCAAGCGTGCAACGCGCCTGGCCACAAATCTCGACCGCGGCAAGACCGCAAGTAGGGTTGGGGTGGAAATGTGGGAGAAGGGCGGGGACCAGGGAGGACACGCTCGGAATTCTGGATCTATTCACGACATGCTCTCGTCCTTTCCTCCGCCCGGTCTCGGTACTCCTAATGGAAGTGCCCATGGATCCCGCCCTCCGTCCCGGTGGCCCTCCGGTCTTGCCTTACACGAATCTCACTACCCGGATGAAAACGACACAAGACGGGAACCAAGGAAGCAAGGTCGGAAGTGTTGCGGTATGCCGTTGTGGTGCTTCGTTACTCTCATCACCGTCCTGGCAGTGCTGGTGATTGCCGCAATCGTCGTTCCCATCTGCTTAATTGTTGTGCCAGCCCAGGATTCCAAATCCAGCGGGCTTGCGAGTTGTCAAAAGAACATGCCGTGCAAGAATGGTGGTAGCAGCATCATTGATTTGAACGGTCAATGCAGCTGTCTGTGCACCAACGGATTTACTGGCACGCAGTGTACCTTGACTCACGACGCTAGTTGCACAACCTCCAACATCGGGAGCATCCGCAACGCCACAATCGGGTCCGCCATCCCCGACCTCTTATCCGATGGCAAATCCGAATTTGATATTCCGCTCAACTCCACACTCATTTACACGCTCTTTACTACCTCCAACATGAGCTGCACCGCGCAGAATGCCCTCGTTACCCTCAATGGTCTGTCAGCTCGCTCGGTCGAGCCCATGCCCAACCTTGCGGAAGAGGCGGTACCCAGTGCTACTTTCTCCTCAGCACCCGCAGCGATGACAACCGCTCCTCCGTCCCTGCAGCTGGCGGCTCGCGAGGTGTCTTCCGAAGGAGCTAAAACCAAGCTTGGAATCGTATACGACGCATCACCAGCCTCTAGCACTGCCACCGCGACAGCCACCGATGCAGCCGCATCCGCTTCATCTTCTGCATCATTGAATTCAGTCGGCGTCAGCAGCAAAGAACTCCATTTCTCGCGAATCGTCGTGCTCTATGTATTTCAGGCGAGTCGAGATTTGACTCAGGCTGATATGGCACAGCAGAACCTGCAGACGTATTTCTTCGATCTCAAGAAGGGCAACAAAGACGCGATCGGCGCAACGGCCGTGAGTCTCGGGAACGGGTTTACGATCGATTTTACCCAATGGCATGTAACGTTGAAGAACGGGACGGCAATCGGAAAGTACGTCTCATAAGAGGCCTACCTCAAACATCCAACGCATTGCAGTCACGTTCTCCTTCTCTTTTCCGATACCATACCCGTTTCCGAGCATTTTCGCTGCTCCGTTTTCGCCAGCTCTGACAGTTTAACTTTTTCTTTTATCAATTCTACCCGCGCCCATGACGAGCTGGCACTAATTGTCATTTTGGCGGCGGCGCTACTTGCTTTTGCACTCCCCGTAACTTGTATATACATGGACCCCCTTTTTTCTTCAGCTGCCCGTCTCTCGGCAACCCGTCATAACAGCCGCTTCTCTTTATCACCCACTCGCTGCCGCTGGCTTCATCTTGCAATAGTGGTTTTCTGGCGCGGTGGTTGAAAGCTGCAAAGTTCGTGATACCTCTTTGTTTTTACTTGATTAGGATATCAGTCGAAATGGGGTGGACGTCTTGAAGACGTGTTTGCATAGAAAAAAGAAAAAGCAGAAGCACTTCTACCAGTCATACGGTTTTTCCGCTTGAATGCTTTGGTGATATTGAGAATATTTCTCTCCCTATACCGGTGAAGGTGTGCAGATGGTCATACAACTCTAATCGGATTTAGCGACGAACGCCTTTATAACGGTCTAAAGTTGCGTTCGTAGCTAGTCACTATCACTCACGAGGGTAGGTAGATTGTAACAACATCTCCCTCCGACCATAGTAACGTTCGTCATCGTCAACCGAGATTCACCGTCTGGCGAGATAGGGAACGACATAAGCAGTCCCTACTGACTACTCCTTGTCTAGCTATTGGCTTAAATTCTAGATTAGACTGAGAAGGTTTTAGAGAGTATACATACTATAAGCACCTTGACTGGATTTCTTCTTCTACTCCGTACAAGTGTCCGTATCTTGTTAGGCAGTGAATATCGCTTGACGATGACGGACGTTAGACTGGAGGCAAAAAAGCACAAACAGCAGGCGACCATCGACATGCCCACCGTGGCAACGTGAACGAGGACCCTTATTTTTAGTGCGAAACGGGTACGACCGTACGCGCACGTTGGCGAGGCACGGGCGCCAGTCGTTCGACATCTCGGTACATCTTGAACCTAAAAACAAAGCGTCAAGGCATCCTTAATGAATAGGCCAGAACAGAAGTAAGCTACTATTCCTTCCAACCCCACCTCATCCGATCCAGGTAAGGCCGCCACCGCCACCCGACTTCTTGAACCGCTCCCTCAGGCCTTCCCGGTGCAGCCTGAGAATTCTGTCCTCAATCTCGCTCAGCTCCGCCGCCCATTTGCTTTCGCTAGCACCTTCCTCCTTGGTACTACCCCACAGGCTAAACCAGCTAGATTTGCCTCCCAAGCCTGACGTCTTGTCCTTCTCTTCCTTGTCCAGCTTGGCGACCATCTTCTGCAGATTGTTGAGCCCAACTTCCAAACATTGCGCGCACTTGTCCCTGTCCTCGAGCTTCAGGCTTCCGTCCTCGACGCCCGCTTCCGCCTCTGCAACCGCTTCTCTTGTCCATGCAAGACCGGTCTCGAGGTTGGATGGCGCTGTTGCGAAGAGGATTTCTCCTATATAGGTTTTGAGCGCGGTTTCTTCGCACTTTGAGTTTGGTGTCCGGCGCAACGCGTCATTCCCAGACGGAGGAGGCGGCGGGTATTGCGGGGGGACGATAAATGAGAAAATGGTGTCAAGGATGCCGTTGGAACCAGAGCTTCCGTTCGACGGGTATGGAGCGGCTGGGGCGGAGCTCCGTGCACGCAGGACAGAGAGGTAGATGGGCAAGGCGGCCGACACATTGGCATTGCACGCGTAATGCGTCGCCAGAGATGTGGCGGCCTGGACAATGTTGTCGGAAACGCGGTTCGCGCCTTCTCTGATAACACCAGTCTTGAGGTCGACGACGCTCTCGACTTCTGGTAGAGCGGAAGTAGCAATGTCCATGCCCCAGTTGTACATCTCTTGCGCGCTGTCATTCAGACCTTTGAAGTCCAGCCAATCGGCGTATCCGAGGGCAGCCTTGAGACGCTGGTTGGTGTTGAAGCCCTTCGTGGTCAAAACCTTCATGTAATACGTCTCCGGCTGTGCGAAGGCCGGGATACAGTTCTCTTCCAGAGGCGCGGAATGCATAAACGCCGGGCATGGGCGCGGCCTAGGGTTGGAAGGTCCAATGACATACTCGGAGGGGAATGAGATGTTACGAGTTGTATCCTTGACCCAGCCATCCAACTGCTCTGCGGACTTGGCGCAGCCCATCAGCACTTCGAAATACCCCCGCCGCCACGGCTCGCTCTTCGCCTCGATGTCATAACCCGCCTTGCCTACACCAGGCACCAGAATGCCCCCGTCCCCTTGGTCCTTGACATCCTTGCCGTCAACATTGGGGTCCTCAAGCCGCTCCATCAACCGCCTATAGGTGCCTCCGGTGTTTGCCCAGTCGACGATGCCCGAGGGGAAATAACTAGGGTCTTCTTGGGCGCGCGCACTGCGGTAAGCTATGCGACTGATCATGCTCCACTCGGAGGGAGTGGGCGTGTCCCGTTCGAGTATTTCATTCTGCACACCAAATGCAGCAATGCACAGCAGGCCCACGCTCGTCCAAAGGAAGACAGTCCATTTACTAGCGAGCCAGACCTGTTCCTTGATGTACTTTTTGTGCTCGGTTGTCAGGAACCTGGTCAGTTGCCATTGGCCGCCGCGGTGACGATACCTCAGGGCGCTCGAGGAGGCGTGAAGGAAAGGGAGCTGGGGCCGGGGCCCGGAAGGCGAGATGACGAGCAGTAGCTGCGAGTTGTGGGTGAAGAGGCGCGGCTTGGGGAATTGGTGAGGCACGGCGGGCGGGCGAATGGGGCGTCGCAGCGAGTGCAGCCTCCGGGCGGGGAGACGCGCTGCCTGCATGGTGGAGAGACAATGGTGATGTGACATTGATCTGCTGCGGAGATGCGCTCTCGTCACCGTCGGCGTCCCGGGCGGTGGGCGGGCGGTGAGCTTTCTGCCTGGATATGCCTTCCCATGCTCGCCATTTTTCCTTCTCCGTTCCATCCCCACACTCAATCCACTCGCCAAGTAACTATGTCAGAGAAGCGGGAAGAACCTGAAAAGAGAGGCGAGAAGAAAGGCGAGAAGAAAGGCGAAAAGAAAGGCGAAAAGAAGAAAAAACCGAGCAAGAAGCCCAAGACCAAGGTTGAGGAGGCTCCAGCAGTCGAAGCGGTCGACGAGGTCGAGGCGGCTGCCGACGACAAAAAATCCACCAAGTCAAAGTCGAAGAAGAGGAAGCACGACGACACCGAGGACGTGCCCCAGCCCGCGACAGAGCAAGAAGCCGACGGCGGAGTGGACCAGAAGGAAAAAAAGAAGCGCAAGAAGGCCAAGGAGCAGGCTGCCGGCAATGAGACAGGCGAAGCAGACGAGAATGCTGAGCCCGGCAAGCAGCGATTCATAGTCTTCATCGGCAACCTGCCGTTCTCCGCAACCAAGGAGTCCGTGGCCGCGCACTTTGAGAAGATCCACCCCTCCTCGATCCGCGCGCCTATGACCAACGACAACAAGAAGTCCAAGGGCTTCGCCTTCCTCGAGTTCGACCACTACGACCGTATGAAGACATGCCTGAAGCTGTACCATCACTCTAGCTTCGACGACGGGAAGAGCCCTGCAAGGAAGATCAACGTTGAGCTGACGTAAGTACATGACATTACCACCTTCTACTCACGGCGCTGAGACTGACCCTTCGTAGTGCCGGCGGCGGTGGTTCAAAGTCATCCGCTCGCAAGGAAAAGCTGCAGTACAAGAACGAGCGGTTGAACGAGCAGCGCAAGCGCCGCCTGGAACAAGAAGCGAAGGAGAAGAAGCGGGAGGACAGGAAGAAAGCTCAGGCGGGCAAGGGCGCGAATGCCGAGCCTGTCGACGGCGCGCCGGCGACGGATGGTGGTGCGGATAGCAACCAGGGCATACACCCCAGTCGGCTGGCCCAGATGCAGCGATAGACACTTGGGCGAAGAGAGAGGCGGACAGCTTCGGGCTTCGATTTATAAAGCGCTAAGTGGGAAGGCACGAAGTGGGAAGACACTAAGTGGGAAGGCACTCATCGCTGAGCAGAATACCCCGTTTGAACGAAGAAAGATACTACGTTTCTTGGAAGCTTGGATGTGTTATTAAATCACATGTTTTGGCCGTCTGTGTGATAAAGTATACCTTGTCTCATGATTCATGGAGGACCAAGGCTTGTGAACGCTCGTTGTATATTCTCATAAAAAAATGTATCATTAGTCTGAACACTAAGAAGCTTCATCTAGTCAGAAAGGATATCATATCCGCGCTAATACAAGCACATTCGTAGCTACGTAAAGTACTTGCTAATACCACACACAACCAGCTATATACCTTTATAAGTACCTTTGTACCCTTCGAATATTTTATTTTCATGCCCTTATAGAATACTCTAGCACTTCTATATATTTTATCTTTATATCTTTATAAATACTATTATACCCTATATCTTTTTACTTTATATCGTTATATAGTATATACTAATCGTAGCGTAATAGTCTCTCATAACTACCTAAGGAGTAGTCTTTAGGTATCGTAGATTTCACTTAATATATAGTTAGGGGGTAGGTAAATTATCTAGGGACTTTAAAAGTCCTTACACCTTTAGTGTTTTAAATTTGAGAACCTTTGTTTGTAACGTTTATTCTAAACCCTTCATGATGCTACTACTAGGTAAAGTTATACGGATACCGCATAAGCTAGAGCTAATCATATGTAGCTAGAAGCGGATCGTAGGTATATAGAGGTGTTAATACCCATCTAGAGGAACTAGAGTTCGTAGGTACTAGGAGGGCGAGGCGAGTTCACGGTATATCTAGGTATGAATGTATCACATGTACGGATGCTCGTATCTGATGGTTAAGTACATTTAAGGTTATGAATAAAAAGCTAAAATGAAGTCGGATTACAAAAAGGCCGATAATCGTACCATTGTCGATTGACCTTTCAGCTTTACCATGTTCATTAACCGACGCAATGGCAGAAAGTTCCTCGTGCTTCATGAAGTGAGTCTAAGAAGTTATAATGTCGCGTGATTCGTGAATTTGCTGTTGCTAGACCAACGAACGATGACTTTGAAAAATTTGAAATAGCATGAAATAGTGTACGATAGTGTACACTCTCTGAATGCAAACCGGCACTATCTTCAACAGCTCTCGCAGGTAACTCGTACTTGACGATAGTTCGCACGTGGAAGCAGGGTGATCGGCATATAGCTAGCTATTCGATAGTCGTCGCACCATTAGATGCCACCGCGGCCCTAGGTGCCTAGTTACAATAGCATTCCCGCACAACGAAGATCATGTCGGACAAAAGGACTAGGTACCAAAATCCAAAGGAACATTGTCCAGAAGGAGACCTAAGATAACGGGAGGAGCGGCAACACGTTTTCTGTAGGTACCTACGCTTGAGGTAGCAGGTGTTTAGGCTAACGGTGGGGGATCTACCGGATCCTACGGTTTGTGAACGTCATTCACGTTCATCATGAAAATCATGTGAGGAGAAAGCCCTGCGCCTGGGCGCCTGTGAGGAGTGGTTGATAGTCATGTCCAACTTTGTCGCGCAGGGTTTGGACACATTGAGAGTTACAGTAGATGGAAAACGTCGGCTAGATAGAAATCAAACTTAGCCATAATAAAACATGGCCAAGGACTAGATAAGAAGTAAGTCAGCCGCACAGAGAAATGATTTTTCCGACTACATCTGGATCTGTATGCCGCACACAACCGGTCGGTTTCCGCGACGACGAAGAGATGCCGGTGCTACCGCAAGATTTTACATGAGAGCGATTGCAAAATGCAGCCGATAGGCCGTGCGAGAAGACGATGGACCATGATTTGGCCCCAAGGGCCGTTCCCACGCGCCAGAAGCCGATTGCCTTCTAGCCCATCCCGGCGCCCCGTAAGCGAGCCAAACTTTTGGAATTGGTTCAATACAGACCTGATTGTTCGATTTGTAGCTCATCCCCTGTGGTGGCCTAATGGGCAAACGAGCCGCCACCAAAAGGTGCTATCTCCTTGGTATCTCAACACGCGCAAACCCGAGCCGAGGGCGTTGTGCGACAGGAACGCCAGGGTAACCGGTCCTGGCAAGAGGAGGAGGGCGATGGCGAGCTCGAGAAGCACTTGGCGCCGGGTGGAGATCCTTGGATGAGGCCAGGCAACAGGGTCAAACGAACCGGGCGTGCGTCCGGCGTTTGTCTAGCCTCGGAAGAGGGGGGGGGAAACGGCATAGCGGCGCGAGGCCGATCAGTCGTGTCGAACAGAGCATCGTCATCTTGTGAGCGATGCGGCATGCCGTGAGTAGATTGACGACGGGCATTTGCAAAGCTCCAGAGCCCCAGATGCGAAACATTGCAGGCGCGTGCACTGAGCCGAGGGCGGCGGCAAGGGAAGTGGGTTTTTCTCGCAACAGTGGAGACGGTCGAGTGGATACTAAATCTGGGAATAAAGGAGGATTTGCGTGGTGATTAGAGAGGTTCACGAAGCGTGAGAGGTCGCGGAGGCTCGGGAGTGGGCGTGAGTGGCGTCTGATCTTTACCCCAACCCAGAAGAGGAACATGACCGCCTGCGAGGATCCACGATTGCGCTTGGCCACGTGAGGGAGGCACGCGGGCAGAGCAGGGACAGCAAAAACAAGCTTCGCCACCGCGGTCGCGACAACACCATCAACCATCCTGAGGATCGCGTCCGGGGTGTGGCGGCTCGCGCGTCGGAAGCTCCGCGAACATCATCGATGCCCCTTGCAGTTTCCTCACAGCAGGCACGCAGGGTCTCTTCTGCAGGATCCGCGGCTGCGCGCCAACGGCCACTCAGCTCCTCGCGGCCCGAATCTTAGCTTGCCGGCCCTGACTCGCTGCGGCTTGATGCATAGCCTGCGCCAAATCCGCCGGGGATCTCCCTCCTGTAGCGCTCCATGGTCCATCTCCTGTCGGCTGCTAATATCACCGTCGTCAATCCTTCGTTTGCCCTGCTCCCAAGTGCTCCCCTCTTCCGACCAGACCATTTAGACAGACGAGCGTCCGGCTCGTGGCCTTGTCTTCTTGCGTCGTCGTCTTGGCTTCATCCACTCGCTTATCATACCGCCAACCGAAGCCTGTTATGCCCGTCGTCCTCTAACCTCGTCAGCCTTCCGAGTCCAAAAGCAAAAGCAAAGAGAAAAAAACACCATGGCGACCACAGCCCTCGTCCCGAGGGCCAAGCCCTCCTACTATCCTTACCCTTACAGTATTGATCCCTTGACCGACGAGCTCAAGCGCGGTCTGATTCCGGTCGGCATCTTCGCTCTCATATCTGTCATGGCAACCCTGGCCCTGCTGCTGTGGATCACATATCGTCTCGTGTCCTGGCGGAGGCATTACAGGGCGTACGTTGGTTACAACCAGTACGTCTTGCTGATTTACAACCTGCTGCTGGCCGACCTGCAGCAGTCGCTGTCCTTTATGATCTCCTTCCACTGGCTCTCCGAGGACAGAATGGTCGCGCCCACGAGCGCGTGTTTCGGCCAGGCTTGGCTCGTCCAGATTGGCGACATTTCCAGCGGCATGTTCGTTTTGGCCATTGCGTTGCATACCTTCTTTTCCGTTGTCAAGGGTCGTCAATTGCCTTTTAATGTCTTTTTGATCTCCATCGTCTCCATTTGGGTCTTTTCGCTGTTCATGACCATGATCGGACCGGCGATGCATGGTCAGAAGTTCTTCACCAAGGCTGGTGCTTGGGTAAGTGTCTTGACTGAGCATCTGCGATAGCAAGTGTTGACTGTTAGCCAGTGCTGGATTTCCGAGGATTACGAGAACGAGCGTCTGTGGTTCCATTACTTCTGGATCTTCATCATCGAGTTCGGAACAATCATCATCTACGCCCTCATCTTCCTCTACCTGCGCAAGCAGCTCGCCTCGATCCTTTCGGCCTCGCAGTCGCGGACGCCCGACATGGTCACCAAAGCAACACGGTACATGATTGCGTACCCGTTGACCTATGTCATCCTTACCCTACCACTGGCCGCAGGCCGCATGGCCGCCATGACAGGCAAGACATTGCCAACAGTGTACTACTGCATCGCAGGTACGATGATGACGTCGTGTGGATGGGTCGATGCGGCCCTGTACGCACTGACAAGAAAAATCCTGGTCTCCGACGAAATCGATCATCGTGGCAACAGTGGACGCAACGCGCACAACTCCGGCTGGGAAATCACCAGCTTCGACAAAGGCGCCGGTGGAATCACGGCCGCAGACCACACCGTCACCATCACTGGTGGTAGAGGTACGCGCGGCAGCGTCTCTGGTAGAAAGGATCCTGCGTTCATCTCGACGGCGGAGCGTGGTCGTGCCGCTGCCAGGAAACATGGGAACCACCACCGTCGTGGTTCCAGCCCTATCTCGCGCGAACCGAGCCCGCATGGTAGCACGGATTCGATGATCAAGAATGATCTGGAGGGCATTATTGGTGTGCGTGCCGAAACTAAGGTCGAAGTCACTGTTGAAAGGGCAGGAGACTTCTTGTCAGAAGCCAGCAGCGAGGTGTCTGGGAAGACACATGATGGAAAGAGGGCCAGCAGCCCCGATTGGAGCCATTGAGGCGTCTCCCCCTCGCTTGTTTCCTACCTTTCCTGTCCTTGGTTTTATGATCTGGCTAGATACCTTGTACCTCCCAGAAACGTTTGGTCCGGCGGCTCATTGCAGCGTGGTTCAAGGACGCATCAAAAGGATGACGTACAAAAGCCTCGCAAATCCACCTGCCGGTTTTTAGGTGCATCCGCTTCTCTTCTCTCCATGTGGTCTTTTTTTCTTCTTCACGTATTTTTTCTTTTTGTAATGGTGGAGCGCCATATATCCTTTCCTTTTCTTGTTTGACCACCTCTTACATCCTTTGATCACGTAACCAGATACCATAGAAGCCATATTCATGAAACAGATTAGATCAATGACATGATCTTAAGTTCCTAGCTTTTGACCAGTCCGGTGCTCAATGTCTTTTGCGGGATAAATTGAGGGTCTGAGTCTGAGAGGTGTCCACGGTTGGAGAGGATTTGGCTTTTGTCCGGATCTCTTGGTAGCTAACGGCTGTGGCCTATGTTCGAATATGTCCGGGACGATGTAAAGTCGAATCCTTTGTAGGGTTGGATTGCTTTGGCTGTAAGTACTGTTCACGTTTCATAGAGGGAGCACCTACGATACAGGAACTGATTGCATGAAGCTATGAGTATTCACCATGGTAAGAACCGCTGTTAATAGGATGGAAAGGGCCTGGATTCCCATGATATGGTCGGCTGCCATGAGCTGCCATGGGGATGGAAAGATCTGGAAGTAAGGACATAAACACGTCTCGTCCAGTCGCTCTCGAATGACCTTCTGTCTGTAAGGTCCTGTCGTTATATGACAATCCGGGAGTAGAGCTTGTTGTTTCGAAGGGCGTCGTTGGTCCAGGGGAAGGCCAGTGGCATGACGACAGCAGCAAAGGCAACGACGAGGAGGAATGATGAAGAAGGAAAGGAGACAGAGAAGACGGATAGACGTCAAAACAAGCAACGGCCTGATCGACGCTCTGGTAAAGCGCGACGTCCCTCTTCGCGCGCCTTGAACAAGCAAAGCCCACTTTTGGGAAACAAAGCCGCAAATCAACAGACAGAAGAGCGGAGGAGAAGCAACAAATGGGCGGAAGACCCGGAAATGACATTGACGCGCCGCAGAACAGGGCTGCTTGGTTGGTATGGGGCGCGCCTATTAGAGGCATTATAAGAGTTATAAGCTCCGACTCCCGAGCCTCGTCCGGCTGGCCGAGAATTGTGGAGGGGGAGCGAGCGTTGCCGCTGGCCATCCTTCATTGCCAGCGCGCCCGCCAGCTCGTCATCTCAATCATTGCGCAGCATCTGGAACGCAGAGTTGACGACGTCGACGCTCAGCCGCAGTGGTGGAAGGCCTTGGCATCCTTCCAATCTGTTGTTGTCTGGAGCGCGGGCTCATGCGCTGTCAAGGATGGGGCCGACCTCGGCTGTGTGACCGATTCGGGAGAAAGCAGGGACCGTTTTCGGACCGCTTTGTCGTTCGCCCTGTTTGAAAGAACAGAAGATTTCGAATCAGCATCTGCTGTCTGTTGGTATCCGGTGAGATGTTGTTAAGCAACGAGGCAGGAGAGGATTAATTGTTGATCAAGCAGTGAGCGCTGCTGCGATGGGGCAGCGGCGATGGGGGCAGCGATACTGACTAAGCGAGGCTAGCTACGTGAGGCAGACGCTAATCTATATAAGGCAAGAATCTCTGCCTGCAAGATCGGCTGCTGGTATCCGTCTATCCGTGATACTTTTAGTCTATATAGCTTGGAATTACTGCCTTTTTATGCTGGTGCCTAACTCAATTCCTACCTTTTTCCACAGCCGCATACAAGAGTGCCTAGGCTACGCGTCTACTATTATGAACTCGGACGTATTTAGGCAATATCCATTCTGTAACTAGGTACTGCAGAGTCATGGGTAGATGTTGTTCTTCGTTCCCATAGCGAGCGGTACTCTATAGATGCGAAAGTATGTCAAGGCGCTCTGGACTCAGATGTAAGAAATATTTTAATTATACTTATATACCCTTGTAAGTAAATAGAACGCACCTTGTAGATTACTTCTTATGTAGACCTAGAGCTTGCATTTGTAGATAAATACATCGTTTATAAGGGGCTTATTGATTTAACAATATCTCCCCTCCGAACGTATCAGAATGAATTGCAGTACCTTTGCAATGCTCCCCACAAGTTACTCCTTAGATAGATATAGAGGCTGCGCTCGCGATTCCAAGTGTAGCTCATGTGGGTATGTAAATTGTAACAATATCTACCACTCCGACCTTCAATGACCCATCATGTTCCTCTACATCTTTACTCCTCCGTCCAAGCAATGGCCCCATACGACCAGGCTGCAACTTCGTCTCCTATACGGTCCTCCTCATCTTCAATCCGGTCATTACCAGACTTCATCTTTTGCTTCTTCGCAAGCCGTCTTGCGACCTCGTTTGCCTCGCCCAAACTCACTAGCTTCCGCTTGACACCGCCAGATGTCGCATCCCGTTCCATACGCTCGCAACACAGGTCCCATACTCTCGTCGCGGTAGTCTTCTCGGCTCCCGCATCGTCCGTCAGGAATGATTCAGGTGACCTGTCTAATGTCCTGGAACCACTGTTGTAGAAATAACACCAACGGGTGTCGGGCAGCGCCGGCGGATCTTCAAAACATTCTCCCATGTAAATATCGTAGGCCATTTCCGCCGGAGTACGGCCTGTCGCATTTTCGCGATACAACAGACGAGGGTTTCGGTCCAGCAGTACTTCCATCAAGCGCGTGTACCCCTTGCGGACAAGAACATGCAACGGTGTGTCACCGGCACCGTTGACCATCTCCAGATGCTCGTCAGTCGGCGACAGGGACAGAAGATGCCGTAGAACCTCTACGTCGCAATCGTTGTTCCCGGTATCTTCATCGAGCCAGCGACTAAGTGGCGTCACGGCACCAACTCCGGCAGACGAACGTTCGGCAAACAGTGAAGCAAGAAGGCGAGTATCGATCAGTCCAAGCATCTTGTAGAGCTGGAGGGGCTCTTTGCCACCCCTTGCGCTTAGAGCCGCGTGTAGGAGATTGTTCCCTTGGAGGTCTCGAACGGTTTGATCAGCACCAGCAGCAATAAGTCGCTGGGATATAGTAAAACGGCCCAACGAAAATGCTAGGTGTAAGGGGGTTTGCCCAGTCGTAGACTTCTTCTTGAGAGACGCCGGTGCTGCCTTAACGACATAGTCGAGTAGGCTGGTAGAACGCGTGTCGGAAAGGACTATACAGTGAATGAGGAGATCACCTGCAGCAGTGTTAGTCTGATTATGGGGACGGGGGCCGGCGTCTCAAAAAGCCTCAACTTACTTCGTGTGCGCAGCCACCCATGGATTGCTCTTTCAAACCCACCATCCATTTTTTCCATGTTCTTCAGTCTCTTGTCTTCTTTGTTGATTTCTGCAAACTCTCGGTAACACCTTGCAGGTGTATCACTCAAGAAAAACTCCAGGCTGGAAAGGTTCCCTGTGTGAGCTGCTTCCAATAGAGGGGGGTGCTTGTTCTCTGATCGGGTAGGCTGCATCTCTCGTCCGGCTGCTGCCCAATCAGCCCTCTTCTCGCCGTGGACCGACAGTCCTTGGTAATATTTGGGTTTTTCGGCAACCTCAACTCCGCCTTTTTGGGCAAGATGATTGAAAGGGATACCGGTTCCTGCTGTCTTAATGATCTGTTCAAGGCAGCGCGTGCGGCCTTGTGCCAAAGCATACTGGAAATCGTCATCTCCTAACATATAGAACCCAGGGGCATGATCATTTTGTTTTCTAGCTGCCGTTGCTGCGGTGTATTCGATTCCCCAGTTCATCAGGGTCTGCAAAAGGGTTACATCATCATTTTCGATAGCGAACTGAATGAGATTAGCAGCATCGCTGCGCTCCCATGTTCCAGCTCGCGGGTGCGAGAACAGTCCAAGGACGCCGCCCAGGCTGGGGTCGTAGCGAGGATGGCCCTCATCGCCCTTGAGTTTTGGCACGTTGCTCTCCCACTGCAAGAGCCCCAAAGCGTCCGTGGTACTGTTTTTGACCTTGCGAGATAGATCGCCTAGGTCGTCGATGGTGTAGTTTTCGTCGACGATTTCCCTATATACCCGTATGCCGTCTTCATTCTCGGGTCCCTCATCGCCGGGGTTAGCCGGTTTCAAGGTGTAGCGCGCCTTCTGCTTGTTCTCTTTGGGTAGGTATTGTGCCTGGGCAATCGCAAGGATAGCTTTGGCAGCATCTATATGTCCACGCAGCACAGCTACATGAAATGGAGTAAGCCCGTTACCGTCATCAACGGCGATTTTTAGAGGGAACATCTTCTGTTCAGGGCCCCACATCCCGAGAGTGTATGTTTTGATGGTTTGGATATCGCCTGTCCACGCGGCTTCGTATATGGCCAGGTACGCTTGCTCGGACTCATCTGTTAGGTCCGGTACGCTGAAGTTGAAATAAACCTTCCAAGGGGTTTTGTCTTCTTCGCTGACGGGAGGGGAGGGGCTGTCCTCCCTCGGGCGTTCGATATTGGGGTATAGTTCGTAGAACGATTTGGCCTTTCTGTTTACCAAAGCACTCTCCACATCTTCGAAACGCTTGATAAGCTCTTGGACTGCCGCTCGCTTCTCTAACCTACCTGGTCGCTGAGAATCTTCATTGACCTTGTTTTGATAGGCCTCCAGGCTAGTTTCGTAAGAAGCCAGAGAGGCTTGAACAGCTTTGACAGCAATCCATTGCTTGTAGCTGCCATCGCCATTTGTAGCTTCAATGAAACCACTACCGTCGCCTTCGAAATCTGGCTGTGGAGGATTGAGATTGAGCTGGTCACCGTCATATTTTCTTAGCTGGGTGAGCTTTGAGCGAACAACGTCTATAAGGCTTTGCCCCACGTTGCTTTTTCGCGAGTATTCATCATCCACACAACTCCAGCCTTGAACAGTTAGGGCGTTGGGGTCGGCGCCGTGCTCTAACAGCTCTAGTAGGATTTCAGGCATCTCTACTTCGACTGCCAGTATTGCAGGTTGTTGAATTGCCTGTCGAAACATCTTCTGGTTTTCTTTTGCGTCTTTTGTAGCGTATTCCTCATGCTGCGCTAGGTATGAGTCCATAAACCGGGAGAACTTAATCTCAGGCTTCGCACCTGCCTTGAGAAGCTGCGAGACCGTCTTTGGTTTAGCCATTTCAATTGCCGATTTCAAAGGATCCATTGCAGTGACTGAGGAATAATAGCCCCCGGTTTTCAGGTGATTGATTGCTCTCTGCGCTGCAGGCCGATCGTGGTCGATCAGTGTCTGCAAAAGCGAGGGGTCCTGCGTCGTGAAGCGATGGAGGGCAGTTATTTGATCCATGTCTGCTTGAGCTGAGGACGCCCCCAGTTTAAGCAAAAGTTCGATCATTTTATGCGCTCGGTCAAGAGGCAGTCGAGTTGCAAGGACAAGGGTTAAGATTGCTGCTCGCGGCCTTTTGTTGTAGGAGTAGGTATCGATCAACTTGACGGGCAGAAGTATATCAGCGCCACAGCTTTGACAGAGCTCTTCAACCACTTCGCAGTGGCCATTGGCGATTGCAAGGTGAAGAGGAGAGCATTTCGTATCCCACGCGAGCACATTAGCATCGTAGATGTCTGGCTCGTTCTCGTCTTCATCCTCGGGTAGATTCTCAGTTTCTTTTTCGTTTTCCTCGTTTCTGATCTTGACGAATGATCCGGTAGTCGTTGACTCCCCTTCCGTCTCGGAATTCTCTTCATCTTTGTCGATTATCTCGGCCTCTTCATCATCTCCGAGATTTTCCTTCTCATCATTTTTTGCCGAGATCCGGGCTTGTTTACGGAGATCCTCCTTGTTGATTTCTTCTTCTTCATTTGCTTCGCTTTTTCTCATAAGAATCTTAACCGTTTCAACATCACCACGAGCAGCGGCAATATGCAAAGCGGTTCGACCATCAGCCAACCTAGCAACGATCCGCGCACCAGCATCAACGAGAGCCTGGACGATATCTGGCGTTGAACACGATACAGCCAAATGAAGGGGAGTGCGGCCTGTGTAATCTCTTCGGTTAGGGTCTGCCCCTTCTTGAGAGAGCCATTCTTTAACTTGCACCAGATCTCCGCCTACAATGGCCTGGCAGAGACGGGCGGTGTCCCCAACGTAGGCCATTTCAGTCCAATCATCATCTGTAAGTGGGTTAAAGCTGCCAATTGCCTGGCGGCCTGGATCGTCTTTGATGAACGAAACGTTGCCGGAGATGTAGATCTTGCTCTCCTCTTCCGCCACCTTTTCTTCCTCGAGTGTGCTGGGTGTTGGGCAATAGCCGCAACAATCATAGAATACATCCTCTGCGTTACCAAAGAATGCAGGGTGGCGGTGAAGGTTGACCTCGCGGTCCTCGGGCTTGTTCCACTCGGCGTTGAGCAACAAATCCTTGGCGTAGAGCAGCTGGTCTATCTTTTTGGCATGAAACCGCTCACCATAAGGGATTGTGAAAGTATGGTAGTCCGATACTTCATCGTTCTCTACCCACTCTGCAACTTCATCGTCATGATCCTCTTTTATGTTCCCACCCAATTTTTGTGAGAAAAAGCGGTTGATGGCGGGCCTACCTCTTTCATAACGCCTCTGGTCCATGTACGAATCACGATCCGTCGACGTGGGCAGTTTTTCGAGGACGAGTAACCGCGCGAGACCGACGGTGCGGGAAAAGCTTCGCTCAAAAATCGTCGGGTCGATCCTTGATCGATCCAATTGCGGCCAGTGTATCTCGAATCCTCGTTTGGAATATTTCGAGAGGCGGTTCTCATACGATGGTGAGCGTCTAGTCATGTCGATCGTGTTCACTTGGGTGATGTAAGAAGCCAAGGCCCGCGGAGCAGCGTAGACTTGCTTGCCATCATACGCTGCACAAGAGCAGTCCACATCAAAGCCCGTTAGGATCTCCGCCACAGATTTGTAGATGCGGAGGACAATCTGCACGTGTCGCGTTGGATACCGGCTTGCGATGGTAATCGCGCTCTTTGTCCGAATCGTGGTGGTCTCCTCCAGAATAGCATCCTTGACGCTCCTCTCGATTTGCTTAATCTTCTTCAATGCTTCCTCTTCTGTCAAGCCGTAAATGAAGAGGTCAACATCTGACGCGGGTGCCAAGATCTCATGGTAGTATTGGCGGAGAGTTCGTTTCGAGCCCGCATACTCTGGTGGCACCGGTAGTAGTGAAGTAACGACGGAGCTTCCAGCCTGTAAAGGATTATCAGCTGGTTACAAAGTTAAATCTATTTGGGACCCTGAAGATGTAGTCTGTAGGTACAGTGTGCAAAGTTCAGGAGGGGTTGGCAAATCATACGGAGCCTCTCCGGCACCAATAATTGTGGCGCTTCAAAGACACACTCATATTCACCGTGGCGCTCTACAAGGGTAAGGAAGGGGAGTCTCCTTACCGCAACGACGTTACTCCAATCCATATCGACGAGGGAAGACTCAGAAAAGAGATTGAAGTTTGTCTGGAACTCTCTGAAGCTCTGGACAATGGCATGAGAGCCGTTTGGCTTTCGCTTTTCGTCCGGAAGTGGCATAAGGTACTTTTCCTTTTCCTCTTCTGATTCTGTTTCCAAATTCCTGGCTCTTACTTTGACTGTAGATTCATGACCGGTGAAGACAGGAGTAATGTTGAGATGCTGGTCTTGCAGGGCAGGGTGACCCGGTTCTTGAGCGAAAACCTTACGGATCCTGGCATCGTAGTTGTGGTACGGCTTAATCAGGTCGCTGATTGGTGTTTCTGGGTGGGAGACAATATAAGACAGGAAGTTTTCGTGTGTGGTAGGAAGCGGTGGAAGAGAAGACATTGCGAGGAGTGTGGAGAGGGGTGTGAGGGTGGTGAAAGCCCCGGTATTTAAATTGGCGTGGTTAGGCGCGCTTCTCACGACGCGTCGGAGGCAGCACCGTCCCCATCGACAGGCAACAGCTAAGGTGTAGCGCGCGGTGAAGGGCTAGTGGTCGTTTTTGCCCTCTTTGGCTGTGTTCATGCTGTCATGATCGACAGATGCTGCCTTCCCGCTAGGCCGCCACGGCCGCCAATCGTCCACTCCACACCCGACAACAAACAATGCAGCAGCAAGTTATCACACACGCCCAATTGATCCGCCTTTTGTCTTCCTATCTCCCGCCGCGGCCAAACGATGTCTCTTTCCTCTACCATACGCCGCGCCACTCTTACGACCAGACCACTTCGCCCGTCTCCCACGTTGTTCTCAGCGTGACGCCCACACCCGGCGTCTACGCCGCCATAAACAATCGGCCGCATGCATCGCCTCCGCCCGTTTGTTTTCTGCACCGACCGTGGGGCCTCGACAGACGTGCCATCCCCCGTGGCGCCTTGGTCCTCGCGAGCCACGTCGCGTTCGACGCGTTCTTGACTGTCGGCTGGAATGTTTCGCTTGCGGAAAGGCTTGACCTGCGCGTAGAGGAGGCTGTGTGCGTGCGAGGCTACAAGAGCGACGTTGAAAGGCCGATAGGGCTTGTGGCGCCGCTGAGGTCCGATGGTGGGTCGTCGTTGGAGATCCTTGTGGAGCAGATCAAACATCAGTTCGGTGGTTTCGGTGATCTGCACATCCCAGCTTCATGGCATGGCTCGTGCACGGACAAGCCCACGGTCACTGTTATGGCCATCATGAATGCCTTCAATGCAGACGAAGTCTCTAGAGCGCTTGCCACTGCTTGTTCGCAGGATTGGATTTCAAATACGGGTGATGGCAAAAACGTATTGTATGTGACGGGTCAGGCGCGAGAAAGTGGGTTAAAGGCCGCCTCTATAGCGAACATGCCGGTCGTTTCCGTAGGCCACAGAGCATGTGAGGACTATGGGATCAGATTCCTAGCGAGCAAGTTAAGAGAGTGCTTCCCTGCTATAATAGTCGAAGAGATATACGAAAATGAAGAACCTCGGGTCGCATAGCGGAACTTGGAAGCAGGACCATAGAACATTTAGACTATAAACTACATATACCACTATATGAGTGAGGCTTCATAGGAGATGACTGAGAGATACTACCTCGTCCGGGTTAAAAGCTGAGAGAGTCGGATATTTCATAAGCGGTATAAATAGGTCTTCGAATTGTGGCGTTCTCGACATCACCATCACTCTGCAGAGAAGGTTCATCGGGAATCATAAATCAGAGCGTGAGCGGCATGAGCAGGCCTTCGAACGCTACTGTGCTTGGCATCACCGTCACCCTGTCGATAAAGCCATCGGGTTGTCATGGCCATCTTCTGATCTCTGGCGACGGAAAGATATTCCTGAAGAAATTGTGTCGTCAACGGGCGTGTGTCCCTAGGTGTGTGCGTGAGACCTGGAGGGGGGAGAGAGTGTGAGAGCGAGTGTGTTTTCGTGCAGCGTAAGATGGCAAAACCCGAGAGATCTGAGAGACAGTAGTATCTAGAATTAGGACGCGGTGCCATCCTCGTCGGGAAGCTGCTATCGTTGGGGGGAGGGGGGCGCGTAGAGCGTGCCTTCCTCGTCAGGGAAGCCACCACTGGGCACGTCCACCAGCGAGGGAAAACGAAGCCAATCCTCTTCTACCGTACGATCAATGCTGGCGCTGTTTTTGAGCCTTCTTTGAAAAAGTTCTTGGCCTGTGCAAGGCGGCCTTTAACGCGCGGCAAGAAGAGCTCCTCCCAAGTGAGTAAGTACTTAGGCTTGCCGCCACCACATCCTATCGTCGCCATCCGCCCTTCTCGACTTGAGCTGATTTCCAGGTGGCTTTTGTCCTCGTATTGGTCCCTCATGAAGACTTCTGGGGACGGGACAGTGGTAGTGGTCACTCGGACTAGGCATTTCCTTTGATGTATGTCCTCTTGTACTGTCGCAGTTGTTTGCTCACACAAGGGAGCAGAAGGTATTGCAAACTTTCATCGATTGGGTATTGAAGTGGTTCTATAATGATAGGCTACTTCCCGTCAGGCTACAAGCCGCATGACACTCCATCGTATCATTCCGCTTTCTTCGCTTGGTCTCTGAGACCAGGGGCGGTGGTTCCACGCTGCTCCAGATCTGCGGCCCACAGGGCCGCTCCCACAGTGTTAGTGAAAGCAAAGAACAGGCCAGCAATAGGGATAAGCTCGAGCAGAACGGCGGGGACACCAAAGCTATAGAAAAAAATCAGTATTAGACAAAGATGTGGGACTCGTGGGAACAGTACCTTGTGTAAGCCGCCTTCCTCTGTTCAATATACTCCTCCTTCTGCCTGTTGTTCATGCCCTTGAGCTGGAAGTACCTCGTGTGCGCATTCGGGCCGGCCTTTCTACCCTGGAGAATGACGAACAAGACTGTACCGACGACAGGTATGAAGTTGAGGGGAAGGTAGATGATGTATCGGATTATGGCGTCTGGCGAGAAGCGTGCGAATGGCTTCTTAAGGAGCTTCCCGAGTTTGCCCATCGGGTCGCTGCCAGGGCGGAGCTGCCGCCCCTCCGAAACCAAGGAGGTCATGTTGCGCGAAACCAAAGTCTAACCATGTCAGCAAAGGTACGTAGACGGCTTTGGGGGTATGCAGCTCACCCCATCGAAGGTGTCAACGAGAGCATCTTCAATGAACAAAGTCCTACTCATGATATTCGAAATGGTGGAGCTTTCGCTGAGGACAAGAAGTATGGTAGTGAGAGCCGCAAGAGGGCCGTTGAAGATAGCCAGGATAGCGGCTTGAGGGAGGTATGTGAAGAAGAACATGAAGGTCGTGACGCCGACGCCCGTACTGATGATGGGAGCTAGCTTCGACATGAGGGGCTTCCACAGGCTGCGGTGGGAGATGAAGTAGTAGATACCCTAATAGCGGTCAGTATATGCAGTAGGCAAACTGAGGGAGGGACTGCAGACCTTCACCGGGTAGATGTATGCGCCTGAGCGAGCCGCCTCTGTCGCGAGATCGCGAACGCGCTCAGCTTCCTCTTTCGCTGTCGCTTTAATTCTTTCAGACATGGCGAGTTGGTTGCAGGTGTTGGTAGTGTACGGTAGCTGCAATTCCTGCGTGGACGCGAGGGTGATGAAATATAAAGGGCAGATGGAAGTCGTGAAGCAGGTGTCGTGAAAGTGACGTAGCGGGCGAAACGGGGACGTGCGGGCGCCCTTGACGCGGTATCCCGCGGACAACCTTTAGCCGCATATCTCGACCTTTATTGTTTGTCCTCGATCGAGTTTTACACTACCAAAATTTGATTCCTCTCCGGTTTGCGTTTGTCATCTACTGTGAGTCTGAATATGTCCATAACACTGCACGACCGAAACGGACACGACTAAATGGATCAAGCCTCGGCCGTAGTAAATATATGGCACGCACTCTCGATAACTTGCTCCAGGAAGCCACTGTGCGCGATACAAGCACACCTGTCATTCCAGGCGTATTACTGCAAGCAATCGACGGATCTGGAACAGACATCTACAAAGCAGCTTCCGGTTATCGTGGACCGGGGCTGAATGATGCACCCATAGAGTTCAATAACACTTTACGCATCGCTTCCTGCACCAAACTCATCACTGCAGTCGCAGCGCTTCAGTGTGTTGATCGCGGCCTCATTGGCCTTGATGATCCCGTCGATGATGTTTTACCGGAACTAGTCCAACTCCCCCTCGTTTCTGTAGACGAAACAACAGGACAGTTGAAATACCAACCGCGGAGAAATGAAATAACGCTACGCCGACTGCTCACACACACGAGCGGTGTTGGTTACGATATGATCGACCCAACCTTGAAAAGGTGGCGCACTGAGCGCGGAGAAAAGCCAATGACGCTCTCAACCAAAGTTCTCGAAGCATTTAGCACACCCCTGATTTTTGAACCGGGGCAGGGATGGGCTTATGGTGGAGGTTTCGATTGGGCGGGAGTGCTTGTCGAGCGCCTAAATGGGGGTGTTGACCTTGAAAAGGTCATGGAAAAGAATATATTCATCCCTCTGGCAATGGACTCAACCGTCTTTCGGTTGAAGCGGAAGCCCCATGTCCGGAAGCAGCTGATACAGATGGCCTCTCGAAGGCCGGATGGTAGCTTTACAACCGCGAAGCGACTCATGGCTAATCCCGCTGTGGACTGCGCTGGCGGTTATGGGCTCTACTCATCTATTACGGATTTTATGGTAATTTTGAAGGACGTATTGCAACCACAACCAAAGTTATTATCAAACCGAATAACCGAAGAGTTGTTCAGGCCGCAGCTTGACCTGGCGAGTATGGCATACAAGGCTCTCAAAGACCAAGCACCAACTTTCCAAGCGATGATTGGAGGTGTGGCGCTTGATGCGGTAGACTTGAATGTCAGTTTGGGCGGACTGCTGATGATGGACCACATTCCAGAAGTTGGAGTTGATTCGGGAACGATTACATGGGCTGGCGCTGGTGGTTTAGTATGGTTTATAAACCGTAGAAGGCAAGTGGCAGGGATGTATGCAACTCAGTTAATGGCAGCTGGTGACCAGAAGAGCGAAGCGTTACTCAAGGCGTTTATTAAGGAGGTATGGAAACGAAAAAGAGCTGCTGAAGAACAACAGTAACGGCCGTCACTGCAAACCGAGATCCACTTTCCCAGCGAGACGGGATGATACAAGCAGTCCCTACAGAGTACTCTTTGTCTAGCTCTCAGCTCTAATCCCGGGTATGGGTGAAAAGGTCTTATAGTACACACAGACTCTACATATCTTACTGGGACTCTTTTACTCGTACAAGCATCACCATTTGTTTCACGGTGACGGACGTTGTTAAACGCATATTTCTTTTTAGAGTGGAGCGCGTACGAAGTACCTACTATCAAAACATGCTCTCCAACCCACACAATCACGCCTCCACACCACTGCTCGCCAGCGCCCTCATCTCCCCTCTCTCCGCATCACTAACCTTTCCCGCCTTAACTGCCTCTTTCAGTCTCTCCAACTTCGCGCCTACATCCTCCTCCAACCCCGCAGCCTTCAGCATCTTCAGAAGCTTCGGCGCGAATTTACCTGTAGCGTACACGACCCCTTCTTGCTTCCTCGCAAGCAGAACAACCACGCATGTCAAGAACAGACGCGGGCCATCGCTGTCCTTGTGCATCCCGCGCGCCATGTCCGCAACATTAGCATCCTTGCGTGCGGCCAGGGTCGCAGTATCGAGAGGCACGATATCGAGCTTCGACGTAAACTTCTGCAAAAATGCCTGTACGGCGGCAACGGTCTTGCCATCAGTCTCAAGCGCCGTCTGCAGCTTCTTGAGGGCGCGCGGGGTACGCGCTCCGCGGACCAGGCCTCTTGACTCGGCGCGCGATATGGCGTCAGAGACAAGCTCCTTGGTAACGTAGTCGCGCAGCAGGTCTTCGAGCTGAGCACGCAGCTTGGCGTCTGCGATGGCTGCGGCGCCGGCGTTGTACAACTCAAAGCGCGTGACGACGCGGTCTTGCCAGAACTGCGCAAACTGTACGTTTGTCTCCGCTTCCAGCTGTGCGAGTGTGGCGTTGAAAGTTGACTTCGCACGGCCGTCCATACGACACCTGAGGAGGATCTGTAGGAATGGCGCTGGGAGCTCGTATTGAGCGGCGGGCTCCTGGAGGACCGAGGGGATGTCGAGTGTGAGTTCGGATTCCGGCAGCTGATCAGTTCGCTCCCAGAGGTATTTGGCATGTTGCTGGACCCGTTCGGCGAAACTGGTCTGGATTTTGGTGAACAGTTCGTAGCGAATAAGGTAGGGGAATATGCCCTCTGCAACGGTGCATTGTTCTTCATTTTGCCGTGTGGGGCCAAGGACATCGCTATGAGCCTGGGCAGCAGCTTCACGAGCAGCCTCCGGGGAAAAGTCGTGGAACGGTTCCTGAACAGGGTAACTCAGTAATTTTATCAAAGAGAGGCCATGGGATAAGCTTACGCTGACATTGATAAACTGCTTCTCATTCAATTCCTTGCTCTTGCTCTCTACAGTGTCATTGTACCACTTTTTAGACACCACCGTATCGAAGAAGAAAAGCACATCATTTGCGTACGACTTCTTGATGAACTTTGTGGCGCTTCCAACATCTGGATGCTGTTCCGGAAGCAGCTCGATAAACCACTGCAAACCAACTTTGGGGATTTTGCCGTAGACCAAATCCTTGAGCCTTTTCTCTCGTTGTTCCTCTAGGTGGCTTATTGCTGTGAACCAAATTTTGCCCTCTCGAATGGAAAACCGGCCATTAAGATCCGGCTTAAGCTCGTCAAGGACAAGCTGTAGGAACTGCTCTGGGTATGATCCACGGGGAACGCTTTCAACTCTGTCACACCATAAGTAATTCGCCTTGCATAAAAAGGGGAAGGTTACGTACCCCGGCCCCCCAAGTTCTTGGGTCTTTTTGAGTACTTCTCGGGAATCGGACACTAGGTATTTTAGAAAAGTAGGCGAATAGATGATTGCGTTCTGGAGGTCGGCCAACGTGACAGCTGATGGATACAGTGCAAGCCTTTGTGTGGGCGATTCATCCGCGGAGACGAGCGTCCGTACGCCTTCAAGCGTGATGTCTTTGGTATCCGCGAAGTCGACAGCATATACCACGCTTGAGCGAGCAACGTCTATCAAGCTCTCCTTTAACCGAGTTGCTTCAGGTCTGGTGTTATGACTGTTAGAAAGTTGTGTGTTCTGATGCTCATACAGTCCGCCCTTTAGTCTCTTTGTAACGATTCTCTCTTTATGAGAGTAAAGATATTCGCAAGGCTACCCATATCCTAGCCGGAGATACCGATGAAAGCTTTTTTAGGGGTTAGGATTTGCTGCCCAGCTCAAATGTTATATCCAGACCTGACCGTATGCCCGGCTAGGAATGGTGAGCCTTTTGCGTATCTTTGCCATTGTAACGAAAGAGGCTTTGTAGGCAGTCAACGCTGATTTCAACAGTCCGAATCTACTGACTAACCCAGATATCGTAACTGCTTTTGACCGTAGCGAAGAACGACTCACTTGAAGGCTTTGAATATGCTGATCGACACGAGTGCTGTAACCAGGCCTGACTAGACTTTGAAGAGAAATAAAGGAGAACAAATAACTCACTTCGGGTTGATGTGTTGGCGATCTTTGCTCAGAAGGACATTGGTATTGTTTGAGTCGAGAAGTTCGTATATCGTGTTTTTGTCAACCCCAAACTGGAGCGCTAGAGTTGAAATGAGGAGACGAGGTTCTAAACCTGTATATGACAATTAGAAAGTTTATGATAGAACGCTAAGGAGGCTTTGTGCTCACTCATTTCAATCTCATCATTGAGCAGTTTCATTACAAAGCTTAGGTTGACAAATCCATCTCCCCCGGGACTCGGGGCGAGCCTCAATGCCGTTTCACCTTGCGCCAAAGGAGGATTGCTGGAATTGGGGAAGGCCTGGGCCAACTCCCGTATGTCCTCTGGTGAGAACATTCTGGGTGTGCGTGAGTTGATGTTCGGCGGAGGATTCAAAGCTCTTGTGACTGTTCGAAAATATTAAGGAGCCACGATAACGAGCTGCACGATTGTTATATAAGTGACGTCTCGAAACCACTTATTCGCCAATTGACATGCAGAAACAAAAGACTTGATTGGCGCAATTGGCGTTGCGCACCATGACTCACTGTGAAGGTGAAGGAGTTGGCGCGTCGTGGGAAAATTTCGACCCTGCAAAGTTGAGTCAAAGTCGTAGCCGCAAGCAGGCACGCATTACAGCAGCATTTTCAGATAGTGACGCATGTAATCTCCAGTCAACCTGCACAAGCACAAGATGTAAAACATGTCGGTGGACCTGAGGGAAAGAGGTGGCCGCCGGCAGAACGCCGGGAAAAGCCCAACCCGCGGACATGACGGCCATCGCGACTTCCACCGCGAAACCACTCGACTCCGCCCGTACGCCGCTCGTCGCTCGCCGTCCACCGCCCACCATGTCTATGTTCAGAGCCAAGAAGCTTGACTTGGGATGTTTCGTCAACGTCCGTAATATGCGCGATCACACCAAGCGCAAGGTCTTCGCCGAGTTCGAGCCGGAGAGGTATGGCGACAACACGCCCCGTCGCCGCATTGCCATTGGAGAGTTTGCTGACCAGGAGTGTCTCTGCAGACAAGCCCTCCGCTACATGGCCCGCAACACCACGCTGCCCGCTCGTGTTCGCGCCCAAGCCCAGCTTGAGCTCACCCAGATGCACGCCTACACTCGCTCCACGCAATTCAAGAACAGGTGTATTATGGGAGGTAAAGGTAGAGGTATTATGAGCGACTTCAAAATGTCGAGAGTAAGTGTTCCGCAGTTGGCCGTGAGAGTGGACTAGACAATTACTATAGACGAGCTGCATTGTTCGGACATGGGACTAACTTGTCTTGCTCGCAGTACCAATTCCGTGTGAATGCCATCTCGGGTAACCTTCCGGGTGTGAAGAAGGCCAGTTGGTAAACCAGTGGGTCGTGGCAAGCTAGATATTTGTACAATACCAGAATCGTCCTGGTGTTTGGCCGGGCATGGCAATGATTCACTGAAGCATGGATTGGCGTTTGGGTGGATGCTGTATAGTTACAGGGTTACAACGTTTGAGCTGGTCAGAAAATCCAGACCTTCAAAGTTGTTCACCGGTATGCCCGGCCAGGCTTTGCGTGAGCATTTGCATACCTTCACCGTTATAACGAGGGAAACTGTAAAAAGTCAACGCTGAAAGAGATTAACCGTATAGCTCGTTAGGCGTGGGCATTAAAAGGGCGACCCGGCGTAAAGGCACTGTGAAAGCTGGCGGCTTCGTGCGTTAGCATCCGAGATTCTGCATGAAGCAAACAGGTGCCTCTGTCAAACCTTCTTCACCTCCGCACCCTCTTCTACCCCACAGCCACCAAAACCCTCTTTTTCTATGCGCGCAATCTGAGCACACCGCCCTTGGCTTCAACATGTTCCGCCTCCGTGAGCAAGGAATGCCCGTGGATCCTGCCTATCCCTCGGACCTTCGACAGCTCGGGTGAGCATGACCAGAGCCGTTGCCAACGAGCACACGCTGACTGAGTTCAGCTACTTCATAAATGCAGAGTCGAATGTCAAGCAGATCCAGCCGCCGCACGACTTCTTCATTTACAAAATCTCAAACAATGAGCGTGTCAACGACGTTTACAGAGAGGCCATGAACGAGTGCATCAGAAAGGAAATCGTCCAGCGCATGGCAGCCCTTGGCATGCCGCCGCTATACCTACCTCACTTCACTTACACGAAGCCGAACAGCCAGCCGAATGTTCCGATCCTCCTTTCGAGCAAGAACGATCTGAGAAAGAAGAAGAGGGTCATCGTGGTTATCAACGACGACAACCAGGACCTCGGTGTCTTTGCTTACAGGCACATCATGCGCGAGGAAGGCATTGAAGCAGGCTCTGTTATCGCACTTGCCAAGGCCATGCAAATCCGCCAGCTTGACCATATCGACAAAATCACTCATGACACGGCTCGGCTTCAACTTGGCCACAAAGATGATAATGCTCAAGATGCGGTGCAACCTCCACAGAGAGAGGCAGAGGATGCGGTCCCGGCTAGTACATCAGGTGCCAGCCAGGAGCCAATCGACACAACCACTGTCCCCTTCAAGCGACCCGAGACTTGGGAGGTACCAGGCCTCGTTGTGTTGAATCCGGGTCAACTTTTGTATTCTCATCTCGAGAATAAGGCCATGACAAACACCTCTTGGGACGCAAAGCCACGTCCATCCAGTGTCCACCAACAGTCTCCTGTCAATCCGGAATTCAACAAGACTAAGGGACACGAGAGTGTTCTTGAACATGTCAAGTCCGTCTTTGACAGTATCCTCGCCGATGAGGACTGGGTTGCATCTGACGCCGAACTTTACGTGATTGGCCTTCGTTGCGGCGGTGATGCGGTGGTACAGCTACTGAGCAACGAGTGTAAGCATCTTATATCTGTAACTGCTGGTTCAGAGTCCATGTCTTAGCCCGAGCATTTTATCGTAGTGCCTGGACTAACATGTTTCTAGGGCCCAAGTACAAGGGCCGCGTAAAGGCAATCCTTCTGGCGGATCCTACACCTATTCAGGATCCGATCGACGACCAAGACTTCGTCTCGTTCTTGCGTCATCGTGGACGCGCACTAGTGATTTCACCTGAGCCATTGAGCACTCCTATTGCCGTACCATCGATCGCTGGTGACCACCACAAGGCCAACAAAGCCAGGCTTCGTCCTAACATCCACGAGTCTGGCATGTCCAAGTCACCGTGGCTCGAGGAGATCGCTAGAGCTTCTTCTGTGGAGCATAATAGCGGCGATGGTGTGGTTTCCGGAGCAACCGAACCTGCTTACAGCAATGAATGGGGCTACCACTACTTTCCCATGTTGTCTTCTGGTGCTCCGACGTTCGGAGACACTATATTGCCAACGACTTACAGACAGATCCTTGCCTGGTTCGAGACGGTTGCCGCTGACCCTTCCAACTACTACAACCCAGTGTTCAAGGTCCCAGTCAAGGGACTTGAAGACGCAGATATCTTCGATGTGACGGTTGAGTAGATGGCGCATCTGATAGGAAGCAATGGTGCTGAGAATGTTGTTGACAGCAAAGGCTGTCGAGTTTTATGATGATGATCTGGGGAAACAGCATGGCTAGTGGATCACACCATAGGTAGCGAATAGCATGAAACAAACAACTGGATCAGATGGTTTCCTCTCGAGTTTTAATCAGTTCATTGTCGTTCCAGCTGACGAGCTAATGCGGTCATGGTCGTCCGATGGCCGGTTTTCATCAGACGGAGCGAAGAAGTCATGTAGGGATGTTGTTCTCATATACTCGTACCTACGGTGCTGTGCCGCATTCTCGATAAGCCTCCGTGCCGCCCCCGCACACTGTTTATCGAGACCGAGTGGATGGTTAGAGAGCGGGGGAAAACCAGCCTTTGGTGCGGAGACGAACGAAGCACGCGGAGCAATACCCCCATGCAACATGGGCAGATGAAGCGGCAATAATAGGTACCACCGGCTCAACCGATTTCCCCCGCCATCGGAGGAAGGAGAGCGGAATCGGGGGCCTTGATTGGGTGGCCATGGTACCCCACTCTGTCAGCGGGCAGTGCGCCATCGGCCCCAGGAATGACAGGTGTGAGCACGCCAGAGGCACGACGAAGACGCGATCTGACGAGCCTTGGAAGAGCACAATCGTCAGCCTCAGGTAGGGCTGAAGGGTAAAGTTGGAATGCACGTGGGTATGACCGCATGTAAGCCTCATGGCAGGAACGGGGGGAAGGAGGCGATCGGCGCAGGTTCGACGGTTCGAGGCAGCTGTGTGGAAGGCGACGCCGACGCGCCAACGCAGGCACCAGAAGAAGTTTTCGACAGGAGCGACCAGAGGGTGGCGCTCGGCGGGCGCGGCAGGGACGGCGCTCGGTAAAGCCGGATGACAAATGTATTTCGAGCGCACGATTGGCGGAAGTGGCGCGATCGCGATTCCTCGACTGCCGCATTGGGGGCGCTAAAATTGCGTGATCACGAAAAGTTATGATGCCTTCAGCAATGATTTCAAAGACGGAGCCGCTGGCAGTTGCCGGGCGATATATGCTGCCCTTGCCCTATGTCAGCTCAGTCTTTCTTCTAGTCTCCCTACTACTCTACTTTTCTCCACTCTCGGTGTTCTTCAAAAGCCAAAATCTCAACTCCTTGAACCATTGTTGCTTTGAAGTCCCAAGTCCCTCAACCCTCAACCCTCACCCCCTTGTTTCCGCAACTTCCCACCATGTCGTCGGACGCCTACGACCTGCCCTCTCCCAGGGAGACCGAGTCTGGCTACGCCAGCGGCTGCTCTAGCGAGGCAAGCCTCCCGGACATCTTCTTCAGCAAAACCCACCTCAAGTTCCTCAATTCGCAGCTGCAGAAGCTCGAGCCCGAGGGTATGTTTTTACCCGTAAACCCGCTCATTCCGCGAGCTTCCAGCTGACCAAAGAACAGAGATTCTGCGCTGGTGCTTGATCAGTCTGCCATCCCTGTACCAGACCACGGCTTTTGGTCTCACTGGTCTCGTGACTTTGGACATGCTTTCGCGGATACCCAACCCCACCAAGACCTCCGTCGACCTCATTTTCCTCGACACCTTGCACCATTTCTCGGAAACCCTGGCTCTGGTTGACCGTGTCCGCCGCCAGTACGGCAACGTTAACCTGCACGTCTACAAGCCCGCTGGCTGCGAAACTGCCGAGGATTTCGCCACGAAGCACGGTGAGCATCTGTGGGAAACCAACGATGAGCTGTACGACTTCGTCGCCAAGGTCGAGCCCGCTCAGAGGGCGTACGCCGAACTTCAGGTCAAGGCTGTCCTCACTGGCCGGAGAAGGTCTCAGGGCGGCAAGCGCGGAGACCTTGACATCATTGAGATTGCCGAGGACGGTCTTGTCAAGATCAACCCTCTCGCCAACTGGTCGTTCACCGATGTGCAAAAGTACGTCGAGAAGCACAACGTTCCCTATAACGAGCTTCTCGACAGGGGCTACAAGAGCGTTGGTGACTGGCACTCGACTCAGCCCGTTGCTCAAGGCGAGGACGAGCGTGCAGGTCGCTGGAAGGGGCGCGAGAAGTCCGAGTGCGGCATCCACAACAAGAAGTCCCGCTACGCCCAGTTCCTGGCGGCTCAGGAGCAAAAGAGGCAGGAGGAGGCATTGAGCAGGGCGCTCGAATCCTCGCACGTAGGCACGTCGTGAGGTTATGGACGCGTGACTTTGTTTCTTTATCTGCTGCATATTAGCATCGGCGTTGGGTCGTTTTTGGGCGTATCTGGATGAGCATGATGCTCCATTGGGAGCGAAAAGGCGTTAGAGGAGGGACAGGGATTGATATCAGCGAGGTGGAAGGACGAGATACCTCTATAGGAAAGATGAAATACGTATGCCACAACTCATTAACATGGAGAGATCTTCAGCGCTCCGGGGAAGCCAGCACCCTTAATCCTGTGAAGTGTCTCAGCAGACGGCTGGCGATGCAAATCGCGCATGGGTGCAGTATGAAAGTCGGGCTGTCGGGCTGGACGTGCCTAAACACGCTACGTCTTGTATGGTTCAGGGCGCCCCATTAGAATAGCGGGCACGGCGGGCTTGGTGGTGCAATGACATTATGACGGGGGGCCAAGCCCATGGACGCAAGACGTTTTTTTTT